CATTTTGTGACGAACTTTACTTAGCCAACGACCTGTCTGTCAGAAGCAACCAGACAACGCGCATGCGTAACAAATGGACTGTACCGAATCTCCAACAATAGGGGTGAATACACCACATCATCCCCCTTTTAAAATAGGAACAATATTTTTGTATTCAAATTAGTGCAGTAGTAAGCTTGTACATATTAACAATAGAACTTACCAAAATAATCATGCCAATAATCAAATAACAATTATCTGATGTACAACTGAAAACAATAATATCAGAATATGTAGTATTCAATGCTATTTTAACTGATTACTTGCTATTCAAGGTATCTATTTGGTTTATTGCGAACACGCTCAGAGCGCCTCACAGTCACTGATGGTGGTTCTGGAGGAACTGATGGTTGCACAGGCGAATCCACAGTCGTCTCAACTGGTGTGTCATTTCCGGTATTTTGCATTTCTGCTTCAAAAGTCTCGGTGTCTATATCGGTCTGTTCAGGTGATGCTCTGGCACGTAGTTGGTCCCCATGACGTCTGTGCACCGTGTCAGAGTCTCTCTCCTTGACTTGATAAGATACTGGACCAGTTTGTCTCACAACTTGTCCAGGAATCCACTTGTGAGCTCCTCCCGCTGTGTTGCGCAGATACACATACTCATCCATTTCAAAAGTGCGGTTCTCAGCTGAGTAGTCGTGTTGATCTTTTTGTTGATATTGCTTCTTACGAACAGTCTCTTTGGTGTTAGGCTTCAAGAAATCCAGCCGGGTGCGGACGTGTCTGTGAAGAAATAGATCCGCTGGAGACTGACCTGTTGTGCAGTTGGGGGTGGTCCGGTACTGTAGCAAGAACAGCGACAGTTTGTCCTCGATGCTACAGGGCAGGCTGGCAAGTTTTTTCATTCCTGTCTTGAACGTCTGAACATATCTCTCTGCCAGACCATTTGTTGCAGGATGCCCTGGTGCACTAGTTGTGTGCAAGATGCCATTTTGTGTCACAAAGATTTGGAACTCCTCAGATGTGAAAGTAGTTGCATTATCAGTCACTATCTGTTCAGGAAGTCCATATGATGCAAACAGTCTTCTCAACCTCGTTACTGTTGCTTGAGTTGTTATTTGTGACATGCGAAAAACTTCCAACCACTTTGTATATGAATCCACGATGATCATAAACATACTGTTCAGAAAAGGTCCTGCAAAATCTATGTGCAGTCTCTTCCAGGACTCACCTGGAAACTCCCATGGGTGGAGTGGTACTTGCTGTGGCATTTTCTGCTCAAGTTGGCATATTTCACATTGTTTGCATACTTTTTCAATGTCAAAATCCAGGTTAGGCCACCAAGTATATTTGCGGGCTAGAGCCTTTGACTTCACTATCCCCTGGTGTCCTGAATGTATTTCCAGCAGCACTGCTTTTCTCATTTTTGCAGGTACGATGACTCTGGTTCCCCACAGTACACAGCCTTGCTCTGTGGAGAGTTCATTCCTTTTTGTATAGTAGACCTTTAAATTCTCATCTGTGAGAGCGGGCCAACCTTCCATCACAAACTTGTACACTTTTGACAAATCCGGGTCAGTGCGTGTTGCTCTTGCAATTTGAGTGGCATTTAGCGGCGCTTCATGTAAGTGCTCTGTAAGTAGTGAGTGTACTGTCTCTGAACTCACAGCTGTCCCAACATCACACGTCTCTGGTAACGGACAGCGTGACAGTCCGTCTGCGTTGCTGTGCTCTGCTGATTTCTTGTAAATAATGTGGTAGTCATACGCTGAAAGTATGATCGCCCATCTTTGAATACGTGCAGCTGCCAGTGTGGGTAGACTTTTGTGCTCACCAAAAAGCGTCAGCAGGGGGCGGTGATCCGTTGCTAGAGTAAAATGTCTACCCCACAGATACTGGTGGAACTTTTTAACACCATAGATCAGTCCCAGAGCTTCTTTCTCTATTTGGGAATACTTCTTTTCAGCTGGAGACAAAGTGCGAGAAGCATAAGCTACGGGCCTCTCTTCCCCATTTGGCATTGTGTGTTGGATGACTGCCCCGATGCCATATGCAGAGGCATCACAAGCTAAAGTGAGCGGTAGATTTGGGTCATAATGTGCCAAGACCTGATCACTTGTTAACACTTCTTTGCATTTGACAAATGCTGCCTGCTCACTCACAGTCCATTTCCAAGTAACATTGTCTCTTAGCAACTTGTACAGCGGAGCAAGTACTGTGCTTTGCATTGGTACAAATCTGCCATAGTAGTTAACAAGTCCCAAAAACGCTTGTAACTCTTTCACATTTGTTGGAGCAGGAGCGTCCTGTATTGCTCTCACCTTGTCTTTTGCTGGGTGTATGCCGTGCTCGTCCAACACGTGTCCCAGGTATTCTATCTGCTCTTTGTCAAACTCACACTTGGAACGTTTCACTCGCAACCCATTTTCCTGTAGACGTTGCAGAACATATTCCAAGTTATCATTGTGCTCCATTTTATTGCGTCCAGTGATTAACAGGTCATCCAGGTAGACAACCACTGGCAAATCCTTCATGATGTTTTCCATAATGCGCTGGAAAATTGAAGGCGCGGAGCTAATTCCAAAAGGAAGCCTATTGTAGACAAATAGTCCCTTGTGCGTGTTGATGGTCGTGTACTTTTTAGACTTCTCATCTAACAACACTTGCTGATAAGCTGCTGCAAGATCTATTTTTGAAAAGATTTTACCTCCACTGAGGGTCGAAAGCAGCTCCTCCAGGCGTGGCAGCGGGTACGTGTCTGTCTCAATGGCTTGGTTCACTGACACTTTGTAGTCTCCACATAAGCGCAGTGATGTGTCTCTCTTCAGCACTGGCATCATAGGTGCTGCCCACTCACTGTGCTTTACAGGCGAGATTATGTTTGCTTTTTCCAACCTTTTCAGTTAATTTTCAACTTTTTCTTTCATTGCAAATGGGAGTGGCCTGTGTTTGCAAAACTTAGGGGGTACCTCTGGCTTCACGATGCCGGAGGCTGTAATGTCCTTGAGAGTGCCCAAGTCGTCCTTGAACACGTCACAGTATTTGTCCAGCAAGTCCTGAATGGTATGTGGCTTTGTCGCTGTCACATATTTGATCAGTTTCCAGTTGAGCTTTAGTTCTCTCAGCCAGTTCCTGCCACAAAGCGATGCTCCATGCCCTTTTACAACCAACAATGGCAGTTCAACTTTTTGCTCTTCGTACCCCACTTTTGTATAAAACTGTCCTAAAACAGGAATGCGCCCTCCATTATAAGCTTTGAGTTTAACTTGAGCTGGCTGTAACGGCACGTGTGAAAACTTCCTCCCATATGTTTCCTGTGAAATCACACTTCTTGCCGCTCCAGTGTCTATTTCCATGTCCAGATTCACCTTGTCAATAGAGAACGTGGCCCTGTACAGCTTATCATCTTCGCTACTGACTGTCATTATGGCGAATTCCTCTTGCTCTACATCCTCGTTTGCTGTCATGTATTTTGTGTCTTTACATTGGAATCTTTTATTTGGTTGTGCATTTTGTGATTTTGTACGACATGCCTTTTTGAGATGTCCAATCTTTCCACAGTTGTGACATTTAGTCTCTTTGAAATGGCACTCGTTTGCATTGTGATTTTTGCCTTTGCATCTGTAGCAAGTTTTGGTTTTGTCCGGTCTCACTCTGTGAATTGCTCCAGCACCGACAAGTTCACTGTCAGCTCCTCTTAGCTGTCGTGTGTCCCTATCTGCAGTTTCCATGTTGAGCGCGATCTCAAAAGCTTTTGCAAATGTGAGTCTATCTTCAGAGAGCATCTTCTTTGGCACGTTTCATTTTTGATCCCACTGACGAACCTGTCCCGCAATGCAGAATCCAAATTGGCACCGAACTCACAGTTTGTAGCTTGTTGCTTTAGCTCCGCTACATACTGTGCAACAGTCTGATTTTGTTTTTGGTTGCACTAAACGGAACCTTTCAGCGACTAAAATGGGCTTCGGCTCAAAATGCTCTTTTAAAATCGTCACAATATCTGCAAATGATTTATCTTTGGGCTTGTCAGGCTGCACTAAGTTTCTCAATAGTCCATATGTTGTAGCTCCCATCACACTTAGCAAAACGGCTACGTACTTCCCTTGATCTATGTCGTTAGCATCGAAAAACTGTTCCAGCCGCTCGACGTATGCAGTCCACGGCTCATTTTCTGGCTTGAATTCGTCGACCTTGCCGATTTGGGCCATTGTACTCACTAGTACCGACACCGTGTGCCTGTGTCCCTCCGCAAATTATCCTCGTCGCCAATTGTAGTGTATTTAATAAGACTCGGACAGTGATCACATTTCGTGACAAACTTTACTTAGCCAACGACCTGTCTGTCAGAAGCAACCAGACAAAGCGCATGCGTAACAAATGGACTGTACCAAATCTCCAACAATAGGGGTGAATACACCACAGTTATCACAACATTGTTTTCAGAAAAAGTCATATTTCACAATTCATATGTATGACTGTTAGAGAAAGGAGACAATATTATCATACTTAATTAGAGACACGGAAAAAGTAAATGGAAAAATCTCTGAAGCAATTGCAAAGCGCTTTGGGTGACCTTATTCTGTAAAATGTGCAATATGAATAAACATTACATACTTACTTGCAGTGTGTATTATAGTGGTCCTCTGGCTTCGGTAATTTCCTTTGAGAGCCACCACTGCTATGATGTAAGTTTGTCCAGGCAGGAAAGCACCCAAAGAAGAGCAAAGGGTCTCACTGAGTGCTTCAGGACCAGCAGAAGGCACCAGTGTAGATATGACACTAGTGTTATGGAGAGAGAAGGCTGTAACTTCAAATGCATCTGGTCGGTCGGCGTGATGAGCAGCCCAGCACAGAGTAAGGTTGTCTGTGGAGCTGTCTGCAACCAGCCCGCTTGGGGCTCTCACAGCTGGAAAACAAAACCAACCACTCAATAAATCAGAAACATTTATTTTAATGATCAAAAATGTTTTCAATCAGCAGTAAAGCTGAAAATAAGATGGGTTTAAATAGAAGTCCCTTCATGGCCACGCACCGAAGTACATCTGTGAGTACATGTTAGTGCAAGATGAACCAACTCGGACTCTGAGGAGCACAGGGACTGACCTTCTGGACAGACTCTGAGGAGCACATGGGCTAGCCTCCTGCTGGTACTCTGGGGAGCACAGGGACTCCTACACTAAATACTGGACAATACTTTACTACATGTAGCGGGATTACTATTGCAACAACACATCATCAGTAGGGTAAAACTAACCTGTCTCACGACGGTCTATAGGTTTGTGAAGAAGGGTGTGGTCTTGGATTCTGGTTAGAGCTTCAGAGTAAAATAGGGGCCAAATCCTGCATCCAGACCGTTATTTAGATAATTTCCAAATGTACGCATGCGTTCATTGTGTCATAGAGGTCTCATGAACGTTTTCTACAAAGCGCTATAATTTGAGTCTTTTTAAGTGTCATAAACTAACAAACAGACTCACAAAAGTGACAAACTTAGGTAACTTTTTGTAAATTACTTTTTTGAGTAAAAGACATGACTACCAGCAATGCGGAAACTAAAGCTGTTTTCTTCCTATTGTCTTTCACCCTCACAAGCACCGTCTTTTCTTTTCCATTGTTTTTGGGACCATCCTCTTCCACCCACATTCTCCCAAGCAAATCCATCATTATGTGGCAGTGCTGTTTCTTTTACTTGGAGTCAATAAACATTCATCCTTTAAAGTGAGTGTCTGGAGTTTGTCGGAAAAAAGAGAGAGAGGTACAGGATTTGAAAAAAATGACCCAACCTCCCTCCCCCTTCCTTTCGAATTGGTCTACGCCTACATTTCCGTAAAAATCAATCAACACATTTAAATGTTAATCTGAGAACACATTATACTTATACATTATTAATACACATGCACGAAGGTTTTAAGAATTATTTGTTAACGTTTTCATTACAAAAATAATGTTTTAATGCACAAAAAAAGCAATCGCTGAAAACCCGGAAGTACAGTAGCTATTAACGTTGATTGAACATTATGCATCTGCAGAGGATCTGATTATGGATATAGGTTCAGTATATAAATGGGTAACTCAGCGCAAGTTTTCATGTAGTTCCAGAGCATAAAGGCTCGATTCGGAGGCTCCACAAAAAAAAACAACTGAGCATGCGCGCAGCTACGAGCATCAGCGCCGATGATTGACAGCCCTTGGCATCACTTGATTGGTTAACGTGGACGGCATCGTGGATTTCTAGCTAAAGCTAAGAGAAGGGAAGGCCCGTAATATTAGAATTCATAAAATGACTTATTTCATGTCAATATTTAAGGCCAGGAGTTCAATTTAATACAATTCTTAAAATTTGTAATTCATTTAGAGTTCCAGACTATCACTCTCCCGATTGAAGAACGTGTGATAGTTTACCTGTCTGCACCAGAAGTGGAAGCTGTCCACAGCTCTTGATCCCATATTTGGTAACCGTATACACTTGGACGCTGTATTTCCTGTAAGACTCTAGGCCTCCAATAACGACGGTGAAGAATTTCTGTCCATTGTTTCTCTGTGATGTGGTAATTTTGGTCTTCCCAGCAAGTCTTTCTTCTTTCAAACTCAAATCTATACAGTGCACAGTGAATGACCAGTCTGAAACGTAGTGTGCCTCTAAGAGCTGCCAGCGAACACTAATCTGATCCGCGGTTGCTTTTTCAACAGTGATGTTTTGGGGAGGAGAGGGTCCTGTTAGGAGAAGAAAAAATAAAGTACAGTGTTATTGAATTTTGACTACAAAATATTGTGGATTTAATCACATGTGAGATTAATGTTGATGAAAAATAATGCATTATGTTCATTTTGGTGCTTAAACTGGATCTCAAGATTATTTCTTGAAGCTGGAGTACCAACTTTGAAATCACAAAACATTTTTACTATGTAATAAAATCGATGTCACTAGTTCCTTGCTCTATAACAGATTGGTTCTATCAGCAGTTTTCACATGCATGTATTTTTAGCTATTTTGATCATATATCTTTATTTATTTTTTTCAGACAGAAAAGCGAAAAAGAGAGGTCAACCCTTACTCCTCCAATCAGCTCTAAGCCCAAAGAGTCAAATAGTGACTCAAATGGTTCTTTCTTACAAGTAACTATAACATTTTTTGCAATGAAGACAGCATGTTGTGATCTAATTTAAAGCTTGGACAGAAGCTGGGAAGCACAGGAGTGGGTCACTGTTTGAACAAAAGAAACGTGCAAATGCCAAATTCAAATGTGCCTTGCGCTATATAAAGAGGAATGAGAATCGCCTAAGAGCAGAATCTCTTGCTTCCAAACTGAAAAACAACAACTACTTTGACTTTTGGAAAGAAGTTAGAATGATGAACAGTTGCAAGACTTCTCTTCCCTGTGATATTGACGGAGTAACTGGTTCGGGAAATATATGTAAATTGTGGATGAAATATTATTATGAATTGTATAATTGTGGTAAAGACAATAATGCTATTATAGGGGCTGTTGATAATAATGATGGTGTGATCGTAACTCCACTTGAGGTTTTTAATGCTGTTTTAACATTGAAGAGTAACAAGTCATGTGGACCAGATGCAGTTTCATCTGAGCACCTAAAATATGCAAGCAAAAAGTTATACCCACTTCTTGCTCTATGTTTTACTAGTTTTTTTGTTCATGGGTTTTTGGCTGTGTCACTTATGTCAGTCTTACTTGTCCCAGTGATCAAAGACAAGGCTGGGAAACTCAACAGTAAGGACAACTATCGGCCTATTGCCTTTTTGAGAGGATCGTTCTGTACAGACTTGAACCATACCTTTATACAGCTGCAAACCAGTTTGGATTCAAACAAGAGCATGGTACTGACCTGAGTATTTTTGCCCTTAAAAAATCCTGGATAAGTACCACAGTCAAGGTTCCACAATTTTCACCTGTTTCTTAGATGCATCCAAAGCATTCGTTAGAATTAATCATGAGAGGCTTTTCAGGAAGTTATCTAATAGAGGTGTTCCTGGCTACCTTATTAGGGTCCTCATATTTTGGTACTCGCAGCAGAGTATGCGGGTGAAGTGGGGTGGGTCAGTGTCAGACTCATTCAAGGTCAGTAATGGAGTCCGGCAGGGTAGTGTGATGTCCCCCCTGTTGTTTAACATCTATATGGACAATTTATCTGTACAGCTCAATCACTGTAATACTGGGTGTGTTGTGGGAGGCACAGTGATCAACCACCTCATGTATGCCGAAGACCTGGTTGTGCTCAGTCCGTACAGTGCAGGACTTCAGCAGCTCCTCAAGATATGCTCTGAGTACGGTCTTCAAAATGATATAAAATATAACTCTAGTAAAAGCTTCATCATGATTGTGAGGACAAAAAATGACATAAAATCTGTATTTCCTGCATTCTCCCTATGTGGTAAAGTACCTTGGCCATTACATATGCAGTGACCTCACAGACGACCGGGATATACACAGACAGAGATGTAAACTGTATGGCCAATCCAAAATGCTGGTCAGAAAGTTTGCTCTGTGAATGTTAAAACCTCCCTTTTCCAGTTTTTTTTTGTGCTTCCTTATACACAGCCCAACTATGGCGGAGCTATAAGCAGGCCAGTTTGCAGAAGTTAATTGTTGCCTATAATGACTCGATGAGGATGCTGCTGAAGATCCCCAGACACAGTAGTGCGAGTCAGATGTTTGCTGAGTGCAGGGTGCGGTCCTTTCCTGCTGCCCTACGTCACTGCTACTATCGGTTCATGTGTAGAGTGGTGAGGGTGCCTAATGCTATTACAGTACAGTCACTGGTTTGTCCTTACATTAGCTCAGTCAGGTTCACTTCTTTGCTTTGGAGTCACTGGCTTCTTTGTATGTATGACTTGGTCTAAATATGTGAATATGTGATTACTATGTGTGTTTTAACTCTGATCTTTTTTAAACTTTTTTTTCATTATTCTTAGCTATGGATCCTGTGCTTGCATGTGAGTCCTTAATAAAGTATAAATAAATAAATAAAATAAATAAATAATTTGTTTCACAACATTTTACTTTCATAAAAAGTAAGTTGTCCCAATGTTTGTCTTTCTGTTGGGGTCAAACAAAATTAAAGTAATATTTATGAAGAAAAAAAGTGATGTATAATGGATAAGGACTTTTCTTCCAAATACCTTAGCTGGAAGTGGGGAACTAACAACTAATTAAGTAAACATCTAAAAGGGGTCTGTCTTATTATAGGAATATTGCTGTTTTGTCTTAATTTGAGTACGTTCTGAGTACATCTTAAAAACAACATTTGCCAATCGGTGAAAGCATTTAGTCTTATTTCAGGAATTTCAAGAGGGAGACATTTCTTGTATTGCTTTGTCGCACTGGAAAATCTTGTTTTAAGGCAGGCAAATTAAAATACATTTTGCCAAATTTTTTTCCATAAACAAAACCAAACGTATTTTTCATCACTTTTTCCAATGTAATGTGATTTGACTGGAGAAATTCTCAAAGCTTAGAGAGGAAAAAGCATGCTATGTGGGATAACACGCCACTTCACAGACCTACAGTACATCATTACACCATTTCAACAAATCAAATTAACATTTGTTGCAGTGAAGCATATTTGTATTTCAAAAGACTTACTTGTGTATGCTGTTTGTGATTGTCCCAGGCTCCACCTGAAGCCGGCGCTATGAGAGGCCTGCAGGCTGAATGAATAGACACTCCCTGGGAACAGTCCTGCCACAGTTTCCCCGTCAGATGAAAGAGCAATGGGGACTTTGACCAATTTTCTGATATGGCTGTGGTCGCTTTGTTCTGGGTTTTTCTTGAAATTTGACGGCTCTTCTTGTCGGTACAAAAGAAATACCTCCAAAGCTGAGAGACCCTGTGTGTGCAGGGGAAAGAGTCGACTCCAGCGGAGTTCCACCTCTCGCTCTGTGGCTTGAACCAGGTCGAAGAAGAAGGAGGAGGCCTGTGACGGAACTGTGGCCCAGCAAAACAACACCGGTTGCAAATCAATGTTTTTTGTGTCTATTCTTCATCTTAAATAGAAATAGTCTACTTCATATACTGTATATAACTCATTAGTAATGCCCTATATATCGCATCGTGATATGCTGCAACACCTTCTAAACTGAAACCAATCTTCATCTGCAAAAAAGAAAAAATAAGAACGATCACCTTATCAGCCTTAATCGTGTTGACCTATACACTTACTGTTAAAGTTAAGATAAAAATGACCAAGAATAAACTGTATGTATTGGACAATACATACACATAACGCAAATATAATTTTATTTTCATTGCTTTTTTCTACCTGAGATGTTGCTGCAGTACAGTGTTCATGGTTCTACACGGGTCCAGACCAGAGCAGAGGATTCATGGTCCGAACCAAATGGATCAGGCAAAAATCCATTAGAGGAATGCTAACTTTTTGAAAAATGCTAATGAAGCATGTAGCATTTTACTTTGGACTAGAGCAGAGAAAATGGTCCAAACCAAGCGGCAACTCTACCTTGTGACCTGTCCTGCTCCACCTAGAGGCTACTCCACCTCTGCTGCTGTGACCTGTCCTGCTCCACCCAGTGGCTACTCAACCTCTACTGCTGTGACCCATCCTGCTCCACCTAGAGGCTACTCCACCTCTGCTGCTGTGACCTGTCCTGCTCCACCCAGTGGCTACTCAACCTCTACTGCTGTGACCCATCCTGCTCCACCCAGAGACCACTCCATTTCTGCTGCTGTGACCTGAAGGCCTGTGGCTGATTAATACTATTATAAACTTTTTAGAATGATCAATTCTATTTTGCTTCAGTTATCTGGCTGATTATGCCGTAAATGGAATATCAACATGTTTGTGAGCTCGGTATGTGAGATGCTCAATATAAAGACAGATAACTTACTACCTACTTACTTTCCAGTTACATAAGTATATTTGTTTCTGTTATTTACTGCTGTAGTGGCAGATGAAGGGCAGAGGGATGCTGCAGAAGAATGGAGTGAGGAAGAATCCGGGCCCTGTCGCGTTCCTCTGAAGGGCAAAGCAGTCGCTCTGGTTCTCCGGCAGAAATGATGACATCGTGGTATTGGTCATATTATTGAGCGATCCATCTGACCACACAGGCCGGCCCTCCGCCTGCAGAATGACAAAGACAAAAGTGCACTTAACAGCATGTGCAGGGCTTAAAAGTACTGACCTTCAGTGGATTTCAAAATCTGGAAAGGAGTACAACAGATCTAACCAAATTCAAAAGCACGTCAACTGCTCCTTTAAACTCAGTTGTGAATAAAGATCTATAAAAATACTCATAGACACTGACAAAATCAGAAAAAACATTCTTACTGAGCTTCTTTGTGGAAAGTCGATAATATAATTGTATGAATAAGTTATCTATTGTCCCATTTCTTCATGGGATAATAGATCTTCTGCATTTGACCCATCCTTGTCACTAGGGCCTCTGTCAGGAGCTGTGTTTTTGGGCAGTCGGGGAACCTGGAGCCCCAGAGAAAACCCATAGAGACACAGGTACCCATGATTACAGACGTACTGGCCATACACATATTGATACAAGATTCTGTATCAAGGTAATGTTAAAAAAATAAAAATTGGCTGTTAATGGGATGTTAAAATGTACTTAGAAAATCATGCTGGTTTGGCTTTGAAAATGTTGTCGCTTCACACAACACAATACCATCCCTGCTCTTTTAACAAAGTCAGGCCAATTCCAGTAAGTCCCAAGGTTGTTTCTGTGGTGGGTACATTACCAGCTTGTCATTGAGCGCGGTCCAGAGCAGCAGCAGGCTGTTGTGGCTCATTAGGCGTGAAGTTATAAAGTGAAGATCTTGGCGGGTCTTCAGATCGGCCAGGTGACTCCCGGCAGCCACGTCCACACAGCTTTGTTGGGCTTGGCTCCAGGCTAAAGCTTTCTTCTGAACAGAGTAGCAGTGTCTTCTGTTGGCCAGCCATCCGGGGGGACATTGAGCTGCAACGGTTGCACAGAAGCAACTACTTCAATGATGTTCTACAGATTGAAGCTTAGTTTCATTTAGATTATTTAAGGACATTGTGCAGTTACATTAAAAAGATGACAGCACCAGATTTATCACAATGCTAACTTTCTATCTGAAGTCCGTGAAAATATGCATGTATTACATATCTTATTATATATACAGTATTTATCATATGCACACACTAATATAATACTTTTCAATAATTTGAGTAAATAAGTTAAGATAGACCTTTATTCGTAAGAAAAAACATTATTGATTGAGACCAAAGGGGATGATGTTTTTTTTTTTTTTTTGGCTGAATCAAATTTTTTTCTGGTTCAGTCCTGATTCAGTTCTGATTTAGTCCTGGTTCAGTCCTAGTTCAGACTTGGGACCAGCTCTCACAGTTTTATCCGCTAAACATGCTGCGAGTTGTAGTTGTTTTCAGTGACTGAATAAAAGTGGCGCTTTCTATAATCATCTGGTTTTGTAAACTCTCCTCTGTTGCTTAATGAACAATGCACATACCCCAGAAGATACGCCTCTGTGTGGGAAGAGACAAAGGGAGAAGGAAGCAGGCTGAAGCAGCAGTGTGCAGCTCTGTTATTCAGTGAATTTGGGTGCCAAATATGTGTTTGTACATGTATATAAGAAGGACCTTGTTTTTTGTGAATTCACCTGTCTGTATATCCATGCTGAGTCGCTGCTTTATTGTGACATTGGGGTTCTTCAGAAATGCAGACACTGTGATTGCAGCATTGACGCGGACTCCCGGTTGAACATCTGGGACAGTGTAATGGGACTGTATCGCTGCAGACTGTATGTCCACCTTCTTGATTACTGAATGATTGTGGAGGTCACGCACAGTTATTGCTGACAATTGCTGATGTCTGGGAAGCGTCCATGCTAAGGACACAGATGTGGTCGTGCTGGATAGATGGAAGTTTGTCAGCGACACTTGGCCTACACACAAGACAATAGTTCCATCATGAACGTGAACGGTGTAATCAGTGTGGCATTCTTTGGATGGCACTCACTGAAGTCAAAAGTCCTCTGGGCGAGTGAGGTGCTGTTAAGCCTTGCCCTCAGAGTGACTCCATAACCTCTCCAAACCTCAAGAGTTTGAAAACACAGCGTGCAATCAGGAGCACATGATGAGTGAGGTACTTGCTCCTCATGCACCTGGGGAAAGACAACAGGGCCTCAGACACTTCATCATAACAGAGTGTATCAATGAGAAATGGACAAAGACAACAAGTTTAGGAAATATACCTAAGTCCAGTGAAAGGCGTTATTGACGTTGTGTTATTGAAGATGCTTCAGTTAGGAATTGAAATGTCAGTCCAGGAAGTAATTCATTGCCTAAGTAACTTGTTTAATGAAGCCTTTTTTAACTAACTAGAAAAAAAACGAGAATTTGTTAATAATTACAATAGAAAAAAATATAATGTTCCTCCTCCGTGAATTAAAAACAAAAAATTCTATTGTAATAAATACATCATATATTTTAGAACAGTGTTACTCACTGGCTGTAATACTGTACATTCTAAACTCATTTTGTTTTGTGGTGTGCACGTTCACATGATCCTGGAAATGATTTATGTATTAGTATGTATCATTACAACCATGCAATTAAGTTTTACTTAAGTTTTCTTAAAAGAAAGTATTAGATAATTAACAATTATGAAAAAAACACATTTTCACATTCAGAAAAACAGAATAGGATGTAGATTGAAAGCTATGATAAGATACTTTTAACATTTGTATGTGTCAATTTTCTGATGTGAGATGGAATAGTGTTATAAACCACTACATACTGGAGGAGGTGAATACCACACATTGCATCATAATAAAGTCGTCTTTATTTTTTTGTCCGGTCAAGTCTTACCAGCTGGCCAGTTTCAGTCCTGCATGTCACGAGATAGCTGTCTGCATCCTGACACTCTGGGAAGGGATAAAACCTCATCTCAACCTCTGTAGGACTGGAATGTCGCTCACATGTCAACCAAACCACCTGGCAGTAATGGAAAAAGGGTTTATTTCAAAAGTTATGGTGTGAATCTGTGCAGTGGAGTTACTTACCTGACATAGACTTGACAAAATCAGAAGATGCTCAGTTCCACCCATTGAAATTCACTATCCCGAGTTACCGTATACAGCTCCTCTCTGCATTCATGAAATTCATAATTACTTGAGATTCCTGGCAGACACCCTTTCTTCAAATTTTGGTAAAGATAAGCATGAACTCACCAAGACATATAGGAAAGAAAAGACATCTCCAGTCCGGGTAATAATGTATGGGCGGACAGAGTGTGTGTTCAAGTTCAGCCCACTTGTCTGGGAGTGCAAGGAGAGGTAATGGACATTTTGGTATGTTTATGTATGCCCAGGACAGCTTTAGGGAATGCCCTTTATTTACATGAATCTATGTGACTTTGTGTGGGTTAGGGTACACATTTTTAACAACTTTTATTCCTAATTTGTTTGAGTAATTTGTTTTATATTTTAGATTTGTAAGCATGAAGTAAACAGTTATATATTATGTTTGCATGGTCCCTCTATTCTTTCTTTTATGTAAAGTGTTCTTCAACACTACGAAACCACTGATGGAATGGTGGTGCAGTGGATAGAGCTATAGATTCTCAACAAGAGGGTCCTGGGTTTGACTCCCAGATGACACGAGGCCTATCCGTGTCGCATTTGCATGTTCACCCGATGTCCTGCAGGTGCTCCAATTTCTCTTCCAACTAAAAACATGTATAATAGGAACCTCCCTCTGGGGCCAAATCTCCTTTGAGAAAGCAAATGTTCTTATAAGGGAGTTAAATACTATATTTATGGAGTGTGTACATAATAAAATATGTCCAGGAGTGGGGAAGGATGTAGTAGGCAAACATAGAGTCAGGGTCTTTGAAAGGGAGGGTCTCATGTCCCCCTGGCACCATCCATGGCCCCAAACTGTAGAAGAGCTGTGTGGCGTTTGACTATTCAGAGAATAGACATTAAAGCAGCTCTGCGTGTGTACAAGTCTTTACATGGCCTCGACATGTTAGTGCCAAATGAACCAAAGAATACTCTGAGGAGCACTGGGACTGGCCTCCTGCTGGTGCACATGGGAAGGCAGCATTTCAGACTTATACAGCTAAAATGTGGAAGAGTCTGCCTGATAATGTGAGACAGGCTTCTTCTCTTAACAATGTTTAAAACCAGGTTAAAAACAGTTCTGTTTAGTTATGCATACAACTGAGGGATTTTGTCTTCCCTCTTTTAATGTACTGTGATGGTGTGTGATTTTAATGCTTTGTGAGATTGTTAAGCAATTTGAGTTGCCTTGTGTATGAATTGTGCTATACAAACAAGCTGAAGATGTGGAATGATCGGCATGTGAAGGGAGAGAGAAAAAGCTGGTTGGCGTAACACAGGCTGTTATTAAGGTGACTCCATCACAGCAACAACACTGCAGGCTAAAGTAACATTTACTCAAGAAAATTAGGGACCGAGAAAAAATTGTAGTTGTGAAGAATCATTTATTTTTCTTAGCAGTATCCAAATGTACAATTACTAGTAGCTCAGAAATGGCAAATTCCAATAATCAAAATGTCAACACTTGCAAAGGCAGATACAAAAAAATAGAAAAATAAAACACTGGTTGCATGAAATGATAATATACATCAGCTAATTACAGTGTAGCACTAGCAAAAAAAAATGTTGCTGAGACGGGGGGGCGCCGATAGGGTTGCAAAGGGAGGAACAGTTCTGGTAAATTTCCGGAAAGTTTCCAGTAAATTTTCATGGGAAATCATATTGAAGAATTTTGGAAATATTCAATAACTGGGAATTAACCGGGAATTAAATGTAATTCAATTGTATCATAACTAAGATTTTCAACCCATATTTCAACAGATGTATTTGTAAGTAGAAAAAGTTCTTGGCAGTTGGCACACATTTGAGCATGTGGACTAAAAAGTGTTGTGCTCTGGTCCAGTCTTCTAGAAATCTTTTGTACATGTGACACATATGTAGTGGGCGTGGTCTCAGTAGCCACAGTGAGCAGTGTGCTATGTTCGTGGGAATGACACGGATATTCAAGTGCATTTGAATGGCATCTGTTTGTTTTAGTCAAGATTTTGCTGACATACACTTTCCTCAACTAAATTTAGATGAAATAGAAGAAAGAACCTTTACTATTAAAAATTCTCAGTTAATTCCCATAAATGTCAGTTTATTTCCTTAAATTCCCATTGATTCCCATGGAAAGATCTTTGCAACTTTCAGCGACGGTTCGTTACAGTGCAAAGGACATGTGACAGTTAACAGAGGGGGTCCATTGGTGGCTTCAAGGTGGCAGTCTTCACTCATGTTGTGTTAGTTCCACTGACAGGAGCAGTCTAAAGGCTCTTGGAAGCTGTACTCTACCACCGTGGCGTTCCGGGAGCAGAACAGTGTGACTGAGCGCGTTTGTAGAGCGCTCTCCCGACAGCATTTACAGAAGCGAGCATGACTGTTGATATTGAAGTTGAATATGGTAGCGGAGGGGCATTTCCCGTCACAGGAATAGACCGTTACCTTCACAGTAGAACAAGACAAACAACAGTTAAAATTAGAGAGAAAGCACTTTGAATAGTACAAGCTGTGCTGGTGTGTTCCTCACAGGCGCATTGCTCCTGCAGTCATCTTTTCTTATGGTGGTTCTTATGGCCACGCGTTTGCATGTTTTGCCATCTTCTTTACCTGTTAACGTGATAAATGAAGTGACAACCACCATATTATCTATGTTGAATGGAACACATTCGTTAAAGGTTTGAGTGTGTACAAAAGGGATTAGACGCCCTTGGAGAAAACTGGTTTACACATTCAGATGGAACCAACATCATGCTATTTTACTTTGCACCCACATTAAGGCACCTGGAGTCCGATATCTTTTTAAATCTAGGGTACCAAACTTTTGTTTCGTAATAATAATATTTTGTTTGTACCAAGAGGTCTTTGTAAATAAACACAACAAATCAGACAACAAAATGCTGTCTTTAACTTATTAGAACACGTTTTCAAAGTGGAGTGCTATTTGACGCTTTGGGCTGAGAGGTGGTTGGCTGAATGCGGGGGATCCTTTCTCTTTCACTTTTCTGTCTGAAAAAGCTGATCTAAAAATGCCACACACATCTGAAAACTAGAGATAGAACCAAACTGAGAGTCAGGAACTCGATGGATTTTATTACATATTTATTTTGTTGTGGTTTCAAGTAGACCTGGTCATCTGGAGAAATTGAGATAGTAAGATATGTATCTTACTACTCTAATCTATTAGATTATCTGAATATCACATTCAATTAATGTATTCACTTTTTTCTTTTGACACAATATTCTTAAATTACATATTAAACAATGTGTTCCCTGCGCTCTGTGTGAGTCATAATAATGACCAATTATTTGAAGCATTCAAATGATAATCTATGATATGATCAAATCATTTGATTCAATTTAACATAAGTGTTGGCCCAAGTTTGAAAGTTAGGTACCCCAGCTTTAATTGGCATGTTGTGCCATATGAACGTTTAAAGACCACACACAAAACACATCTGTGTGGGTGTTTCTTTGTTGCCCAGCAGTAGAGCTTTCAGACTGACATGTTGGGGATTGTGTAAAAACTATTTACAAAAAGACTACACATGGTACATAGATTTCTGTGGCACATATTATGCCAACACTGGAAACAGAAAGCACATGTATGCTATGTTAGGCTTATAGTGTGAGTTGAGGGTGGTGGTACCTGTGTCACAGTTAGTACTACCAGTGGGAGTGACTGGGTTAACGGTAAATGGTAAAACACCCACTCCAGAACCTGATGGGATCACAGTTATTGAGTTGAAACAACACAAAACAAAGAATGATGATTATATAAGCGAAGGAATGATCATCAGTCGCAGAATGCAGTGAGTGCAGCGTGCATGCACACAGTGGTGACTTAACAGTTAACCGTAGCAGTCATTCAACTAAGACAAAAAGCACAGCAACAAACAGGTTAAACCACTGCACCTGACATTCACCAAACGGTAAGTTCCAGGCTGAAGCAAGCAGGACTGCGCATAGATCAAGACGGTTTCAAAGTTTCATAGGGGAAAGTCGGGCATAGATACGTTCAATCTGATAGGATGATGAGGACGATTTATATCACTTATTATTGTGCATGAAAGTTTACACAACCAGCTAGAGATTTGATTGTTCTTTCTGTATTTGAGAGATTACAACAATAACAAAAACCCCTCATCATTAGTGGTTGTGTGAACCTACTGTGGATTTATTGTGAAATAAACATGTTTTCTATTTTCAAATAATTTTCACATCCTTGAGCCGTTCTGGGGAGATCTCAGTTCATGCATGCTGGGGTATTTAAATCTTGCTTCTTCATCATTAGTTAGAGATTTTATGTTATTTTACTAGAGAGTTATGATTCATTTATCTTGTGTTGTGTGCTCCTCATTCCTATTATCTGTAACTTATGATGCAACACTGAAATTTCCCCACTGTGGGACGAAGGATATATTCTTACATTTTTCTAAGAAGTATAAAGAAGCTAATCCACAACTACCACAAAAGACTCCAAAGGGAAGATGGAGACTTCTGATCATGGTCATAAGAGTTATTTTGTTCTTATAATTTAAAAATACAACAATAAAAAGGCTTCACATATACAATTAATATCTAAATTTACACCTGGGTGTGTAAACTTTTAGGCATAACTTCACATGTGAAAAAATGAAACGAAGATGCTACTTTTCATTGAGTGTTTGGTACCATCACACTGTTTGCTGATCTTGTAAAGGTTGTTGCAATTGTAACGGCAGGCTCCTCAGTCTGCGCCAGTATCCACCAGCCCACGCTCCCAACAAACAGCCATGAAGCCCCCCCACTGCCAGGCAACAAGGCGCTCACCGCTCTGATCCACCGCTCAAAGCATGACCCAAAGCACTTTGTGACTTACATGTCCTGCAGCATCCATCCACATAGCTTTGAACCACACCGCCGTTCTGAAAGATGATTATTGCACATCCATTTATTACACAGACTTCTATGGAGAATTTACTTAGAGTAAAGAGGAGAGGCAGACCTGAACACATTCGGTGTCATTGAATGGAGGACATATGACCCCAGAGGCGAGGACCACTGCTCCCACGCTTGTTTCCATGCAGTCGAAGCGTGTACAGTTCTCAACCCATGAACTCCCTGCCTACAAGACAAAGGTGTGCTCCTGTGGTTGACAATGCCTGTATGATATGTAAAAATTGCTGCCTTAAGTTGAATCTTACAGCAAAAAGCTCTGTGGTCCCGTTTTCATTGGTGAAAGTGCAAGAGATGTTTTTACAAGAACCGCAGCACACTTGAGGATCTGTGGATGTAACGTAGATCTGATGCTGCAAAAAAAAAACACAAGCGATCGATAGATATTTTTGACATCAACTATTAGCACTATATATTGGATGCGTACTGGTCCACATTTCTGAGAACAGTTGACGGAGCTGATCTCCATGGCATAGAAGCCTGTGTCTGGGTCCTTCCTGTGCAGACAGTGCACAGTGTAGCACATCTCTCCTTCAAAATATTGCACTAAGGACTGCCCGGGCCCCAGGACAGTCACCCCTTGGAACAAGCACACGTCGGCTTTTCCTGTGTACAACCAGCGGGATATCATTAAGTCATCGTTTTTAAAAGTTAAATATATTTCTACGACATTTGGGCACACACAGCCTTATGTAAGACACAAAGCTTTTTTGTGTGATTCCATTGCACTTACGACATGTGTGTTGAGGGCAGTCACAGTCTCCATTGTCTTCAGGAAGTTCCACCACCACCTCTCCCTAAAAGCATAAACTTTTGAAGATCACATACAAACTAAAAACGTAACGGTATATTTATTGTAGCTGTCATTAGTGGCACCGCTCATCAAGTTTGTGTTTGCAATATTGAATTTAAAAGGATTTATATTATACAAATATTATTAATCATTAAGTAATATGCCTTATTGGTGCAATATAATGTTAATTTGTTTCATATTTTGTTCCTTCACTAGAAATGTAGGAACCTATTGTTTGTGGAATAGACAAAAAAAACAAGACAAAATGCGCATTGAAAATGCTGTAATGTCGGGTTCTTGAAGAAGAAATCCTTAGACAAGTTTATTGTATTGTATTCTTGAGTGAAAGCGGCCAATGAGTTATGTTCAGGTCATTTTAAAGTATTTTTTATGCTGTCCATCCATCCATCCATTTTCTTCCGCTTCATCCGTTGCTGGGTCGCGGGGGCAGCAGCCTAAGCAGAGACACCCAGACTTCCCTATCCACACACACTTCCTCCAGCTCTAGCTCATCCAGGGGGGAACCCAAGACGTTCCCAGTCTAGCTGATAGTCCCTCCAGCGTGTCCTTCCAGCGTGTCCTGGGTCTTCCCCGGGGCCTCCTACCAGTGTGACGTGCCCGGTACACCTCCCCAGGGAGGCGTCCAGGAGGTATCCGGAACTGCTTCCTCACCACATGGAGAAGCAGCAGCTCTACTCCGAGCTCCTCCCGTGTGACTGATCTCTAAGGGAGCGTTCCAGCCACTCTGCTGAGGAAGCTCATTTTGACCGTTTGTATCCGCAATCTTGTCCTTTCGGTCATTACCCAAAGCTCATGACCATAGTTAGGGAGGGAACAACGATTGACAGGTGAATCGAGAGCTTTACCTTTTGGTTCAGCTCCCTCTTTACCACAACGGTCCGATACAGCGCACACGGCACCAATCCGCCTGTCAATTTCACGCTCCATCCTTCCCTCACTCATGAACAAGATCCCGAGATACTCCTCCACTTGAGGAAGGTCCTCTCCTCCCACTTGCAGAGGGCAAGGCACCTTTTTCCGGTCGAGCACCATGGCCTCGGATTTGGAGGTGCTGATTCTCACACAGGGATATCACATGGTTTTTTTTTCTCAAACTGAGTAATAAAAATGAGCCATACTAATTTTTTTGCTGTGTAATGTGAAAATGAAAGTTGCAAAACTGTGTGCAAATGAGGCCTAAGCCAATTAAGTGTTTGTGAATTTTTTCATAGTTCATAGTTATATGTGTAAAAGTCTTACTAAAATACGTTTTATGTCCCTTTCAATTCTGATGGCCTTTACGTCACTGTTTGGCATTTCTGAGACTCCTCTGGATGAAAAAATGTCTGTTTAAACCCAAGAACGGTTTTAAGCCTTGATTAAACTAACATTCATAAACTAACAGGGAGTGACATGCAGCTTCTAAAACTGCTGCATCTACATCTCCACTGGTTTAGTTTGCACCAATGTTAAGGGGTCCTAATCGGTTTTTCACAGACAAAACCTTGATGAATATATCCCTTTATGTATTAATTTCTTGATCTGTTCTGTTGCTTACTATTTGGCAGTTAGGACGGGAGTTGTCGTCACATTGGCACCCTGGCAACAAGATAAACAAGTCATTTACATTAGACGTCTTATGATTTATGATGATGACTTCATTTAATTAAGTAATACCATTGTAATGTGCTCAACAATAGCAATATTTAACCAACATAATTATGTGTAAACTAGTATTATGTGTACCACAGTGATACTGAGGGCAGCAGAGTCCTGGAACTGTTGTTGTGATCAGAGAGAGGCCCGAAGCACAGCTCACAGAAGACTCTGAACACAAGCCTATATCGCACACTGCACAAATAGACAGCAATATTAGTTTGAAAACAGCCTTATTCCTCAGATATCATGTATAACTTTTTTCATACCACAATGATAACGTGGACAGCAACTATTAGTGGTGTTCAGGTCTACAGCTAGAATTTCTCCCTCGGAACATGAGGGAATGGGCTCAATGCATGACTCACACACTGCAAACACAGAACAAGAACTGCAAACACCAGCTCCTCATTTCAGCCAGACCTGTAGCAGCCATTAAAACTTACCACACAAGTAAGAATAGCAGCAGGATTGTGAACCTCTGACCTCCACCAGGAACTGATCCTCCCTGCATTCAGGGGAGGACACAGGAGGACAGGCCATCGGGTCACACTCTGGAATGACCAATTACATTTCAAAGACAATTTAGATTGTGCTTACAGTTTAGCAGCTCCAAGTCATTGTCCATATTGCAAATGGCTACAATGTGTGCAAGATTAATACTGAATGTGCTCACCACATCTGTACTCTGGGCAGCATGACATGGAACTGTAGCCAATCACCAGTCGGTTTCCGTTGTTACAGGGGGCTGCTTCGTTGTCACAAATGGTCATGTTGCATTCTACAGAAAGCCACAGCGACAGGGATCAATTAGGGTATATGCCGTAACATGTTACAATGGGTAAGATGAGCTTGTAGCAGACCACAGATTTTCTTAGGGCAGCAGGCTCCCTCCTCCAGCACGTCCAGCACATACTCCCCCTCTCTCTCACAAAGAGGAGTGGAGACAGTATCACAGTCTGGCTCAACAGAGACCACAGAGCCGTTCTCCATGCACTTGTAGAGACAGCACCCTCGCGCAGAGCCGTTCCACACTTCACCAGGGGCACGCGGGTTTCCCTCATTATCTGTGCACACTGTGGACGCCAGCACAAAAATACACACAGGGATATCACATCTCTGTCTTGCATTTTTTCAATAGCACTGTATCCCCATACATGGAAAGTTTGTTCAAACTCAAAGACTCTTCACATTCACTTAATCATTATTCACACTTATCACACTTATTCATTCATACACGATGGTGATGAACTACTATTGAAGCAGCCCTGGCAGAACACTGGCAGAAGCAAGGCAGCCAGTATGTGCCATCGTCCCTTCTGACCACCACCAGCCATACACACACACACCAGAGTCATTCTAGGCAATGTGAGTGAAGTGTCTTAACTAAGGACACAATGGCAGTTAGACACTTTTCAGCTACAGCCGCCCCACTGTGGCGCCTTGTGTTCCCAAAGGTCTCCCATCACAGCATTAACCAGGCCCTTCCCTGCTTAGCTTCAGAGCTCTGACAGGATCTGGTTTTCTCATGCAAGTACCATCACAGACACACACAATTTGACTCAATGGGAACTCACATTGTTCAAATAACCGATTTCTTTCACTTGGACAAGTGGCACTGTTCTAACCATAGACTGTAAATATTAACAGATATAGTCAAGCCTATCTCCGCTGTTCTCACTAATGTGCCACCCCTTTCGCGGTCTATGGGCAGTTTCAAAATGGCCGCAGGGGGTTGGAAAATGTGAAATAACACATCTGCGCGTGCGTCAGCCGGCACGAGCCCCATTCATTTGACGAGTGTCTTCAAAATGTTGTACCGACTAAACTAGCATTGACACACATGTGGAATGTGGGCTTTGGGCCAAGAGCCGACTTTTGGACCATCGGGTAAAGACGTTTTCGAGAGGTCAGAAGATGCTGAATGTTAGCATTGGCTAATTCTTGTTGGGGGTGGACCCGGTGTGGTTTTGAAATCATGTCAGCGCACGTCATTTAGGCCATTTTTGAGCCAGGGGCTCATGACACGGGGAAATGAGCGCTAATTTTTAGGGCTCTAACTATCCAGAGTCACGGTCTGTGATGCTATTAGTGATGCGAACAAAGAGGAGATAACTGCAAACACTGCAAGGGTCCCAAAGGGAAGCGCTTCTCTTACTGAGCTACTTTTTTTTTTTATTAGTTCATAAAAATGCTTATTACTACATACAAGTTGTATTGTAATCCGCAATTTAATTGAAAACTTGAGCTCATTGATTCAGCTTGTGTATGAGTTCAGACCGTAAAAAGTACTGAGTAGAGGCTTAGCGGGCTGCTCGCTCTCCTCCACTCACAGGACGAGCAGCGAACAGCCTGCGTCCTCTAGCCTCTGCAGCGCTGGGCTTTGACTTCAAAATTCAAATATAATTCGAAAATAAAAAAATAATAGTATATATATTCGAACGAATATTAGACAGCCCTTAATATTCAAAATGTATTTAATGACTGCACATAAAAAAGTTAGCTCCCAAAGGTTTCGCCGTGACGTGCCAGGTGGGTAACAGCTAAGCTAGCTAGTTAAAAAACTCTCTGGAACTACATGAAAACTGAACAAAGAATTCTCAACATCAGCGGTGAGTTACCCATTTATATACCGAACCTAAATCCATAATCAGATCCTCTTCAAATGTGTGTTAAAATGTTCGTTTCATATTAAAGGTTTATCGCGATCGCTTTTTGTCACATTAAAACAGTATTTTTTTATCATGAAAACGTTAACAAATAATTCTAAAAACCTCCGTGCGTGTGTGTTAAGGATGTATATGTATAATATATTCTCCAATTAACATTTAAAGGTGTTGATTGATAGATTGGTATTTGTTTATCGAGCGTGGCTAGCTATGCACAGACAGAAGCAGCTAGTGACAGGCGCTGAAAGCTCGTTGTACTTGATAGTATTTTACACACCTGAATTACAAACAGAGATTGCATTGCCAAAGGGCAGCGGTCATTATTGGTTTGAGAGTTCTGTTATCAAGAAAAAAATGATGGGTAGAACGTTTTGAAATGTGTGTTCTACTGCTTCTGTGAGGAGCTGTATAATAAATTATAGTAAAATATTCTAATACATTCTAATGTCTGAATTATACATTCGGACGTGAAACTAGTGGTATTCTTTTACTTATATATTTTGTTAGCAGTGCATTGCTTTTGTACCATTTCATCAGTGATTTTTGTACAGCTTACAAAAAGTTGCCCTAATGCTAACGTATCAGATCGCAAATAAAACTAGATGGCTCCGTGGAATGAGAGTGTAGGGGAAATGAGAAGCCTGTGAGCGAGTTGAGGGGCGGTGCTAAACATTCAAACCTTGCAGAAATGGGTATAGCTCCTTTAAAGAGTGAGTTAGTTATTGCTCACAGAAAAAGGTCATACATAAGCAGCTAAATGTTCATGTATATTGGTCCTGTAAAAATATGTTCCTTTTTACCCTTTGTTTTACAAATATCCTCCACCTGCTGTTTGTCTGGGTGGTGATGTCAACTGTAAACTGTGCTATCACAGGTTTATATACCGCTAAAAAGATGCCAAAATGAAAATGGCAACAGCCGCTCCAGGTGACACCAGTAAATAGGCGGTAAAAGGCATATTGACTGCTGTCACCTGGAGCAGCGTGTGCCAAAGACGTTGAGGGATGGATCAAAAGCAAAAAAAAATCCTGTGAACATCAATAACGGTTAATCCAATATAATCAAATAATCATATCATACAAATAAGCTACTTGATATTGTGCATTGGCCACATTAGTGTTGAATTAGTGGCAGTGACTGACCACAGCGATCCTCGGTGACACAGAAGGGTGAATCTGCTCGATGGAGGATGGTCCCAGGTCGGCACACACATTCCTCTCGGATAAAAGAGCAGGTGGTCTCCTCGTAATAGTCCTTATTCAGACAAGTGCGACTGGTGCATGTGCTCACACAAGGCTGGTACTCTTTTCCAGGGGGACACCGTAGAGCTGCAAACGCACACAATGTGTGGTGGTAACACAAAGCTACATTTGAGTTCTTTGATTATTAATGCTAATGTTTCTTACGGCAAAAGTTAGGTCTCCTCCAGTTGATGCACACTTGATGAGTGTAGCAGACTGCCACATATGCCGCCAAAAAGTCACACTGGTGATTCTTGTAGTGCAAATCTCCGGCCCATATGATATCACAGAACTGCTCCGGAGGAACCTGCACAAGCAGATCAAACACGCATGGAGGATATCAATGTCTGATGCACTCCCCATACTGTACATGAAATGTGAAACACGGATGAAAAGTTTCACCTACATAGAAATATAAGAATAAAGCCATACTCTCAATGGATGTGGTTTTTAATTCTATGTCTAATATACCTTGCAAACAGTGTTGATTTTTGGTGCAAACCTTCATTAGGCCGAGCCAATACGAAGTATTGGGGAGGCCTATTGTTATTCACCGGTTTCATATTATAATACTTATTTTTTTTCCGCTACTTCAATTCGATTTTTGACCCTGAAGACATGCACGAAAGTCTGCACATGGGGGGTCTAAAACGACCAGTTCGGCGAAACATTTGATAAAATGAACGTTTCCAGATTGTCCGACGCTCGCCGACTCTATAACGCCCCCTAGAAATTTCATTTTTTTTGACCCTCTGGGGATTTTTTTTCAAATTTTGGAGTAGGTACACGAAATTCGGATGAGTGATAGATCTCTATGAGACGAGCATAAAAGCCGTTCTAAGCACATGTCTGGGACCAACAGGAAGTCGGCCATGATGGGCCAAAGTTTCGCCACTAATTTGACTTTTCATTTATAAATTAGAACTAGTCCCTGGTTTTTCATCACACAGAGTTCTACCACGTCATTTCCCGCTCTGGACGGATTGAAGTTATATAATCATCGAAAAAAAGTTAGAAAATCTTCACCGTTTTCGTCCCTCGCCATGGCGAATAAGGCCTTCGTTTTGGCCATTTTCGCTGAGCCCTGAGGGCCACAGGCTCAGACTTACAGAGCTGAGACTCACATCAGTAATATTAGGTTATGGCCTGAACGCAATGACACTAAAATCATTCGCCCAATTTGAGCTCTTTAGCGCCACCTGTCGGAAAGTAATAGGGCACTAGTGCTCGGATCGGCCCGAAAATCGCTGAGTGTATTCTCTGGACCGACACGAGCAAAACATTACATTACGCAAAAGTTGTAAGTCCTACACCTGACCACTGGGGGCGCTGGAAAGTGAATAAATGAGCTTTTTAGGGCAAAATGTTTGTCCGATGAGGCTAAAAATGAATTCAGAAATACAACGTATGACCCTGAACACAACGATATGCAACACACAACTGTGAGTGCAACAGCGCCACCTACAGGCAGTTCAATGTGTTGCATTTTTGGCTTCGTACTAGTCCCTGGATTTTCATCGCACAGACTTCTACCATGTCATTTATCCATCTGGACGGATTGAAGTTATGTAATCATCGCATAAAAGTTAGAATTTTGTTATCGTTTTCATGCGAGGTAGTGGGGAATTTCTCCATGTTTGATGCTCTCCTGACCACAGGCTCAGACCTACAGAGCTGAAACTCACATCACTAACAGTTGGTAATGGCCTGAGAGTAATGGTGTGAAAACACACACCTAATATGACTCTACAGCGCCACCTATGGAAGGCTTCTGACCTAAACTTTTCCGATCTTCACCAAAGTTGCAAAATCAAATCTTTACATCTGTACGAGCAAAATACTACTCTACGTGGAGGGTGCATGTCCCGGAGGTAACCACTAGGGACGCACTTTATCATATAAATGAGCTTTTATATATGTAATCCTGGTCAGATCGGGCTGCCAATTCGTCTGCGTGACGCTTGTGGGACTGGCGCCCAGGAGGCGGTCGCAAGAGGGGCGAGGCCTTTCATCGCCGCTTGCGGCTTTAATTTCAATTTGTTCTGTGCCCTCCTACACTAAATGAATATCACCATGCAATGAGGCTGGCTTATACAGCATCTCCAGTGCAACAGAACATTGCCCAATTAATTAGTCCGTGATCAACATATTGTCTGTGTGAAATACAATATTAGCTCATGTAGGGAGTAAAAGACCTTGCTGTGGCAGGGCACAAAGGTTCTCTGCTGCAGCATAGAGATGCAGTTGGAGCAGTCCCCAATGGTGCAGTTGTCTCCAACCCTGCGGGTGTGTTCAGTCTCATCTGTGGTCGGAACTCTCCACGCGTGCAGGAACACCAGCATGTCGCTCACTTCTCTAACCACTGTGCCGTTTGGAAGCTTTAGATCATCCTCTGGGTGTCCATCACAACAACCTACAGAACACCATTTAGGATACAAGGTAAAATAACATTGTATTCCAAGAAAAAAAAATCCCACAATAGAGGGATTTTCAACAGAGAGAATATCTGCAGTTAATCAGTTAGTTATAAAGTTCATCCTGAATTATGCAGGGATGGTTCAGAGAAAGCATTTTCTGCACGGTTGGCTTTCCTCCAGTTCCAGGTCACATACAGTACCATCAAAACGAAGTGTCCTTAAGGACTTTCGTCATCAGCAGTGCATCTTACCACACAGGCCTCGGGTGGGCACCGAACCATTAGTGGGAGACATGTACTGTAGCACCATGATGCCAGTACTGTGGTACCACTGGATGCTGATCCCTCCTGGTGTATGGAGCAGGTACATGCTGCCGGTGTCCTCCACATACAGAGAGTGTCGAGAAAATGGGAGCCTCACCGGCCGATAGTTTACAATCACCTGAAACATTTCACGTACAGTGCATATCTTAGTGTGACTGATCTAATGTTTTTGATATGAAATTATGGGAAGTCGCTGACCTTTCGATCTAATCTGTGGATAATAATCCTATAAGATGAAGTGGTGATATTCAGCTTCTTGAAACATAACCCAGATGCACCCATAGGACCCTTGATTAATACAAGGTTTGTTAAAAGAGAAAAGACATTAAATTATACAATTGAATCTATTCATCTCAATCTTTCTCTACTCACATAACGTCTGATGGAGTTGACACTCTACAATAAAAGCAAAACATTTACAACTGTGTTCTGTGCTATGAATTACAAAAAAATTACACTTTAAATATTGATACCTGACTCGTTGGACATTTTTCCACTGTACCAATGATAGTCTCTCGTGGTAATTTCACAAGTATATAGGAGCCATTATCATACAAGGCGACATTATTCCCATCAAAGGTGATCACACGGAGGTCTGACATCACGGTGCAGCGACCTGACAAAAACAGTTGAGTGAATTTGTGGATGTAAGACAGTTCATATTGAGCAAACAGGTTTTTAAATGACCATACAGGGACACTGCCATTGTGGACAGCAGGGGTCCGAGCTGACAAGGACTGGCAGGCCGAGCAGGTTGCACTGGGGCTGAGTGGTGTTGAAGCGACAGTGGAGAGACGAGTTGTGAAGCAGCAGCTCTCCATTGAAACAGATTAGCTCGGCACATTCGTCAATACGATATGAGTACGGTGGCTGTGGAGAGAATAACAGATACAGTGATTTTTTTAAGATAACACTTTAACTACATTTATGGACATTGGTCATCTTCCCCTTATGGACCAAGGGCTATATGGGTTATTATCATTCCATTTTTTGTTTGATTCTCTGATCTGTGTTGGCAAATTAAACGGTTTTGTTAAGTCCTCCAAGACTTAGCACAACTACTGTTGTGATTTATGGTGATACGAGTCAACATTGAATAAAATTGAATTAAACTAAGCTAAATAAATAGGAGAATAGTTTTATGAATTATCTATTTCTTTTCAAACACTATTTAGGGAAACAACATTATTTGCAAGTTAGAGGTTGCAATTAGTCAATTAAAATACTGCAAACTTTTAATTCCTTTTTTAAATAAAAACACTGCAAAAAATATTGAATATTCCATATCATTTGAGTATGTTTCTTTTAAAATAGAACAAAAGAAATCTTCTTCCATTCTTATTATTGTTGTGTACAAGCCGCCACAGTCATGCCATAGTTTCACTGATCATTTCACTGAGTTGCTTTCAGTTGTGTGCACAGATTTTGATGGTTTAGTCATTATAGGCGATTTTAATATTCATGTGGATAATGTTAATGACAGATACGCAAAAGAGCTGAGTTCCATACTTGAATCCTTTGGCCTCACTCAGCATGTGAGTGGTCCCACCCATAGCAGAGGACACACCCTGGACCTGCTTATCACGAAAGGGGTGAATATTTCAAAAGTTAATGTAGTTGATGTTGCTCTGTCGGATCATTTCTGTGTATTTTTTAACATGTATTTTGCTACCAGACCACCCGCTAAATATGAAATTGTTAGAAGTAGACACTTAAATGAAAACACGGGTGAACTATTTATGGGAATGATCCATTTTGAGAACACATCATGTTCTACTGTAGATGAACTGTTTAACTCTGTCACCTCTAGTGTGTTGAATGTTCTGGACGCCATTGCCCCTGTGAAGGTAAAAATGGTCACAAATAAGCAAAAAGCCCCATGGATAAAAGCAGGCCCGGTCAGGGCACAGAAGCAAGAGTGCCGGAGAGCAGAGAGAAAGTGGAGAAAGTCCAACCTCCAGGGTGATTATAAACTCTTAAAAGAGAAGTTGTGTGAGTTTAACAGAGTACTACGTAGAACAAGAGAATTATACTTTTCTGAAACTATTGAAGGCTGCAGCAATAATCTGCGTGTTCTATTTTCAACAATCAATAGATTAACGAACCCCCCTGTTGAGTTGCCATTAGAACACTACTCCAAATCCAGGTGTAATGAGTTTGCACAGTTCTTCAGAGACAAGGTTCAGGGTATCAGAAATACCATCACCTCCACAACACAAGTAACAATGCAACATCCAGTGAGGCTTTGTGAGCTAGCTCAATTTGCACCTGTCAATGATGAAACTGTTAAAAAGATAATCACAGGTCTTAGTTCCTCTACCTGCAGTCTGGATGTACTACCTCCTAGATTCCTGAAGTCTGTTATGTGTAGTCTATTACCCTCATTGACACAAATAGTAAACATGTCTTTTTTATCTGGAACATTTCCAATGGCCCTGAAAAAGGCAGTCATCAGGCCCCTCCTAAAAAAGAGCAGTTTGGATGCTGCGGTACTTGAAAATTACCGTCCCATCTCAAATCTGCCATTCATGGGAAAAATTCTTGAAAAAGTTGCCTACCAACAACTTACTGAATTTTTAATATCTAATGACTCATTTGACATGTTTCAGTCTGGCTTTAGACCACACCACAGTACTGAGACCGCTCTAGTCAAGGTAACAAATGATATTCGGCTTAACACTGATGCAGGAAAAGTCTCTGTTTTAGTCATGTTAGATCTGAGTGCCGCTTTCGACACCGTTGACCATGAGATTCTCATGCAGAGACTGGAGGACTGGGTTGGTGTTGCTGGTACTGCCCTAAGCTGGTTTAGGTCCTATCTAGAAGAAAGGAAGTATTGTGTGGAGATTGGAGACTATGTCTCAGATAATATGGCCCTGACCTGCGGAGTGCCACAGGGGTCGATTCTGGGACCTCTCCTGTTCAATATTTACATGCTGCCATTAGGTCAGTTAATTCAAAGTATGAAAGTGTCCTACCACAATTACGCTGATGACACTCAGATCTATGTCTCACTGACTGCAGGAGAGCATGGACCGGTGGACTCACTCCTTCACTGTATCCAGCGGATCAGTGAGTGGATGCAATGCAATTTTCTCCAGCTAAATGCGGACAAAACCGAAATGATTGTCTTTGGTCCCGAGAAACAAAGAGAGACCGTCATTTGTCACCTTCAGTCTCTCTCCCTAAGGCCTTTAAATAAGGTCAGAAATCTGGGAGTAATAATGGACTCTGACTTAAACTTCAATAGCCACATTGGATCGCTAACATCAGCAGCTTTTTATCATCTGAAAAATATTGCCAAAATTAAAAATATTGTGTCCAGGGCAGACTTGGAGATTCTTATCCATTCTTTTGTTTCCAGTAGGCTGGATTACTGCAATGGCCTGCTCACAGGTATCTCCAAACATGCAGTAAAACAGCTGCAGTATATTCAAAATGCTGCAGCCCGAGTCCTGACTAGAACCAGGAAGTACGACCACATTAGTCCGGTCCTCAGGTCTCTGCACTGGCTTCCCGTGGCCCAGAGGATAGACTTTAAAGCAGCTCTCCTGGTGTACAAGTCTCTCCATGGCCTTGCACCAAAGTACATCCATGATATGCTAGTCCCATATGAACCAGCCCGGACTCTGAGGAGCGCAGGGACGGGACTCTTGTTAGTGCCCAGAGTCAGGACTAGACAGGGGGAGGCTGCTTTTCAGATCTATGCAGCTAAAGTCTGGAACAGTCTTCCTGAGGATGTGAGACTGGCTGCCTCTCTGTCAATGTTCAAATCCATGTTAAAGACTTTTCTTTTTTCCTGTGCATACAACTAGAGAATTTTATCTTTTTAACACACCTTGTTATTTATTGTTGTAACTTTTTGTGTTTTTAACTATTTTATTGTTTTTAATTACTTGTGTGATTCTTATGTTTTTAAATTACTTATGTGATTTTAATGCTTTTTAATTACATATGTGTTTTTAATTGTATTTTAATGGTGATGATTTGTGCATTGTGTGGTGTGGACTGTGAGGCGCTTTGTGTTGCCCTGTGCAGGAAAAGCGCCCTATAAATAAAGATTGATTGATTGATTGATTCCCTAATATTCATGAATTGGGAAAAAGTAGATGAAGGTTTGCCAATGGAAAAAACAGCTTTAATATTTTATATTTTGTGCTTGTTTGGTTGGCAAATCTGCTCAGAGTGAAATTTTCTCAAATAATATGAACTCATATTGACAGTGATAATTTTATACCTCACCAAGCATTTTCTTCTCAAATCTACAGAAATCTTGTGTCAGCTAATTTTTTCTCAGTTCATTTTTTATGTCTACATTTGTCTACATTTAACTACAATTGAACTCCGTCATAAAATCTAATATAGTTAGATAAAAAGAGTTTGGTTTGATCACAAGTTTGCATATCGATCACAAGTTTACACAGATCTAACATCTTTAGATCTGCTTTTTTCAGGCAGAAAAGTGAATCAGAGAAGACCAGCAATATTCAGCCCAGAGTCAAATAGTGACTCACAAGGATATTTCTTAAAAGTGTGTTTTCTAATAAGAAGTAGACATAAGACTCATTTTGTTTGGAAAAAACTTTTTTTTTTAAAGTTAAGTACCTTAGCTCTAACACTCTAGTTGTTTGATATGTTTTCTGCAATTGCAATTCATAAAATTGTTATTCATAAAAAATAGTCATGTAGTCCTATATCTTTTGATGTGCTTTACTCACTGTACAAGGGGAAGTTGGCAGGACAAAGGGAGTAACAGTTGCCGCTTCCTCCGTTACAACAGTAGAAAAACTTGTGCTTATTTCTGTGGTGGAAAAGTCAGTGGTGGACTCAGTGGTGGGCTCTGGGGTTGTGGGCAGTGTCGCGGTAGTCGTCACAGTGCTTGTTTCTGTAGGGGCGGTCTCTGTCATGGTGCTCTCGGATAATAGGCTTGTGCTCTCGGTGGTAAATACTGTGGTGGTTTGAACAGGAGTGGTCGGCAGAGTAGTAGGTACAGTAGACATCACAGTGCTTTCCGTTGTCACCACCGGCGTCGGCGTGAGGGTTGCCGTGGTGATGAAGGCGGTGGAGGTTGCGGCAGGAGTTGTGGTGGCTTCGGTTGTGGTAGTAACGGTGGTAGTGAAGGCTGCGGTTGTTGGAGCCGTGGTGATCATTTCAGTGGTGGCCTCTGGAGTGGTGGTTGGAAGTGGAGTAGTGGTGGTGGTAAGAGGGAGCGGATGAGTGGTAGTAGTTGGTAAAGGTGGGGTTGTTGTTGTGACCCTCTCTGTAGTTTGAGTCATTGTAGGGGTAGTTGGTAGTGTAGTAGTAGTAGTAGTAGTAGTAGTAGAAGTAGTAGTGGTAGTGGTTGGAGTGAGAGTTGTTGAAGCAGTTGTGGTCGTCTCAGCGGTTGTGGGTGTGAGTGTAGTGGTGGAGGTTGTGGTGCTGGTGAGTAGAGTAGTAGTGGCTTTGGTGGTGGTAGTATCTGCAGTTGTGGTGGTTGTCGGCCTTGTTGTCGTTGTTGTGGTCACCGTAGTGGGGGTTGGAGTAGTTGTAGTTCTATTAGACCGTGTGACATATGCAAACGGAGTAGGAGTCGGGGGCAGAATCACACCTGCAATTAGTTAACAAAACATCAACAATGTTATTTGACTTACTACTTACAACTTATCACGAATTACAAACATGTGTGTTTGTACTTACAGTCCTCTGTGTACACACATCTTCTAGTGATCTCGTCAAGAACCATGTTTTGTGGACAACGTGGAAAACAACCCTCCACACTATAAATACAATATATTTTAGTACTACTGTAATAGTAAAGAAGAATCATGTTTAAACGTTGAACTTACGGGGGTAAGAATTGGCAGCGTGTGGCATCAGGATCACTGCATGTGTGAACACATGGACTGGCACAGGCCTGGTAGCGCCACTCACACATCATACGATAGGGAATAACAAAACTGCTTTCTAGACCAATAAAAAACAAAATATAATGAAGGAGCTGTGCTAGAGCATACAGAATGTGTATGGATATGTATGGGCTCCTGACCCTTCAGCATAAAACTGCTGCTGGCCTTAAAGCCCTCAGAGGAGTCATATCTTTGGGCTTGTGCAGCAGTTCGTGTCAAGGTTAGAAAAGTCCCAGGCTGGCTGATGAGTTCGAAGGAGCTATGCCCAGGCAGGAATAATCCCTGGTGCTGGATAAAGGTGGCCTTGCGACTGAACTCGGGGCCTCTGCTCCAGCGCTCCAGATGGACAGTGCTCCGGCTCGACACCACAATGAAGTAGTTTGGACGCTCTGCAGATTCTATGGACACTACAGGGACACCTAGTAGGCATAAGAGAAGGGAACCCCTTAAATATGGTCACAGAGATGGCAATGCTGTATGTATGTGTCGTGTAAATCCTAACACTCACGTGATGTTTTTTCCTTCTGCAGTCCTGCAGTGATCATGAAGTTGAAGAGCAAGCCTGGAGCAGGCATCAGCCCTGTGCTCTCTCTGAACAAAGGGAAAATAGTGCTGCTGCTGCTGCGATTCACCCCAAACATGGTGTCATTATACACAGCACTCACTATGGAAAATGGACCATCACCTAACTCTGAGGGGATAAACAGGCTATGACAGACATTACATGGGACAAGCAATGTATGCTGAGTGTTCTGTTGAACCTACCCTGATTATAGTATTCACAATCATAGGCTGCAGAATAACAAGAAGAGATGAATAACTAACAGTATTTTGAACAAACATCATAATATCAAAGTACAATGTTATGAATTGTGAGAAAATTTGCAGCCTCCCACACTGCTCCATTCAATACTAAAATGAAGAGAAACAGACAGTTCACGTAACAGTTGTTAGTCAGTGGGACCTACGGCAGGCTGATGGTGACCTCCAGTGTATAGTGACCCCTTGTTGGCAGCATTTGTGTGCGTATGCTGCTATGGACGTGCAGAGACACTCACAGTCACCCCCACGGTTACAATTGCATGTGTCAGTCAGGCAGTTTCTGTAGAACCAGGACACATCCACCTGAGAAATACAAGCCACGTTCAAATATGCATGTACTTATAAACACTCATTATATTCACAACAAAGTGGTTCAGGAGGAGCTTTCACAAAGGATAGCTGCTGAACTCTCATGGAGGGGTGACTAGCTTTCAATTATTCACACAGGATAGAAGACCTGAGTTATTGAATGTGGGTCAAAATCAAATGGAAGAGGACCACATAAAGGAATTTTCTGATCAAGTTTCAGTGTATTAGAGGTAGTTCAGCTTCATTACTTGTACACAAACATTGGGAAGGGTCATTAAAAGCAACTATTGACAATGTTTTTGTACATACTAGTGGCGCCCCCTGCTGGTTAAAAACAAAAATACAGACTAATAAGTACATGTTAGGGTAGGTGCTCCTATTGATGGTTGAAATGACTCACCACATTGTGGCAAGGGGCAAAGACATCACTGTAGAGAAGAGCGCACTCCCTCTTGGCATACGGCTGCCGGCCCAGGTCCCCTTCACACGGTCGGGCCAGTACGTAGTCACTCTCACACTGACGCACACACGCACAGCTGATTCAGTGTCTGATTACTCTTAAATATCACACAGAACTCAGGGGAGTGGAGTACACAGGAATTACAGATGCAGCTTTCAAAGGAGAGTAAGTAGGGGAGATAAAGGAGTAAAGGAAACAAATTAGAGAAAGTTGAAGGGGATCCCCACCTGCCCCAGGGCCCAGCTGTCTCCAAACGTCTGGGCGTTATTGACCTCTATGTGGCTTGAGGTGCTCATGTCATTTACAGTCACACTGTCAAAGTTACCACACATCCCACTCAGGTGCCCCTGAAAATATAAACATTATTCTCATTCTCGTGGATAACAATATGGCACCATATTCCATATTCCACCACAATCCATCACAAACATTTCTTAAGTTTACTTCTCTCAAAACGGCAGTCCTCTTTATCAGAAGTAATTTCTCAAAAAAAAGTGTTTAGAATGTGGAATTATATATATAGATATATATTTTATTAAACTGCAAAAGTTACTATTTGTCCTGTTACTTGCTCACATGAGTTTAGTTTTAGTACTATTATTGTATCTGATTGTCAATGCATTTCACAGCTCAAAAGTCTCAACCAGGATTTGGTAAACATTACACAGGTATGAGTGTGTTCCTTATAGTCAATTTCTAATTATGAATAATGGGCAATGTTTTTAATGTTTAAAGAAACATAAATAATAATTGTACTGTTGTGCAGTAGGCAGGCTGTGCAGGTTGCGTGAGAGGCACACCTGCACACCTATAATGTGGGATTGTTTTCTGACCCAGACCTTCCACTGAGGCCCAGCTCGGATGTGAACAGTTGTCTTGCGGTCCCAGAGGATGGTTAAGTCCTGATTTGAAAAATGAACAACTGTGTAGTATCCTGCCTTCCACAATTCAAACTCGAATCCTCTTCCAATGACAGTGGATGGGCTCTGGGTAAATAAAGCAGATAAGTCTTAGAGATGCGGAGAAAATTAGTTTGAAGGATGTTATGTTATATATACAGGGTTGCCTGAGTTGTCCGTAAAGTAGATTTGGGTAAGTCCCACATGAATGACCAACGTCTTCAGGCACACAATGCCACTCTCATAACAGTCCTTGTTTTGGGCAATGATGGATATCTCTGTTTCGTCAGTGCTCTAATAACAGAAGAAAGCATTACAAGCTTCTGTAATGTAACATGAATCATCTAGACATTTAAAATTGTGTACACTCTATATACTGTAATACAATACACACTGGAGGAAGCAGCACCCTTGTAGGTAAGTGAAATGTAACAAGAACAGGAAGTAACTGCCGGCTATTAGGACAGAGTTGTGACCTCTGCATCCATTCTCTGTGGTCTGAGTGGTGGTCGGCAACCTGTTGGATGTGAATCAGTGTGTCTGTTCTGCTAATTCTAATTCTATATCCCTGGGAGCGCCAGAGCCCAGGGGTTTGGATTGAACACTAGTGCCTTTGTCTCGTTATAGCCTTGCCCAATGTCCGATAGCATTACCCTGGTGTCAACGAAGCGATGAACAATGTTCACAAAAACACTCTTCTTAATCTGTTCTCATTAAGGCTACAATTTATAACAGGATTAAACAAGCTTTTCCAGATACAATTCAGACTTGGCTATAAACATGAATAATGCTCCCACTTGGCTCTCAACAACGTATTTGGCCTACACACACAGTTTTAGAAACTGACACTTGTGTGGTCACAGTAAATTCCAGAATCCTTCTGAGAAATACCTAAGGCCATGTTTGTCCAAGTACAGCTCCAGTAAGCAAGACTTACTTTAATGAGGTAGACCTGACAGTCTGAGTGGTAGTCATACTCGAGTCCATCGAAGGTATGATAGTGTCGGTCACTGTACACAGTGCACACAGCCGGACATGGAGAATAGCTGCAGTTAAAATAGCCACGGTGACACACACTAATAAAAAGAGAGTACAGTATGTTTAACTGTCAAATACACTATACAACATGATATTGTCAAGAGCAAAGCATTATACCATCTGTAACATGGAGTCTCTACTGTCTCCCCAGGTAGGTATTCAAGCCCAAGCCAAGCACAAGGACAGTTCTCTGGATAGTAACACTCTCCATGGTGCAGGACCAACCTTTGAAAAATAAATTCACACATAAAAGGTTGCTCATCAAAATGACTACTTCACATTAAAGTATGCACATTATAAAAGTTGTTTTAATCGATTTAACAATCTATATTTAGAACAATATATCTATGCCAAGAAAATGATAACCTCACAAACTAATTACTAACATTAAAAGCAGTATTGTTTTATGTATATGTATATAATGACGTATTGTTGGATATTTACTCATGTAGCCTTTAATAAAGTGATAAGCTGTCATGTGTTGAAAGGCTGAAGAAGGTGATTACCCAGGGGGACAGACACATCCTGGTATGCAGGGCGTGTTTGGAGGACAGGTCATATTGAGCATGAGGTTGCGGCAGGTTGGAGCACAGGCCACCCCTCCTCTCTGCTCGTTGCAGCTGTGGTACACCTTACCCTCTGGACACTCTCCAACTTCTGTGCTGTCTGACTCTGCAGTAAGAATACAAAAAGGAACAGTAGAAACAAAGTAACAATAAAGCCTTAAATCTTAAAATTGTATTTGCCATTGAGAGAAAAACAGTGATATGGTAAGACCTTGTTCCTCCTGCACGCATTCCATCTTCCCGTTTCTGCACAAACTGAGGAAAAGAACAAGAAACAGGAAAGTAGAATAAAACACATAAGTCAGCTGGGAAATGCAAAAGTACCTTTACTGAACACTCACCAAGGACCAGACACACTGAAGGTAACCTCTCCCGGCTGTGACACACCACCCATGGAGTAGCAGTGGCACTGAGACCTAATCAAAAACCAGGAGCTTTCAAATTAAATAACAAAGATTACATCGGAATGTTGATCACCTATTTGATAAGGTCTTACAGCTGCACACAACGCTGCCGGACATCATCATAGTAACTGTTTTGTGGGCAGCCACAGCCCTCTGCACAGTCCTCTGGATCACAGGTCTCTGAGCCAGACAAAGCACGACATGTGCGACCACAGGACGAGACACAGGAGTGGTACAGCATTCCACCAAGACACACCCCCCCTTCACACAGGACAAATGACAAAACGTTGCGATTTAGCATAGTGATAATACTGTCACAGCGTTGCACTCACCGCACTCAGAAACATGCGGCCTGAAGTTTATGTCAGCTCCGTGTTTTGAGCAGAGATATGCATAATGAGCCAGGATTGTGCACAGACAGCTGCCCCCACAGCGACATGCCTGGTACCGGCACTGCTGCTGGTACACGCTCGGACTGATGTGGCCATGGCACGCAGCAAACACAGTCCCCACCAGAACCTCACACTGGTTTGCATAGTATACTACAAGTAAACATGCAGACTACATTTTAAATCATCCATCTCAATCTAGATAGCGAGGATGTTTTACTCATAATACCGTTGTGCTGGTTCATCTCACATGGGTCTATAATGGGAATATTAACAGGAGCTACACAAGCAGAGGACACCTTCCATGCATTGCTGTGGAGCTGAGGGGTTCCTTCAATCATTCCAGAGGGAGAGCTGTAATAACACACAACATGGAATAAATAGAACTGGTCAAAATAGGTGATGATGAGGTGAAGTAAGGTCATTACAGGAAGTCATCTCGTAAATTGCCATTAAATGTCCCACACAGGCCAAGAGTTAATCCACGCCAATAGTTTTCGATCTGCAAATAGATCCGTCCCCCTTGACCATCATAGAGAATTCGCAAACCAATTTCTGTCTTCAGTTGAGTAAAAACAGAGGTTAGCTTTCGTATTTCCACCGTTTCTGTAAAGCAAATATCAGCATTATGAAATTCAACATGTAATGTGTAATGTCCGCTTTTCAAATAAGTAAATACACGTGTCACATAATACCATCCACATAGGGCAGGAGAGGGGCAGGGTTCACTCCAAAGATCACTTCCCCTTCCCGGGTCAAGGTGATCTCACGACTCACGTCTTCATCTAACACTAGTGTCACCGACTGAATACACACCTGATGCTACAGATAGAATGCCATATACAGTAAGAATTAAAATATGTAATTATATATGTAATATGAATCATTCCCATTTACCTCAGCACATGTAGTGTATTGTAGCGTGACAATAAACTTGCTGTTGCGACTTTTTGCAAGTACATACTGGCATGTCCCAGGCTGGAGGAACATCCTCCCATCAAAGGTTGTTACAAACACATCCCCCACCACTGAACACTCAGCTTGGAAATACAATATTGAGCAAATGTTTAGATTTAAGAATGAGCTGGACCAGCATTATATGAGTGTTGATTCAATTTACCAGTGCAGTTGTTTTCTGTGCAGTTCCACACTCCACCCATGCACACACTGGGGCACAAAATGTATGATGTTCAGGAGACCACATTTCAACTACCTTAAAATATATAATATTATACTGACCAAACACTACATTCCTGATGCAGTACATGTCCTTGTCCATATGAAGTCCCATGATAAACACAAGGACACTGGGAGACAGCAATACATGATCCATTTTGTAGGATCAGGCCTGGAGAGATGGTATCATAATGCTTATGAAGTATGTATGCTTTATTTTACAGGTCTAACGCTTTTGTACCATCAGGACAGTAGCATCCATCTAGACAGTGCAAGTTTGTTCCCAAACATTCTTTCTCAAATGTACAGGTGGGTGGGCAGCAACTGATGCAGTCTCTATAAACAAAACGGTCCTCACAGCCGTCATCTAGAGGCAAATAGAAAGGTTTTAGTAAGAAGAGGTTCTTTAGTTCACATACTACAACAATATACACTGTTGTTCAAAGGTTTGGGGGTCACCTAGAAAAGTTTATGTTTTATATAAAATATCATGTTTGATTCATCAAATGAGTTGCAAATATATAATTCATATGCATAGTTATGACATTGATAACTATCAAATGTAAACCATACAATAAGGTTTATACAATCAGCATAAACCTTTCCTAATCATATATTTTTGAATAGTTTTTCTGATTAAAGTCATCCTCGATTTAAAAAAAAAAAAAACAGTGCTTTTCATTCTAAAGCTAAGTCACCTAAACATTTATGGACATTTATTAACACTTAGTGACATTGGTCATCTGTCCCTGATGGACCAAAATCAATGTGTTTTCTATTTTATTTCTTGTGTTTGAACTGTTTGATTCTCTGATCTGTGTTGGCGAATTCAACAATTGTTTAAAGTCCTCTGCAAGGCTCGGTCCTGGGACCTAAATTATTTGCCCTGTATCGGAATGATATTTTTTCAGCACCATCCTAGCTGAAATGTTGTTTCCCAATGACACACATTTCTTTTGTACTGGACAAGATATAGTTGAAGTATTGCAAGTGGTGAAAAAAGATTTTTATAAAAAAATGGTTTAACTTTAATAAGTTATTGTTGAATGAAAACAAAACAAAATGCATGATATTTTCAGGAAATAGACAATGTTAAACTATATATGAATGGAGTGGAATTTGAAAGAGTATATGAAACCAAATTCCTACAGTAGGTGTGATCATAGATAGTAAACTGTCAGTAAGAATATATAACATAGCATCAAACATCAAGTATCCAAATCCATTGCTTTTCTCTACAAAACAAGAGACGTTTTAAACAAAAAGGCTCTGTTTCTAATATATTTTTCTTTAGTGCTGCCCTATTTGAGATTTGGGAAAAAGAAGGGAAAAGATGTTTAGATTATATACAAAAATTACAAAAAAAGGCGATTAGAATAGCGAGTAAAGTGGGGTATCTTGCACCTAATAATAATGTATTTATACAATATAAAAAAGTGACACAATATAATGTTACAGTAGGTGTATTTATTTTTGAATCTGCTAAAGCAAGAACTAAAGTGAAATCAAAGTGTGTTTCTGTTCTTGGAGTGAAATTATGGAATTGATTAAAAGAAGATTTTTTTTACAATTTCCTTATTTACAATTTAAAACGTATCTTAAGTTTAAAGTATTAAATAAATATGAACAGTGTTTTTTTACGTTAAACCGAAAATGTAGAATAGGATAGGCTCAAATAAGCATTGCTTCTGCCAATTCCTTTTTTGGTTGCAAATTATTATATTATATCATATGTTTGAACTTTGTTCATGTGATGACCAAAATAGAGTCAATCAATCAATCAATCAATCAGATAACTACTGTACTGTTGTGATTTAGGGCTATACGAGGAAAAATAGAATTAAATTGAAAACTTTTGAACGGCAGGGTAAACATGCAAAGAAGTCTTACTGCAGGATGGAAAACTATCCCTCCACTCTCTGACGGGATAACCCACATGTGAGCAAGCACGAGTGTATTCAACCAAAGCTCTGCAAAATGTTTCCTCGTCATCAGACCTAAAGACAGCACATTTACTTAAGACACATCATTTACATACAATTACAAACGATCCAGCAGGGAATACATGTATACACTCAACTTACACACACAGGTCAGAGACACAACTGGCCACAAAGGGATTTGGATCAATGTGCTGATGACATGACAGGAATGGGAAGAAGAGAAGTGCACTGCATTTCTCTATAGCATCCTGTGCATAATGGAGGCAAATGAAGCATCACAATATTACAGAAAGTGTTTTTCTTGGTCTTTGGTAACTTACATCCATGTCAGACTCGGATTGACAAGGCCCACTGAAGTCGAGATCAACAGAGGGACAATGTCGCTCATGGGGCAGGTCAATAGTCCAGCTGTTAGCAAATGCTGCAGGCTCATCTGTGTGGATCCCTTCAAAACAATTCAAAAGTGTCAGACCCCAATTTGCATCTGAACTAAAATACACAATTTCTGGGAATCAATAATTTGTGGGGGTTCTGTTAAATCCTGGTCTTATCAACACAATACCATGATTTGAATTACAGTGATTCTCAGAAGTACTTGGTGTTTTTGTTCTAATAGCTGTTCAAATACGTTACACAACTAGGCACTGTGGGCACTTGAAGACCAGTTTGCTTCTAAGGATTTTCTTTAGATCGTACCTAAAATGCAAGAGGTAGAAACTCGTTTTTTAAAGAATGCATGGAGACATACCTCTGGCAGTTGTGAGATCATCCCGTGAGAGGTGGTTGAAGTTGCCACACAAACCACAAGGACCGCCCTGGTGGTCTTCACTCATTTTTAGGTAAACACCAGATTCCCCATCCCAGGCCAGAGAGAACCCAAACACACTCTTGACCAGCAGGTAGTCGGCCAGGCGCTCTATAAATACACCTCCAATTGTGTGAGGCAGACTGAGCCTATGACAGCAAGTTAGAAAAAAATAAGGGTTTAGACCACAGCAGATTAATCTAATATGAGGGTCAAAGCTGGGGTCCCTAACTTTAAAACTACAAAAAGTTACTATGTACAGGTAAAAAAATCCATCTAGTTCCAAACAGATCCATCACTAGTTTTCACATATGTTTATTTTTTGGCCTCTGTTACATTGTTCTTAAATAAGCTTTTTCTGACAGAAAATGGGAAAGAGAAGACCACCTCACATTGCCAATCAATGAAATAGTGACTCACAGTATGCAAAATATACCAAGTTTTCTAATAAAATGAAGACGGCATGTTGTGATTTGATTTGCTCACAAAATGCGACTTAACAAAGTGTATTATTTATTACAGTGTTTTTCAACCTTTTTTGAGCCAAGGCACACTTTATTCTTTGAAAAAAATCACACAGCACACCACCCGGAAAAAATGAAAAAATATACACTCTGTACCTATATTCACAATATAAAGTAATTCTCATCAAAGAGATTACATCCAGGCCTTGACATTAAGCTTTGTTTAATATTTCTCAATACAATGAGTAAAGTGGCACTAACTGTGTGGAAAAATATAAATAAAAAATCCACTCTCAGCCCAAATAGTCAAATAATGACTCAGAAGGTTCTAAAGTCTGCAAAATAATAATAGAAAATGGCCTGTTGTGTGTTCAGTTTGATTTTCTTACTTTAACATCCGAGCTTTAAATTCGGGAGTTTTGCTTGCACTTCAAGAGGAGACAAGGGGGAGACACAGTCCTGAATGCAAGTCCATGGTTCTGTCCGCGTGTCCATGGTTTGGTCTGCGCGTCTAAAGTTCTGTCTGCGCGTCTGTGGTTCTGTCCGTGTGTCTATGGTTCTGTCCCTGCGTATATGGTCCTGTCCGCATGTCTATGATTCTGTCCACGCGTCTATGGTCCGCGCTCGGTACCACGTTACGGATGTGCGTTCGCTGAGCTGTGGCTGGCAGTACAATGTGGCCACAGCTGCCCTAGGGTCAGAGCGGAGGATGTGAATCCTGTTCAGATAGGCGTAATTCCTTTTCAAAAACGTCTCACACTTTCACTTCTCACTCGCTCCCCGCTGCCTGTTAAATTTGTTGGTCGCATCCAATTTTTACGTTTCTTGCCACAATGCTCCCCGCTGTTTGTTACATCCAGTGGTTGCATCCAATTTTTACGTTTCAAAGTATTTAGCTATCTGCTGCCATCTACTGATATAAAAAAGTATTACGTGGTTACTCCACAGTTCAAAACAAGTCAGCACTCGCCAACGGTGGCGTGCTCGTAGTCCTACGAGTGGACCTGTCTGAGTGGATCCTCACAGACAGACCCCGGTTTGTGAGAACCAGGGATTTTGTGTCTGAGGTCCTGACCTGCAGTGTGGAGCCCCCCAGGGGACAGTCCTCGCGCCGTTTTTCTTCACCCTCTACACTGCAGACTTCAGACACAACACGGACGGTTGTGTCCTACAGAAGTTCTCCGACGACTCTCCCATCATCGGAGTCAGCTCCGAGGATGATGACACAGAGTACAGAGGAGTTATACAGGACTTTGTGGACTGGTGTCAGCGGAACCACCTCCTCATCAACGCGGGGAAGACCAAGGAGACGGTGGTGGATTTCCACAGAACTCACTCTACGGCGCCAGCCCCAGGGAAGGGACATTGAGAGAGTTGACTCTTACAAGTACCTGGGTGTTCATCTGAACCACAAACTGGACTGGACTCATAACACAGACGCCCTCTTTAAGAAGGGCCAGAGCCGACTCTACCTGCTGAGGAGGCTCAGGTCTTTTGGAGTGCAGAGGCCACTCCTAAAGACCTTCTATGACTCTCTGGTGGCATCAGCCATCTTGTACGGTGTGGTCTGCTGGAGCAGCAGCATCACAGAGAGGGACAGGAAGAAGCTGGACAAGGTCACCAGCTCTGTCCTGGGCTGTTCCCTGGACACAGTGCAGCGGGTGGGGGACAGGAGGGTCGTGGACAAACTAACATGTATGCTGGACCATGACTGTCACCCCCTGCAGGACACTCTCTCTGCTCTAGAGAGCAGCTTCAGTGAGAGACTTATTCATCCTCGATGTGAAGGAGAGGTTCCGCAGGTCTTTCCATCCTGCTGCTGTCAGACTGTACAACAAACAATCATGCATCGTTGCAATATCCTTAACTTATATCAGAATGTGCAATAACCATATGTCACTGTCACTTTACTGAGTCCCTATGTCCCAAGATTGCGATCCAAGATGGCGCCGTATTCAAATGAATGGTTTGTGCTCAGCGGCGCATTGTGCCGGCATGGGCGCCGAAAGATTAGCGGAACTTGCCTGGAACTCGCAAAGATCCATGGGAACTTGCCTGTATTTTGGCATCGTCTGGTCCTCCCAGTTCTGTGCAGTGGATGATCTCCCATGATGCGTTGCGCCAAATACGCGTGTGTGGCTCTCATGCACGTGCACAGAGGGGCTCGGCCGCGCTCTCACCAATTAGAGCTGCTCATCAGAGCGGGAGTTAGAGCGAGAGCCAGACGGCCAGAGTTTGTGGCATTAATGTGTGGATTTAAAGAAAACTGAAGGATTTAAGAAGAAAAAAAGTTCAGGATGACAAGGGACACTAAAATCCCCACAAAATCCGACCTTTATTAGAGCTGTAGGTTCTCTGTCAGCTGAGGTCGAGCTGTTTTAGTTTACATTGAGTCCTATGGGGAAAATTTCTGGGTAGCCAACGTGAATTTAGTCTGGTTTAGTCTGCAGTACCGCGAGAATCCCCTGAGTACATGGGTTCTTCAGCTCCAAGCTAGTAATACAATACAACAACACTGAAATTTCCCCACTGTAGGACCAATAAAGGATCTCTTAATCTTAATCTTAATTTATTTTTAGACAAAGTAGGCAAATTTCTCACCCCGCACCAGACAATATCATACGGCACACTAGTGTGCCGCGGCACAGTGGTTGAAAAACACTGATTGATGAAGCAACAATTTTGGATACCCCAGCTTTAAAGTTGCAATATGTAAAGTTCCTAGTGGAGGAACCAAAACCGCATTGTCTCTAGTTGCTGTCATGCATCATGTATCACAGACAAGCTCTGATAGCACTGTGTCAAAATTCTAAAACAAAATAAAAAATAGTTTGACTTAACTGATTAAATTGAGTTAGGGCGAAGTTGTTCAAAATATGGATATAATATTTTCATTGTTTTATTTTATTGATTTAGGATAACCACCAGATTTCCTTGCCCTAGGGAATCAATATTGGAAACAGGCAGGTGGTAGAACCTCCACTGAATGACATACATAGCACACCTAATCAAAATGCATACCAACCGGCGACCACCTTGATGGACTTGATAACCAGAGATGTGAATTTCCTCCTCATTAGGGAAGAACAGGCTAAGAGCTCTGGGACACAAATACACACTACCCTCGCACACTCGGCTGTTATGGACCTGAGAGAAAAAAAAAACAAGATGAAAGAGGATCAAAGGAAGGCGGAAAAAAAACGTAATAATCCACACACACACACACACACTCTCTGTAAAATGACCTGTCTATCTAAAAATACCCAATTGTCTGTAATGAGATGAACCTAGCATAAAGCTGAGCACTACAGAACCTGACACCAACTTAAACCTACTTAGCTCTATTTAGCTGCTTAAAATCGGTAGATAACCTTCATCTATGCGCTCTTACCCACACGGTGTACTGTGGCGTGCTCGAGTGGCAGTCTTGGGCCAGGATGTAGGAGCAGGTGCCAGGGAAGTAGAAGTAAATCCCATCAAATGTTTCGTAGTGGTGCTGACCCCAGGACCTACAGATCCCGTCTCTATCTTGGCCCTGGTTTGATACTGAAGATAAATGGGCAGTTTAGTCACACAAGAATATCCTGTGATGCCATCTGTGAAGACAATGAGCAATACCTGTCTGTCGTCATTCACCTATTCACTAAACTTATCAGAGGAAAATGAATGACTGAATTCTCTAAAGACTGTTGTTACAGGAAATCCCCCCTAGTTTGTTGTGCCAAGATGCTACCCGAGCTTCACTTGGAAATTGACTGGGAGTGACTCACATTTCTCCAGTACCAATTTTTCGGCCTACAAATATACAGAGAGAAGATGTTTCTTCCAAGCACATGGATTACACATAAAAATTTTCCCTAATGAGTGACTAGTTTTACAGTGTTTGATGACTGTTACAATGACTGTAACAATGACAGACTTGACTCAAAGGGCTCTGTTCTGTCAGACTTCTTAGGGAACAGAGTAGATTAGCCTTCTGTGAGAGTAATGGGGGCTTTTATTTAAGCTCTGACCGTGGTGGCTCTGAATTTAAATTAAAAATTTGGAACAATCAAATCTCAGAAAATCTGATAATTATCATTTGGGTAAGAACTAATTACATTTTGTTGAAGGATCAAGAGTCAGATGCATTCAAGTGAGGAGCCTCATTCACCTTCTTATATTAATTGGGAAACACAATACCATTATTAGGCATCCAACCAAAGAGTTAGCATATTTTAACACATACAGTCAAACCTGAAGACATATAAGGATATAGTTCACTTATTTCTGACAGCAAAATGACATATTGGGAGGTATTTCTTCTGAATGATGTGTTACTTTCTACAATCTCAAAAGCATAATTTCAATGAAAAACAATATATTTTAAAGTATGTATACATATCCAGTTCCAATGTATGCTCACGCCAACCTCACTTCCACTTGTAATACTGAATAAAATGAAATTAGATGTTGTATGTTGAAACATCAAGTTCAAGTTTAAGTATCAAGTTGAGCAGTACTCACTGATTTGGCAGCGGTCTCCCATTGCCTGGAACTGAGCACAGTCACACGCACCGCTCTCCTGACACCAGCCGCCATTGAGACAACCACAATATTCTGAAGACAAAGTTACGTTCACTTCACGGCCAATTTCAATGCAGATTTTCAGGTTGCATAACAGGTACCTGAGGAAGCATCCCTGGATGTGAAATTATGTAATGCACTGCGGGACAGAGCACCTTCCGACAGCAGTGGCCTGTATGTCTAGAGCAGACATAGATAAGCAGAGGACTCTTAAACAGCATTATTGACACAAGTGGAACAAACTGTAAGTTGCATCAGGATGAGAGGAACAAAGTGAATGTGTTAGTGAGTGTGTCTTGCTTTGTACAAAGCCCGCTTTGTGCCCGTTTGGGTGTTTGTGCGCATGTGGGTGCCCTGACCTCTCCTGGTTCTCTTAGGTGTAGTGTACCAACCTCCTCCCCGAGGAGATCCCGTTTCCTCCGAAGTGCATTAGCCCTTCTGCACACACAAACATGCACATTAGTGAGGGAAACAGTCAGAGGGGAGACTTAAGTGCACTTTACACCACTTGAATCTAGACTCCAAACTTTTGACTGAACTGTTCGCACTCAGACGCACTCGCACATACACCATCACAGATCACTATCTCAGCTGGAGTGACAGCACTGATATATAATCACAATGATCAACATTTACCTCTGGACTTTTCCTGTTGATACTGACAGCCGGCTCTGAGCTCCTGAATAATACACATATAAACACTGCTTTTAATGTACAACAATAACTATTAAACAACAAAAACATTTTGGAAATATAATATAGTTCTGAGAAATATCCACAGAAATAGCATTAAATTCATCAATCTTCAATAATACAAGTAAAGGACCTATGATTATCTTTCTAATATAATTAAAATAGAAACCTCCCAGTCCCAGATAGTACTGCGTGTCAGCCAGAGGTGCCATGCTTACCCTCAAGTACCAACAGTTGGGAGATAGAAATTGACATAAGCAAAAATCTTTCCACTGTCCACTTAAAGTTCATTTCAGCCCCGAAAGAAGACTCTCAGATGTTAAGGGTTCATCTCAGTGGTCCCAGGAGAAAAGGCTGCGGGTGACTGCAGACAGACGGGATGGTGTGGCTCTGAGGCTGGCCACATGCACCTGCCCAGGTCCTGCGGAGGAGACAGCCCCCTCCACATGACGGGGCCGGGGAGGGGGGAGGACTGCATCTTGCTGGGCTGGCAGGTAAGCATGCTCCCAGTAAGACTCACTGGACATACAATTCATCATACCCAAAAGACATCATTTAATACAAAAATCTAAACACAACTTCGCAAAGCAAAAGAAAAGTGTGGTGTGCTAAGCTAGCTATTAGCGTAAATGATGCTCACATCTTTAGCATAACCTTTTTGAACATACACTACCGTGTTTCTTCCTTCACAAGCAGTGGGAAGGTCAGTGTTCCAGGTCCATGATAATGTGTTATGATAAGGTTAGTTAGTGAATTGTATCTTTATAAACTACAATAGTTGTTTTTTCAGTAAACTACCGGTGCTTCCCTGAACCTTTTCTAGCGGTGAATGCTGACAGTGTGAAAGCATCGAGGCAATAACTACATTTATAAACTTGTATTAAGGGCTCAAGACTCCGCAGAAGTGCTTAAAAAGTCTAAATATATATGAATATAAAAATAGATAGATACAGTAGATAGATAGATAGACACAAACACACACACACACACACACACACACATATACTGTATAATTTTTTTTTAAAGTTTTTAAATTATCATCCTTTCATTTTTCAGTGACGTAAATATTAAAGGTGGTTTTTCTAATAAGAATAATGATAATAACAATGCATCGGTTTTGTAGCCCTTTTCAGGATACTCAAAGACGCTTTACATGTCATTATTCATTCATTCCATCCACGGTGGTGATAAACTACTACTGTCGTACAGCTGTCCTGGGGCACAGTGACAGAAGCGAGGTAACCAGTATGTGCCATCGGCCCTCAGACCACCACCAGCCATACACACACACACACACACACACACACACACACACACACACACACACACACACACACACACACACACACACACACACACACACACACACACACACACACACACACACACACACACACACACACACACACACACACACACCAGACTCATTCTAGGCAATGTGCTATATCAAAGGTATTTGTTTTTGTCCATTTGACCCTGGCATGTACAATCATATAAGATATATAAATAGTCCGTCCCCTTGGTATAACCACCGCCGGTAAGATTGAGAATAACCAATGACGAGGGGCCTCGCCTGTAGTTTAAGGATTTCGATTAAATTCGTCCAAACAGGGAGCTGTGGAGGTGACTTACACAATGCAGTGCTCTATAAAACTTTAAATAAACTTTCACATAAGCAGAAATGTTAACAAAATAAACGTAATAAATATTTATTTGTGAAATTACATTGTCACACTTAGATTTGGGGTCTAATAAGCACTTTATACTATAATGACTGGTCTGATGTTTATGAGACAATGGAGACAGTACACAGACAGAACATTATAGCATTCATTTCACCATTCATGTAACTAAGACTGCATGATATTGGAAAAAATATGATGTTAGTGGTGTTGATAGTGATATTTTCATGCTGCATGTTGGGAGTGGTGTTTTTAACCTCTTTTCCCCCTCGTTGTGTTGTTGTTTCCAGCCACTGTACCAAGAGAGTCTTGGCTCTAGCAGCAAATGGCAAAGTTTATGCTTGTAAAATAAATTTAAAATAAATTCTTTATACATAAAATAATGGCACATCTTCGTGATATGAATACTTCACTTGTCATTAATGATAAAACAATATTTTTCTAAATATTGTGCAGCCCTAATGTAAATAATACTTTTTAATGATACATCCTCAGATTTAATGCATTTATTCCATTAGTGCTGGCGTGGTTCACTTCTTGTTTGAAATAAGTGCATTTATATCTTCTTCTGCTTTCAGACTGTGCCACTGGGCAATGGGCCGTCGAGGATTGGCCAACATATCTGACCAGTGACATTGCTCCGTGGCTGAACTTGTCCCTCCGAGCAGGATTTTTCCAATGGCATCATTTTTCCCAATCTTGTCATAGTCCAGCACAGTTATGGCCACCTGCACTTTCTAAGAACAAACAACAATATAAAAAAGGGTAGGTGGTTTGGAATTACAATGTACATCACATGTGTCACACATAGTACCTCAATGATATCACACGCCACCTCAAAACTGAAAGACTCGTTGTAATAAGGATTCAAAGTGTTCTTCTTTATTGTTGTTTTCTTTTTCTTGAGTCGCTTTCCATTTTGCATTAAGTGGAGCTTCACGTAGGGGTCTATTAAGAAGAGAGAAGGTTTTCAATATGGCCTGGCCCTGGTGCAGTAAATCCATCAATTTTTTATTTTTATTTTTTAAATTTCTCCATTGTGAGATCAATAAAGTTTATATTATCTTATTTTAATTGCTACTTAACATATTGAAAAAGAACACACCAATAACAAATCTTATTCACAACCACCAAGCAGTCTTATGGAAATCCGTGTAAGATAAATCAATTGTAAGATTAATCCAGAGCTTTCCAATTAGATTCAATATATTTTTGTATAGCCCTAAATCACAACAGCAGTCCTCTTGGAGGACTTAATAAATGTCCCTAGTTGCCCCTTAATGTCCTTAATGAATGCAGAATAACATTTATTTTTGTTCAAATGAAAGATATCTCTATGAATGTTCTCCAGGGGCTAGGCTACATGTGGACTTTGGTCAAACATATTCATAATCTCTCTAAACTTATTGATAAATTAAAAGAATAATCAACAAAATGATAATAATAATCTTTAATTCCAGCCCAGTCAAATGAAATATGAAACACTGATATTTAATTATCACTGTTCTTAGACCAAAAAATAAGGGTGGGAAAAAATTGAGAAACCTCGGGTAGGGACCATAGATCCAAGACTCGGGCTGTAATGAGGACTGCCATACCTGATAATCCACCCACATCCATTTTCTTAAGGTTTTTGGCCTCCAAAATGACCACCGTCAGCTTCCCTGCTGTGGGAACATATCTCAAGGACAAGCAGATGTCTCCCAACCGCTCGCTCTACAGAATAGAGACAAAGGCAATAATAATCCTCTTGGCTGTGAAAATAGTACTGCTTTCGCAAGTACAATTATTTGTTCCAAGCTGTACAGCAGGGGTCATCAACTATATTTGTCAGAGGGCCAGAGTTTTACCAGACAGTCTCCTCAGGAGCCGGACCCCCAAAGAAAAAAATTAATCAGATTCAGATTCATTTATTTGCCATTTGCAGTAAAACCACATTGGAATACATCCACAAAAGTCCCCAGTTTTTGCAAGACAAGTACATGAATAAAACAGAAATAAATATTAATAATGAATAATAATGCATTGGTTATACTGCTTTTTTGGACACATAAAGATGCTTCATGTGTCATTATTCTTTCACTCCATACACGGTGGTGATAAACTACTACTGTAGCCACAGCTGCCCTGGGGCACACTTACAGTAAAAACTGTTTCAATACAAAGGCAAGATCATTTAAAGTGCCTTGATTAAACTGATAACAGCTTGTGGAAAGAAGCTGTTAGCAAAATGAGATGTCCTGGATCTCAATGAACGATATCTTCTGCCAAAAGGAAGAAACTGGAACTTGGGAGTCATTGATTATTATTATAATAAAAAAAATGATAACAATAAAGTGCAAAAATAAGTCAAAAACAAACAAAAAATTATGATCCTCACATTTTTGGAATATGGTCGCTGGCAAGATCAAACAAGATCTAATCTTTTTCCTTATTTACACAATTTGTCAAATTGTGTTACAACTCAGGTCTAACTATACGAATTAATTAAGATAAAAGACAACTTCGTTAAAGTTATTTTTACTCAAAAATTGTCATGTTTTTACTTCTCAATAGGGCTGCATGATATATAAAAAAATATTGTTTTTGTGATATTGGTGCGTGCGGTATCCATATCAAAAATATCCACTATAAAATATATATGTATTTTTTTCTTCCTGTATAAAAGACAACAAAACAGACACATCAACATTCAACAAACAAACAAAAAAGTATCTATATTCAGTACAGACCAAAAGTTTGGACACACCTTCTCATTCAATTCGTTTTTTATTTTCATGATTATGAAAATTGTAGATTCACACTGAAGGCATCAAATCTATGAATTAACTCATGTGGAATTATGTACGTACTAAAAAAAAAAGTATGAACAACTGAAAAACTGTCTCATATTCTGGGTTCCTCAAAGTAGCACCTTTTGCTCTGATTACTGCTTCGCACACTCTTAGCATTCTCTTGATGAGCTTCAAGAGGTAGTGACCTGAAATGGTCTTCCAACAGTATTGAAGGAGTTCCCAGAGATGCTTAGCACTTGTTGGCCCTTTCACTCTGTATAGTCCAGCCCCAAAACCATCTGGATTGGGTTCAGGTCCGGTGACTGTGGAGGCCAGGTCATCTGGCCCAGCACCATCACTCTCCTTATTGGTCAAATGAAAAGAAACTCATTGAATGAGAAAGTGTGTCCAAACTTTTGGTCTGTACTGTATTTGTATTTGAATGTCATTAATGTTGTGCTTATTTTTATTTATTTATCTCTTGCGTTTCAATGCAGATTTTAGGTGCACCTAAATGCAATTTTAGGTGAAAGACAAAAATACTGCAATAATATTATTATCGCAATACTAAACACTCATATCGAATATCGCACTAAACTAATTTCCAATATTGTGCAGCCCTACTTCCCAAGTATGTTGTTCTCTCTAAACAGAGGAGCAGGAAAATTGAAAGTATAAGTCTCAGAGCTTTCATGTTTATGAAACCTGGTATTGTGTGCTTGCAATAATAAAGCATATTTCTTAAGTAGAAGGGAACATGGCCCGGCTGTTAGGCCTGGCTTGGTGATGTCAGAGGAGCTGATGCCTTAGTCAGGCTTCTGTATTTCTACCCTGGGCAGCTATGGCAACAAAAGTATCTTACCCCCTAGTGTCAAATGGATGTCTGTCAAATGCTATAAATGGTTATTGCTTTTTTATTAATAATGATATTATTATAATCAAATGTAGGGCTGTAAAAATGATTGCAACTAATCAGTTATTGGATTGTTGTCAAACTTTTTTTTCAATAATCAGTTTTGACTTAAACAGGTTTTATGACTCAAATAACTCTATAATGACTGCAGAAATAAAATGTATTTTTATTTAAATGAATGCTCTCCAGGGGCTACATGTGGACCTTGGTTAATCTCTCTAGTCTAAACTAATTGATAAATTAAAGGAATAATCAACAACAAAAAATAATAATCTTTAATCCCAGCCCAATCAAATAAAATATGAAACAATAATTTTTTTTCTTTTAAGTTTAGCTTTTGACTGTCTGTTGTTGTGGTTACCTCCTCCTTCTCTGCCTTCTGCAGGTCTCTCCACTCCTGCATGGACTGGCTGAAGTCAATGCTGCTCATGGGGATCTTTATATCTCCTATGGCATCATGTTTGGAGAATCGGTCAAAGTCATAAACTGTCATCACCAGGGTCTTTCCTCCCAGCTCACTGTAGGGGACCTGAGCAGGCAGAGACAGCATATGGATGTAAGTACATTTCAGAGTTGAATGCTTATAACATAATATATGATTTCATACATTAAGAAAGTTAAAGGCATTATCTGTGGTGTCTGGGCGCTTTCTTGGCATAATTTCTTCCCAAAATATGTCACAATTCTGAGTTTGTCCTCACTCATTGCTTCAGATGTTCCTTTTTAAACAGTTAATCAAAGCTGGGGTACCTAACTTTTTTGTTTTCTAGATAAAGCATGTGGTTTGTCCGAACAGAAAGAGTCTTGTAAAAGTAAAATGTGTGAACAAATCATATCATAACATGCTGCCTTAAGTTATTATAAGAAAACCTTTATTTGTCCCTCAGTGGGGAGATTATAGTACAGTAGGACATATTTTCTTATTTGAAAACAGGTTATCATATCGCTTACTTGTGAGAAATAGCCCTGTAAGTCACAACTTAAAATTTTGGTCTGGAAGTTGGTTAGCTGAATGAAGGTGGTCGTCTCTTTTACTCTTTTCTGTCTGAAAACCCTGCTCTAAAGATTTGAGGCCTAAAATAGGCATGTGAAAACTAGTGATAGAAATAGTGACAGCAAAAAGTGAAATTGATTGTATCGCATTTTTCAATTGTTTTGTGGTTTGGAAGTTAGGTACCCATCCATCCATTCATTTTCTACCCCTTAATCCATTTCTGTTCTTCTTAAATTAAAAGAACACTTATGGTTAACTCATGCTATCATGCAATTGTCCTGGATTGTAACTTATATATGATTTTTAGCTTTTGTTGTGATGTAAAAGTTGTAGCACACCAAACCAAAAGCAATTACACTCTTACCTTGAATGTGAAAGTTTCATTAAATGTGGGCTCCAGAGTTTTACGATGAACTTTGGTTTCAAACTTTTTCTTCTTGTCTGGCAGGAGGTAGACTTTGACATAAGGATCAGAGCTGCCTCCGACATCCATAGCAGGGAGCTCTGATGCCTGTATGATGCCTACCACCAGCTGGAACAGAAGGAGAAAAAAATGTTAAAACCACAGTATTTTAGTTTGAAAAGTTGGCATTTCAGACACTATAAAATGATCTCACCGTGTTGTCTGTGAAGTTGTAGTCGAGGGAAAACTGCAGGCGGCCAAGCTTCTCCTCTTCTTTAGGCTCCTCATCAGAGAGCTCTGCTTCCTTGTTGCGACTGTCTTTTGACTTCTGTTCACATAAACATGAATGCGAAAGGTTTTCAATATAAGGAATATAAAGTATGTGCTATTGTGTAAGACACAGGATATGCTTATGTCTCTTTCTTGTCGAGTTGAACTGCCGCATACGTCATTTGTCAATGACGCGTCCTGTGGCTAACTCGACAGCTAATTGCTTACAAATGGTCTGTCGGGTTCAGATCAGAACCAGAATCAGAATAATTTTATTGCCACGTAAGTAACAAAAGTCACCACTTGGAAATTACTTTGGCAGAGCTCATGCCACGGCGTGGCTAATGGAATGTGGAAGATTAGGAGCGATGAGTCGCAGACACAGGAGGAAACACATATTGCCGAAGGAGACAATTTATATGAGCAATGTAGCAGATCAAAACACGGGCAATATACTATAGATCCAAATCCGAATTGAATTGCTGGTAACCTCCGTAACCTCCTTACACAGGGCCTTTTTGTGTGGGGTCAGAGAGTTTAGCCCTGGCACACAATCTCGTTCAACTTCATCTCAAGCGTTTTATGTCCATCCAAAGATTGCATTGCAAGATCTTTAAGCAAATGTTCGACCTGTAACACTTTCTGTTGTGCTCCCACAGCGCTCTCAACCACCACCCGGGTCAACTCCTTGTACCTCTTCAATTTTGTTGGACAGCTTCTCATAAATCTTGTGAGCTGCCATCCCTCCAACTTTGCGGTAAAACTGGAAAGCCCCTTGCCCAAAAAGGAGAATTCCAACTACCAGAAATCCAAAAATGTAGACGTCTTCCGAATCTTCGATAGACAGAGGCAACAGGCATAACGGGTTCCACTTGCCCCAGCTGTCGTAGGTGTAACCCGCAGGTGCCGTCCCATCAGGGCAGGGAGCGTCTCCCTGTCCTCCCTTGAAAAGATAGTATCAATTGCGTTGAGGGACCAGTTAATTAAATCCATAATTCTTGTTAGAGTTGTCTGCAGCAAAACTCCAGGAAAAAGACAAAAACAAGATAGTGCAAGCGGTCAGAGCAGGAGCGGTCTAAGACAACTCTGTACTCGATGAAGGAGGAACGAAGTATGTAAGGGTTGATAATGGAAATAATAAAAAAACCTAACGAAACGAACAGCTGTCGAGGAGTTAGCCACAGGACGCATCATCGGCCTACGTCAGTATAATGACGTATGCGGTAGTTCAACTCGACAAAAAGAGACTTCTATCATACAGCAGCAGTGTGGTCCGACAGGAGCTTTACACAAAACTTTGACTCTTAAAACCCACATATCACAACATGGACCCATCAACATCTCGCCTCAAATTGCATTAAAAGAGACATCCGTGTCTTTATTTGTTTGTATTTGAACTTTTGAAGCAATTCACGGACTTTATGTCCGCCATCTTGATTTGCTTCGGTTGCCGTGAAAAGCGCATTCACAGGTTTGCATTACACCGTAAACAGCTGAGGGTGCATCTCGAGGCAGTGCAAACCGACGTTTGTACTAGCATGTCTTTCCCTCCAAACAGGCAACTAGGAATCATTTAAAATATACTGTGAAATATTCTATGAAACCTTTTACTTGTGTGCTTGACCTGCTAAATCAACACGCTTTTAAAATAATTCGGCATATTTCTTCAATAGAAGGGTGGCATGGCACAGTGCTTGGTGACGGTTTAGAAGAGTTGATCCCTTAGATTGGCAGTCAGGCTTCCGTACTTCTACCCCTGGGCAGCTATGGCAACAGAAGTAGCTTACCCCCACTATAGTGTAGAATTGATATCTGGAAAATGCTATAAATGACGATTGCTTTTAAATGAATAGTATGATTATAATCAAATGTAGGGCTGTAACAATTGGTGACTGTGACTTGACTTGAACATGTTGAGAAAAGGTATGGCTCCCACGCTTTTTGTAACAGACAGTAGTAATGGGCAAACAGCACAGACGCTCCGGAGCGTGTGTTGCTCTTCCTGAAGCAAACTGCTTCAAAACACTGTTGGAGCATGTATCAAACAAGCCGGTCACATGATATGATATTCATGTCAGTGTCTCGGACTCTGCAGCGACTGCTTCACTTAACGTATCAACTGTGTCGGTGTCTCCAAGCGTTTCATTGGTTCAATATGTTTCCCAGATTTACATTGGTTCAGAGCGTCAAAGAACATTAGGGGGCGTTCACAAGGGACCATAGACTGTATATATTAACGGACAGAGTAACGCCTATCTCCGCCGTTCTAACTAATGGGCCAAAAAATGTGCTCTACTGAAGCTATCCAAAATGGCCACGGGTGGTCCCGCCCACAAGTAAATTGTGAAAAAACGCATCTCCATTCATTTGAACGAGAGACTTCAAAAATTCACAGCAAGTAAACTAGAGTGGACCAAAAAAATTCACCCCCCTCAGCATTGACACACATGTGGAACGGAACTTTGGGCCAAGAGCCAACTTTTGGTCCATCCTGTGAAGACGTTTTTGAGAGGTCTGCCAATGCTATATGTTAGCATTGGCTAATTCTTCTTCTGGGTCCACCCCCATCGGCCTGGGGTGGTATCGCAAGCATGTCAGCGCACGTCATTTTGGCCACTTTTGAGCTGGGACCTGCCCCCACTGGTTGCATCCTGTTTCAATGCAAAGTCAATGACAGTCAATGGCTTCTCCTTGGTTTGACGGCTTTTAGCGGATAGCATAGACTCTGTAGTGGATAGGCGCTAACTAGCTAAAGTATAAATGCTGCATCAATATTTCTTCACAATGTTAGGTAGTGAGGAGACAGTGTGGTGTATAATGTTGGTGATTTTGGCAACTTTAATGGCATATTCTGCAAGTGTAAAAGAGAGATCCATGGTTTGGGATTATTTTTTATCTTATTCAACCTCACATTGTATTTTACAATTAAGTGGTATCTACCATTTATGTTTTATGGTGAAATTGTGCTGAGCACTCAAGTATTCAAAAGCTGCAATGATTACATTTGTCCACTAGATATCATTGTTACAAGCTAGTATGAGCTAGCTCAGAGGCTCCGACACATTTGAAACAATCTGGCAAAGAAAACCTTTGTGTTACAGGGCTTCATCTGCTCATTACTAACAGACATTACTAAGTCATTGGGTGGCATTTTGTGGTATTTGTGGATTCCCAAATATTTTAGTTTGATTAGTGCTCCAATCAATAACACACATAATATGGGTTTTTTAAAAGTACATATTCATTTAGGTTAGTGATGACAGAGATACTATGCTACAGAATTTTATAACATAATTATAGACATTTACTAGTATACCACTCCCACCACATAACACATTCTTTATATAACACATTTAACTCCTACAAACACACTTAGCTCCATTAGTTCTGCCGATTAAACAGTGGACCTCTGTGTGAAGGTACTATGTGTGTTACCTCTTTCAAACTGGACATCATTTCAGTGTCACCATCGTCATTGCCCTTCTCCTTCCCTGTCTTCTTGTCCTTGTCTTTGTCCTTGTTTTTCTTTTTGAGGCACTTTTTCCACACACAGAGACTGCAGGCCAGGACGGTGCACAAAGTCACAAAGCATAGAGCTGCTATCTCCATAGATGGCACTGCAAAGACAAACAGTGCTGATACAGCCATAAATACACTATGGGTGGTCAGTGGTCGCAAGTCAATATTTAAATGTTCCTGTATGGAAATGCATCCTGCATTTCACAATCAGTATGTTCACATACAACTTGTACAATGGCAAGTATATTACAGCTTTTGTGAGAAACTCTCTTATGTGTTTTCACACTTTAGGAACCCTTTTCAGTTCTTGTTCCTATTTTGGTCGCGTTTACTCATAGTAGGAACAAGGGAATAGTGCCAGAGTTTGGGGACTTTTGTTTCTTCTTCTCTGGGGTAAGTCCTTTCAGTCAGACCAGTAACTTTGAGGCAACAGTTGTTTGTGTGGCACTGACTTTATTACAAAGACGTTTATCATTTTATTATTTATTTTAGATGTATTTGAAATTACATATTGCACAGTGAAATCAGTGATATCTCGCACATAAAACTGCAGGATGCATTATATTTTTTAATTGTTACTAGACCTTGATAACAAAGCCGTTTATGTATTTTATTTTATTTTTTCATTTCATGAGTAAACTTATCAAATCAGCAAAGTTGCCTAGTTGACAATGAATGGTTATTAAGTCATCATAATCAACAATAACAATTCACCTATTTTCATGAATGTGAAGAATTTGTAAGTGAACATATAGCTTTATGAAGCATTTTAATCATGCAATGTTTTATTTTGTATATTTTGGATTATATCTTACCACCTGGACATATGAGACAACGTACAGTAATACTTACAATGTGCTCTGCGGAATTCATTCATGAACTTTTTGATGCTGTGCCCTCCAGAATGTGTGTGATTGGTCGCTGTGGTTGTATTGAGCGAGAGGGTGAGGGAAGCAGGGAAGCTGGCCGTTTGAAGCTTTCCAGTCATTTTCAATTCTATAGCAAAGACAGAAAAAAAAGAAAGCATCTTTGTAAAATGAAAACAAAATAATCCCTTTTTACCAGCGCACCACTTGCTAACAAAGTGAACAGACAAACACAGTGTCCACAAAGGAAATGGATCTGATGTTTTTGAGGCAGTAATGTGCTTATAGACACCGTATAGACCTCAGTGTCGAGTGACGTCTCCCATTTCTGCTGGCACGGCACAACGCTCCAACACAGGATATGAAGGCGGACTGAGGCTGAAGCTGCTGACGGGGAGCAGGAGCATCATGGACCTCTGCTGTCAAACGCACCCGCAAGGTCAAGTCTGTGTAGCGCACAGATTCATCACAAGTTCACAGGTGCTACTAACTCCAATGTCCTGCAATGTGTCTTTGCATGGACTTCACAAGCGGAGAGCAACTGCAGCTGAGTCAGCTCCCCTCGCTTAGGCAGGTATTGACCCTGCTGTGACCAGACAAATCCGAATCAAGGGAGAGCTCTTTGGTGCGTCTTTGAAGGTTTTAACTGTATAAAGGAAACATGTTTTGTAGTTTTATTTTTTACTTAACCTTTATTTAACCTGGAAAGTCCCATTGAGATCAAGAACCTCTTTTCAAGAGGCAGCAAAAGTTGCACACACATGCGTTAATTTACAGATTATAAAAACAGTTTAACACAATTACATAAAATTACAGATTATAAAACAGTTACGCAATTACATGAAAATGAGAGTGTCTCAAGTGCTCTAAATCCAACTATTTTTACTCAATCAATCAAGATGTTTATTTGAAGACCGGTCCAACAAGGCTTCACTAAAGTTCCAGACCCCACTCAGTCATCCAACACAGAGACAAGACAAAAATGTCAAAAGAGAAAATATAGAAGCAATTTTTGGCGTAAATATATTAACTCATCTCTACTGCATGTAACCACGTAAACCAGATACTACTGAGAGACAAGACCAGCAAATGTATTTAAAAGCATCTGCTGGAAAAATCCATTATAAATGCATGTTTTAGACACATATAGGCCAGTCATTCATTTTGATCATTGCAATGAAGCATACAGTCTCTTTGTAGACTGCATGTCTTTCATTGTGTTTTTTTGAGATATCAAAGTTCACCTGAAACATGGTGTGTTTAAATGAGCTATGGAAATAAATGAATCAAAAGTTCAAAGTAAACTACATTTTTTTCTGATTACATTTCCCAAAATTGTGCATACAGTATATGTGTTCCACAGTTACAAAGTTTAAGTGAGCTTTGGGAGCAAGGCTGAATAGAGGCTGTTTTTTTTAGCAATTATTCATATACTTTTTAAACATACCTACTGATACCCTCTTCAAACTAATAACAATATCAGTGACCCTGCCAAAAATCGACACAAACTCAACCATACACCCCTTTGTCTAAATCACCAGTTCCAAAAAGATATTTTTGAGCACCCCCACTATTAAATCGCACAATATACTGAATGATTTGTTGTCTTTTTCTTTAAATTTAGGGCAAAATATGTGTAGATAATATTGTCTTGGAATTTGAAATGTCTCCAATCAAATGAATAGCAGAAGGTAATTTCCCATTTATATCCACAGATGGTGGTGTTTCCTGTCTCTATCACTATTACTGTCCACGTTGTTAAATAAATTAAAAATTATAAATTATAAATAAATTATAAATTATTTCACATTGTCAAACATGAAATAAAGTGAAGCCTCTTAAATTATATTTAACAATCAACACTAACACGAATAAGGCTTTATATATATTTATTATCTCCAATTAGACATACCGCTTGTTTTATTTTATTTGCCATAGTCGCATTCACAAACACTTACTGGGGTGCACCCTAATCCTTTTAGTGGTGGGGGAAACCAGAGCACATGGAGGAAACCTACGCAGACACAGGGAGAACATCCATTCTGAGCATGTATTAATAAGAAAATAAGAATGTTAATGCAGGTAATCAAAACCTCCTTTGGAATAGGGTTGTAATTCCTTTGCATTTGTATTACATGTCGTACATGTTGTTTCACATTGTTGTGGCGGTGGATTAAAACAACAGGGTTTTGATGCATCTTGTTTGCTATTGTTCATTACAAAAGTATAAAGCACACTCATCATTGATTATTATTGTGTAATATCCTTACTAATATTATTTAAAAAAAGAAATCGAGAGAGGGGCGACAGCGGCTCAGTTGGTAAAGCATTGTCCTTTGGGCCTGAAGGTTGTGGGTTCAAGCCCACCACATGACCTACATTACCCCCATGCTGAAAGATCAAGGCTTCTGTGGACTGTTAGGGGCTGGTGCTATGCCTTGATTCAGAAATTAATTAAGGAGAAGAACTCAATAGGGAACGGTGTACAACAATGAAATACAAATACAGTTTAGAGTTAAATGATGGGACTCATGGATATCATAGCATGTGGATAGAAATTGTTTTTAAATAGGATGTGTAACTTTTTGTAAGTCTCAAACTATACAAAAAGTTATGTAGTGCAAATACACTCTGAAAAAGAGTGTACGGTATACATACACACAAAACGGTGATACTATACAAGATACATATCTATGAATTTTAAAGTGTTTCTATTGGTTTATTTGTTTTGTCTTTATGTCTTTGCTTGTGTATCTGGTTCCATAATAACTTACGTAAGTTTATCCAAGCTTATTTTAACACACAGCACTTACTTACAAACTAACTGCACTAATAATAAACACAATCTACTAATCCAAATGTCCAAATTAATGAGCGACTTACCTGGCTCTTTTGTAACTCCAGTTTTTTACAAATCACAGACTTGAGGAGTAGTGTAAGTAAAGCAGCGCTGATGCAGGAGCGGGTGCCTCAGCGCGGTGTGGGACAGCAGCAGCAGGAGGAGGAGAAGTTGATAGAGAGAGAGGGCGCAGGAGGAGATGCTCAGGGGAGAGACAGGAAGGAGGAGGAAGAGATGCCCAGGGGAGAGTGAGGAAAGAGGAGGAGAGGCCCAGGGGAGAAAAAGGGAGAAGAGATGATTATCAGGGGAGAGAGAAGGATGTAATATAACCTAAACCCTCATGAAGTTTGTCTACATTTGAATATGATTAATTTCATTTCATAAACATGAAAGATCGAGTAAGAACAAAATGAAAAACACCCTCATGTAAGTGGGGAATTACATTCTACTAGATTTGGATACAGAGATTTCATGGCAATGTCCAACAAAATGCATACAGTTGTAAAGAATGTAATTTGACTGGAGAGCAAAACTTTTGTTTTAAAAAGCAGACATTTCTGTCCATGATGTCATGATCTGAGGAATTGTCAAGGTATAGATACAAGGGACTGTACTGATTTTTGCTTTACATGTTCCTGATATTTTTGTGGAACAGATGGAGCAACAAACAACTACGTTTTTGATGAGGGAATAATGTAACAAGGTTAAAGTCGTTGCATTTTTCTTTTTTTTCTTCTTTTTTAAAGAAAACCAAATGCAAATCAGACTACAACATTTTATCTGAAAACATAATTACAGTACCGTTTGCAAACTTGGAAGAAAGGAAACACATCATCCATTTTCTTCCTCTTAATCCGTTGCCATGTCGCGGGTAGCAGTCTAAGTATGCCTTGGCTTCCCTTTCCACACACACTCATCCGGGGAAATCCCCTGGGGTTCCTAGTTCACCTGAGAGATCCTCCAACCATGTCTTCCCTGAAAGGGCATCCAGGAGGCATCACAACAGAAGCCCAAGCCATCTCATCAGACTCTACCTTCTGTGGTTCATTCCAACCGCGTGTGACCTCCATCTTGTCTATTGGGTCATTCCCCAAAATGAATTACCGTTGGGGAGGGTGGGGAGGTAAAGTGAGTGGTTAATCCAGAGCTTTGACTGCAGATGCTGCTCCCTCTGCACCATCACAAACCATTACAGCGACATAATCACTGTTGGATTAATTGAATTAGCTGGATGGATTTAATTAACTCCACCTTTAGGAGTTTGGATATTAGGTCCCCCAGTTGTGGTATGTAGATTGTGCTTACTTGCACTTTGGGTTATTAAAATAAAGAAGAAGAAGAAAAAAAAAAAAACCTTCAAAACATGGTGCTTATGGTGAACATTTTTGACTGTAGACCACCTTCTGCCCTTTTGTTTCATCTTCTCCAAACTGAGTGAAAATCTCTTTCACAAGTCTTTTTCAATGTAAATAATTAAATAGCAAAGAAATCGTTAGTTGCATCCTTCTTCACAGGTCGCTCTCATTGGGTCAATGATGAATAAATGCATCAGGGAGGTGACACGGCCTTTAGAGCCTCGTTAGCATAGTGAGAGTTCAGCAATAGAGGACATTTACATTTAGAGCGATGATGTGTGTGTGCGTGTGTGTATGCGTGCGTGTGCTTGTCTGGGTGTGTGTGTGTGTGTGTGGCCGGCCGGGGTTTGCAGTACCGCCTCATAACGTCTATGTATAGATGATGTTACCCAATTTAGAAACTTAGGATGCTGCAGCAGCCCAGGGATCAGGTTCTGGCTCCACCCCGTTCACCTTGAGTTTCAAAGATAGTGCGCACATACAGAGGAGACGGAAGCTGAAGGATGTATGTCATGCATTTACAGTGTGGCTTTTCTGATTAATGCTGTGGATTAGGGCTGTAACACGCTAATAGATTTATTGACTATTGAATTGATCAATTATTGAAATGATTTAGTAATCGATTAATCGTTTGTTGAACCTTACATAGGCTTTCACATATGGAGAAGAGGTTTTATGACTGATAATTCTATAATGACTGCAGAATGAAAGTACATTGTGTTTACTAAGTATTTTTAATCAAACAACCAAATATGTAACAAGTCATCTTCTCCAGGGGTTTTAATATCTAATTATTGAATGTATTAATTGAAAAAATAATCCTAGTAATAATGATAATAATAATTTTTAGGGTTTATATAGTGCTTCACATGTCATTAATTTTTTACTCCATACACAATGATAAACTACCAGTGTAGCCACAGCTGCACTGGGACTCACTGACGAAAGCGAGGCAACCAGTATGTGCCATCGAGACTCGCTGACTGTCAATGGAGTATGTTATTGTGTTATTATCATATTAATAAATGTAACGGTTAGTCTAGTAAGGGACTAGTAGTAGCTAGTCTGGTGAGTGCAAGAATGTATGGGAACATCCATCCCCCAGCCATGAAACACAGGAAGTTAAATTAAGGCAAGAACACAAGAAAGCATCTGTTTAGAGTAGCCTCAGGCTTACTCACACAGGGGCTATTTGTGTGTCCTGAACAGAGAAGTATTGTCTTCACCTAAGGATGTTGGGACATATGTCTTCAATTATCATGTCATGTGACTGTGTGCTTATTAGGCCGTCTGCTGAGGCAGAAATTGCGTTGTTTCGTTCCAAGCTCGGGGCACTAAAATCTGAGCGGATCATGTGATAGCTTGTCTAACATACAGAACATAACCAAAGTTTTTCCATTCGAATTCCAGCAGTTATTGTACAGTTTGAAATCTTACGCCGGACTATTTCTCGTGTAAGGAGACGAAAAAGGTTGTAAACCGTCACTGCTCAGCCAATAGGAGACGCGTATTATCGAGCAGTTCCGGGCAAATCACTACGCAAAACGTAAACAAACATGGCGTGCGAGGTTACCTGTGGGTCGCCTCCCTTGCCGTCTGAGGTGAAAATGGACGCTTTGCCGCTTTTGAAGTGCATCATGCACACAGATCCAGCCACAGTAAACCTCTGTGAACAACTCACGGAAGTCAGGTGGGATACCTTCCGCCGATGCGCCCGTGAATGGGACAGGACGAGCTTAGAGAGTCGGGAGACCGATATAGTCCGTGAGTGCCTTCCCTATCTTGATCAATCCTGGTCAGATATGCCCTCGAACTTCGGCTTTCACCCGACTTGCTACCGCCGTTTCATAAATAGGAAACGAATAAACAGTGCTCTGAAGCGTGCGGAAACCTCACAAACAATGAAGAGGCCAGCGTCTCAAGAAAACGTCAGTATGACGCCGAAAAGGACATGGAGGCTCCGATCAACAATCCCTCCCATGATGGCAACCTCGGAAAGAAATAAATCCTCACACGTGTTGCCCGTCATCTGCTTGATTTGCAGGAAGATTAATAAATACTTGACTCGTCAGGGCAAGAGGGTGCCAGACAAACTCGTCCAGACAGAAACAGAAAGTGCAGGTAAGTCTACTATGTTGATATAATATAGAAATATATTAACATATTGTACCAAATTTCGATGGATTCTGTTTGGTGTTCTTGTGATATACAAGGTTGGGAGGGGCCTACCTACAACCCAAGTACATATTGTGTAGTAATTATTTGTGAAGATCACTGTCTGTGAGTGGAGTGTGCTTTCAAACCAAGCAGACTTTGTATTTGTGTTTTCCTGTTAGTATACACCTGCAGGTCTGAAATAAAATGAAATGAAAATTACATTTTTAATACAAGTTGGCCTTATATGAATCTAGACCATTGACACATTGCATTGCTGGCAAATCATTTATTTAGGAAAACAGACTAATCTATAATATTATTGCATAGCTGTGAGGACTGCACGCCAGCATCATTATGTCATTAGTTGGCATACATGTACATTGTATGTCCATGTAGTGTCTTCATTGACTTAGTCCTCACTGTTTAGTTGTTGCTCTGGCTGGGATGAAATAATTCATAACATAATTTAACTTGTCATTTCCAGGTCTACTCTATAAAGCAGCTGAGGCCAAAAGGGATGACTACATTCTCCATCACATCCGTGACAACGATTGTGTAGCCATAGAGGTTAAATACCATAAATCTTGTTATCGGGATTACACAAGATTCCTCAGCAAGAAGGAGAAGGATACGCAAAGGTAAATAAGCTCAATTCAAAATGTGATATGTGTAGGATCAAATCATTGAAAGGAATTCATAGCCACCTAATGAAGGTGCGAGCAACCAAAGTGAGCATTCGTGAGGACATCAGATTTATAGCATACAAATATTGTATATATTCCCATTTACCAGTACTCAGTTTGAGATCATGGTCGAATCATTGTTTCTCAAAGAAGTCTTGATATTATTGGCTCAAAGAGTGAATGCAACAGTGGTGCAAAGACAAATCTTATTGTTGCTAATTAACACAAAATATGTATCTTTATTTCTGGTATTGTCATTACAGGCCTCAGTCCACCAAGCAGCAATACAGCCGCAGCTATAATACTTTCTGTGATGGGGTTGTCCGTGGAAGGATCATCCATGGTCGAGAAATCCTCCGAATGAAAACGCTTCTGGATTTGTTTGTGAAGACTGTCCAGAAAGAAGAAGCCATCACTCTTAAAGACTATAGGTATGTGAAAGTAATCAGATATGACAGTGTCTACACATTACATCCCTCTCACCAAGGATATGCAAATAATACACATTCCCACATCCATATTTAACCATATCTTATCGTGCTGGTGGAAATTGCAGTGACATGAGCACCTATTCTCAGGGAGCAGTAATAATAATCATAATGCATCTGTTTCGTCTAGAGCTTTTCCGAACACCCAAAAACGCTTCACATTACTATTCTTTCACTTCATGCACAGTGATTATAAACTACTACAGACAGAAGCATTAGTACATTCATATATTTGGAAGTAACTGTGTATGTACATGTAATTTAAATTGCCATTCTTAATAAATAAATGTACTTATCAGATATAGCACATTTGGACTTGATCACACTTCAACAGTTTAGATTGCCCTGTCTTTGAAAAGCACCTCGAATCTCCATTTTCTTTCCGCCTTTGGACTACCCACTCAATATTCAAGTTTCGAAACTATTATCAATTTGTTTCCCCCAATATGTAATACGAAAGATTTGTGCAAATAATGAATGTATAAAACATGTGCTGCTGGAAGTCTCACAATATTCTTCATTCGATTTCACAATTTTCAAATGTCTCACAAAATCGACTCTTTTAAAAGGTGATTACTTGCCTAAATTCGTTTTATTGCCCAGCCCTAACTCGAACAGTCTGCAGCACTTGCCTTTCTTGCTTTGACTTATATTGACCTGAATAATGCAATGTCTAATATATTCAAAAATGTGTACTAATATATTACATTCTATCTATTCATGTCTTCAGGGCAGATCAGCTGAAATATCACCTGCGTCAGGATTTCCCACAACTCAACTTCCACAAGCCATCCAAAAGAAATACAAGTGAAATTGTATTCACAGACACCTTGGGAGCAAGTGATCTCCTGGAACACCTACCATGTGGCCCAACATCCAGTACAGAGTCAAGCGACTCTGAGCAGACAACTGAATCAGGTGAAAATGTTCCAGACAGTCAGGACATTCCTGGTCATGTTCACCTAGAATACACTCGGACATTATATAGTGCAGGTCTCATCGTGCATCAATCTGTTAAAGACTCTCCTGGAATGGCTGCACAGTGGCCACCTACCGCTTGTGATTTTACTATTGATAAAGCTAATGCTATTGTTCCACTCGAGTTATATAACCTCATTGCATGGTGTACTGGTTCCTCAAATGAACCACTGCTTGATTGTAAAGTTTCTGTCCCTGAAAATGTTCATTGCCAATTGTTGTCTATCTGTCAGGATATAATATATCTGACTTTTAAAGGCCGAAAAGCAACTCCCAAATCATTATCTGTAGGTCTTGCTGTTCGAAATCTCACTGGGTCATCTCGGGTTTTGCAAATGCTCAACCATCTTGGTCACTGTGCATCTCCGGATACAATCATTGGCTTTGAGACAGGGCTAGCACAACTACAGTTGAATGAGACAGGACATGATACCGTATGGCATGGAGAAGAACAAGCACACTACACTTGTATGGGACAACATTGACTTTGGCGAAGAAACCTTATCTGGCCGGGGAACCACACACCACACGAATGGGATCATGGTACAGAAGGAAATCCATCACAGCCATACAGCTAAGCCTGGGATTCCAAAGGGTGCTAGGGCCCTCAAGCCACAACCAAGTCACCTGGTACCATACCATCTCACCAAGAGACATGGCCCAGCTAATGTTTCTATGGAGTCACCCTTGAAGAATGTGCAATTAAGTCAGCATGTAAAGGCTTCTCAGGTGATGGATTTCGCATTCACAGTTATCAAAAATGCTAAGAGTGAGGACGGGGTTCTACCAGGATGGACAGGATTCAACACGGTCCTATGCAAGAATGAACTGCTACCTAAGTCCTCAATATATTATCTTCCTGTAATAGAGGCCTCCCCGACAGATATGACTACAGTAAATGAAATCTTTCGGAGGAGTCTTCAGATAGCTGACCTACTTAATCTGAATTATGTCGTGCTGGTTTTTGATCAGGCTATTTATGCCAAAGCACAACAAATTCGCTGGAAAGATGAGGCATTGAGAAAGAAATGTGTAGTGCGTCTAGGTGAGTTCCACACATCTATGTCGTTTCTCGGAATCTTGGGGAAGCGGTTTAAGGAAGCGGGACTACAGGACCTGTTGATCGAGTCGGAAGTGTTGGCACAGGGATCCATAAATGGAGTGATGAGTGGTCACCATTACAACAGAAGTGTCCGTGCTCATAAGCTTGTGTACGAAGCCATGGAGATTTTAAGATTTCGTGAATTTCTGATGTCGCTCACTGATGAAAAAGAAAAAGAATATCTGGCTGTCATTGATGATCTTGTATCAGAGTATCCAACAGACACTGTGCATACAATAATAACTTCTTCCCGGTTCACAGCAATGCTGGGCCAGTACAGTGCTTTTGTAGATGAAATGAAACAAGCCAACCCAACATTCGCCTTTTGGAGCTCGTACATAGAAATGGTAGGACAGCTGCTGGTATTCATCAGAGCAACACGTGATTCTGATTGGATGCTTCACCTGGCTGCGACAAGAAATATCCTGCCTTGGTACTTTGCCTATGATCGGATGAATTACTCAAGATATCTCCCAACCTACTGGGTGGAAATGTTGGATTTACCATCAACACATCCAGACTGCCATGAGGAGTTTCTTGACAGGGGGAGTTGGACTGTTCAACGCCAGGATCGGCACAACTTTTCAGCTATAGCCTGTGACCAAGCGATTGAACAAACTTGTAACAGAGATTCAAAGACAAAAGGTGGAATTACAGGCATTACACTTAATCGCGGTGCAGTTCAGAGATGGATTCTGTCGCAACCTGAGAGAGCTGCAATAACCCGGCAATGTGAAGTCATGGCCGGTATGACAGAGGATGTGAGAAGCCGCAAAGATTTGGACTTTGCAAGGATACAGAAAGATAACAAGGCTGTTAACAACATCATCAGTACCATAGAGAGTATGATCAATCCCTTCACTCCAAATGACAGTCTTGTCTCCATAAGCTCTGGTGCTGTGGCAACTCCTGAAGTGAAGGAATCTTTGCTGAAAAGCCTGGACAGTGGAGAAAAAGCACTAGAAACTTATATGAATGACAGGTTATTAAGTGACAAAGAAGACCTCTTCTCACCTATTAAAAGTTTGAAACTGAAGACCTTTGCTGACCTTAATACGCAATCCTGTAAGAGTAAATCTGGTAAGGAGATTGCTTGGAAGAATGACTGTCGTTTCTTCAAGAGACTGCTGGTAGTTGGCCAGAGTCGTGATTTGGACTTGCGTGAAGTGTTATCATTCTCTTTAGGTAGTGTGTCATTACCATTGGCTAGTATGGATGGGTCACTTGCTAAGACGAATAAATCAATGCTTCTGCAAACTCTGGAGAAAAAGGCTGGTGATTGTACTGTTAATCCAGTTCAGATACCTGGACCAAGTGCCCTTATGATAGATGGTATGGCGTTGATACAGTCTTTGAGGAACATTCCAGCAACCTTTGGGGCTCTTGCTGATCATCTTCTCCAAGAAGTGATAAGACTCGCTCGGCTGTACCAGTGCACCAGAGTTGATTTTGTTACAGACCGTTACCCAGACATCTCCATCAAGAATGTTGAACGTTCAAGACGTGCACAAGCTGGTTCACAGGTCATTACAATATATGGGAATGAACAAAAGACTCCAACACAGTGGAAGAAGTTTTTGTCTAGCGGTGTGAACAAGGAAAGGTTGACAGCATATCTATTCAGTGCATGGAAAGATGCTGCGCTGGAGTTGGCTGGAGATGACCTCCATTTATTTGTGACTCATGGGAATGACTGCCATGAGGTTAGAGTTGTTTGTGGCCAGAAGACAGTTCACAAGGTCGGTGCCTTAACGTGTGACCATGAGGAGGCAGATACTCGACTTCTACTTCATGCATGTCATGCATATCATGAGCGCTACAACAGTGTGATTATTGGAAGTCCTGACACAGATGTTGCTGTTATAGCTCTATGTTTATTGTCAAAGTTGCCATCTTCAAAGTTGTATTTTCTCACAGGGAAACAAGCCAAACGTCGCATCATCAACCTCCAAAGAATGTCCGACATCCTAGGTCCAGATCTCTGTTCAGCACTTATTGGGCTCCACACATTTACAGGCTGTGACACAACGAGTGCATTTTATGGTAAAGGGAAGAAGACCACCTTTTCAATTGCCTCTGAGAATGTTGAGTACCTGCATGTATTTTCCCTAGTTGGTGACAACTTTTCCATTGACCACACTGCATTCCGAACCCTGGAAAGGTATGTGTGCCAGTTGTATGGTGAGAAATGTTGTGATGTAAATGAAGCACGGTATAGGACATTCTGCACCAAGACACCATCTGAGTCTTCCCTTCCACCAACAAAAGATGCTCTCGAACAACACTACCGTAGAGCAAACTATCAGGCAGCAATCCATCAAAGGTCTCTACAGCAGATGATACAGGCACCCTCCCTGATGGCCATGGTTGGATTCTGGGAGTAAATGAGGATCTCAAGATACAGTGGATGACCAATGATCCAGCCCCAGAATCTATAATGAATTCTGTTCACTGTGGCTGTAAAGCTGGGCACTGCGAGAGTGGAAGGTGCTCCTGTCTTAGGGCCAAGCTATGCTGCACGGACCTCTGCAAATGTGTGACCTGTAGTAACAAGAAAGAAAACGAAGACGACATATTCGTTGATCAGGTTGTGTCAGATGACGATGGTGATTTAGAAGAGTAGTTCTACATTTGTTTTCATACAGCCAGCTGCTTATTTTTTTCTAGTTTTGAAGGATCAATTTAGTAAGCTCAACATGTGGCTTCATTACATCAAACATTATTGTATTCATTTTTTTACATTTGCATGCTGCAGATGTGTTTTTTGTTCCATTGAACGTGATTTGATTACCATAAATATTCAATTGTGTGCATTCACACATTTCAATTTGCACACTTTTTTCCTTTACATTTGTAAATAAAGTGATATGGTATAAGGATCATATTTCTTTGTTGTAAATAAAATTGTTTATTGAAGAGTCACATTGTTGTCATACATTTTTACAGTTTGTGGTCGCTCTATTTTTCTATCCCCCAAAGCCCCTGCACAAAAGAATATAGTTACATATACACACCCACACAAACATAAACATACATATAAGATAGCAGGATGAGCAAACTTTCAATCATTCAGAAAAACAAAAACGGGCACCAAATATACAAAGCTTGTGTACTCCAGATAACAAGATTGATATTTCACCTCTATGGCTACACAATCATTGTCCCGGATGTGATTTAGAATGTGCTCCTCAATGTTGGCCTCAGCTGCTTCACAGTAGATCTGTAAATGACAAGTTAAATTATGTTATGAATTATTTCATCCCAGCAAGAGTAACAACTAAACAGAGGACTACGTCAATAGTATGCCTACTAATGATATAATGCTAGCATGCAGTCATCGCAGCTATGTCATAATTATGTTCCAGCTTCTTCCCTCTGGCAGAAGATATCGCTCTCTGAGATGCAGGACATCTCGTTACTCTAACAGTTTTTATCCACAGGCTGTTATCAGTGTGAACAGAGCACTTTAATGATTTGCACTTGTTTTGAAACTGTTTTAGTCGATCAATTTCACAGTCACATTTGTTTACTGTTTTATTTCTGTCTTTTAATGTTGTTTTTTGTCTGTGCACACTGGTGACTTTTTGCTAATGTATTCCAATGTGGTGTTTTTACTGCAAATGGCAAATAAACTGAAGCTAATAGTATGGATAATTACTCTGCCTAAAAAAATGACCTGCCAGCAATGCAATGTTTCAGTGGTGTAGATTATTATAAGCTAGCTACTTGTATTGAATATGTATTCATGGTTAGTTGTAATTATAGATCTATAGGTATATCAATCTTGGCTACTGTTATGTATGTAGCTCCCCCCCAACCTTATTTATCACAAGAAGAACACTGAACCGAATCAATACAAACTTGTGTCACATTTTGAAAACATCTATTACCTACGCTCGTCTCGTCCCAATCACGGACGCATCGTCGGCTGGTATCCCACCATAGCTTCCGTAAGTTTCTCACAGAGGTTTGTTGTGGCTGGTCCCACGTACACGATGCATTTCAAAGGCTGCAAAACATCCATTTCTGCCTCGGGAGACGAGGGAGGTGATCCACAGAAAGCCTCGCACACCGTGTTTGTTGACATACCGCGTAGTGATTTTCCCGGAAATGCTCGATAATACGCGTCTCCTATTGGCTGAGCAGTGACGGTTTACAACCTTTTTCGTCTCCTTACACGAGAAATAGTCCGGCGTAAGATTTCAAACTGTACAATAACTGCAAAAAATTGCACGGAAAACTTTTAGAGTGTCATCAGATACACTATAGTGAAGCTAAAACCAGTCTCGAAAAGTAGTGCCCAAGTTATGGAACGGAAATTGATTTCTAGCCACATATTTGGACTCAGCTGACGGCCTATATCATCGATAGCCTGTTCCTGAAGCAGGGTTCTTTTGCTTTTGGGTTTGCCAGGGAGAGAGCCCAGACTGGAGCACCAGTCTGCTACATTTGTCTGTATCCTGTATCCTGTATTCTGTCTTTTATATATTAAACCTTTTTATATATCTAAGCAGAATTTGTAGTGTACATTCATCATCGAAGGATAAACCGTGGCTGAACCAGCGCTAACATATTTTGGTCCTTCTTGAGCCGGATGTCAAAACATCATTTTTTGGAGCTGACCGTCGTCCTACAGTACTGGAGATCTGAAACAGCAGCGTGGCTTGGAGGTTGCAGGTCGAAAAACAACTGCAGCAACAGTCTCTGTGTGGGGTTTGATCAGCTTCGAATTTCGGATTGAAGACACAAAAGCCACGGACATCGCGATAACAGGCAAGTGTGAATTTACTTTTGAAGTCGGGGACTCAAAAAAGAGGCCGGGGATAACGAGGCTTATCCTTTTAATAGTCGAGGGCTATTTCTTAGGCCTAGGATAACGGGGTTTATCCTTCTAATAGTCGGGGAGCTATTAAAGACAGTCAAGGGGGGGCCCGGAATAACAACAGGTTATTCTTTTAGATAGTCTGGAACTATCATAGACTGTATGATAACGGGGTTATTATTAAGAGTAAGTCGGGGACTACTTTTTACTGCAGTTAAAAGTGAACGGGGTTCATTTTGAATTAAAGACGTCTGTATGAATGTGTGTGTGAAAGGAGATCAATCTACACTTGAAGCACCGGACAACCAGAAACCTTGCGGTGATAACGAAAAGTTGTCGGCTTGGTGAAGTAGAGTTGGATTGCATCTCATTATGTTTTAAGTAATCGTGAAAGTGGTCTAAAACAATTACATTCCTTGTGATTAAACACCCAGGAGAAACCGGATAAAACATTAGGTTTTATCTAGAAGCTTGTTTCTCGAGGAAGTGATTTGGCCCGTGAGGCATTCCACTAAGATCGTTTACAAATGTGTAATTAATATCCACTGTTGTATAAGCAATAGTTATTAAATAGAAGTTGAAGACATCTAAGTAATTTACTAAAGAGTAAATATGGGTTCATCTTGTACTAAAACGGTAGATCTAAAAGGAGATCCTAAATTTATGGAGAAGAAAAATCCTGAATCAGTTAAGTATTTAAAAAACTGGAAGAAGAAGTATGGGTTTGAAGGTAAACTAACACTAAAAGAGTGTGAAATACTGGTGATGAAAGTTAGTTTAGGACTTAAATCCAAAAAGTTGCCATCAGAAAAACAATTGCATGAGCAGAAAATGGCAGAGCTGTGGTTAGTTGCAGCAAAGTGTAGGGATAAGCAAATTAAAGAGAAGAAGAGTGAAACGAGCCTAGTTGCCTTTACAACAGAAGAAGACAATTTGGTCCAGGCAGGGAGGCGCCATGTGCAGCAGCAGCACCACCAGCAGCAGCACCAGCAGCAGCAACAGCAGCAGCAGCAGCAGCAGCACCAGCAACAGCAGCAGCAGCAGACCGTAGTACAGGCTCATAACCACACAGCAGCACCACCTCAATATACCCCACTGCAACAGACAACAAATCTATTCCCAGATAATTCTGTAAAACTGCAGGATAGTTTGTATCCACATGCAGAGCTAGAAGCAGCAGCACAGCCACAAGTCTGTGATGTACAAACACCTGTTGCTACTAGATCACGGCATCCAATGAACGCGTCTTGGAGCAAACAATTTGGAAACCTTTTCAGTCCAAGGTTTGACTTCTCAGAGAGAGGTGCAGATGCATTCCCAATGATAGAAGTCCCAAATCCCACTCATGATCCACAAGTGGTTGGAAGTTTGCCTACTATGTATGTCTTTCGTACTTGGACGAAAGCAGACATAATTAAAGCCACAGAAAGTGTCCCAAGCCATAGAGAAGATCCAGATGGATTTTGCGATGGTATGAAACAACTGGTGGACATGTATAGGCTTAACGGAATTGAAATTAGGGACATTTACATGACGAAAATGGGAGTTGATTGGGCAAGATGCAGACAGCACTATAACCCAAATGATAATGCAAACCCACCTGTGCTTCTTCCTGCAGCAGACCCACTCATTAATGATAGATTAAATACTCTACATAATCAAATCAGAGAAATGTTCAAAACTTTACCTGACTACGGGAAGTTAGCTCAGGTAAGACAAATGGAGGATGAGACAGTAGTAGATTTTAGAGTGCGGTTTGAAACAGCTTTTAGAAAACACAGTGGGTTGAGGGACAATAATGCAGCGGAGCGTGTAATTTGGGATCAACAGTTTAAACAAGGGATGTTGGCTAATTTAAGACCAGAAGTCTCTGAATGGATAAAGAGAAATTTTGTTGGATTGCCTACTGCGACGCTGCCTGATTTCATAACACATGCTATTCATGCTGAAGTGGTTGCTAGAAATAAAAAGAGAAATAAAGAGAGAGAAGAGCAAGCCAGATCAGTAGATTCTTTCTTGCAAGATTTAGGAGACTTGTGTTACCAGAGAGCACAAGGCCAATCAGCAAGGAGGGAGCAGAATAGAGGCAGAGGTCAAAGCAGAGGGAGGGGGCAGATGAGGACTAGGAGAGAGAGAAAGTTGGACAAAAGCAATGATTATTGTTACATATGCAAAAAGAAAGGACATTGGGCGAGAGAATGTGAAGCATGGGCCAGAGAATGTGGAGCATGTTCAGATGAGGATAAGAGAGAAGAATATGTAGAAAAAAAAGGGAGAAATCAAAAACATCACAATGCATGACTAGGGAGTCAAAACAAAACTAAAGTTCTGACAAAAAGTAATGATGAAACAGTGAAAATTCCAAATTTAAAAATGACTTCCATAATTGAAAATGAAAATGGATATGATTCTGATTTGGCAAAGCAATGTGATGAGGTTATAGATTTTACTCAATTAGATATTTTTCATGTGTCTAAACCAGAAATAACACTTTACATTGAAGAAAGGCCCTATGTGTTCCTTTGTGATTCTGGAGCGGATAAAACAGTGATTAGGGATGTGAGCAATATACCCATTTCAAAAAACTCAATCACAGTGAGATCAGCTAATGGGTTAGTGCAAAAACAAAATTTGAGTCAGTTGATTACCATAACCAATCCAGAAACAGGCGATGAAGCCATGCTGAAAGTGGTTCTGTCACCGCTGTGCCCGTACAATCTACTAGGACGTGATGCTATGGTTGCATTAAAAATGGGAATATTTCCAAACAAAAATGGAAATATGGAAGCTAGGCGCTGTAGCAACACTGATATCCATGTCCTAGAAGGGGAGGGATCAGTATTGTATTGTTGGACTTTGGACATGCCGACAAGTGACCCTGGAGAATCAGGGAAAGAAATTGTAAAAAGGGCAAAACAGGCATTAAATCCAAGTGAGACACAAAACAACTCCAGGAGGTGATCCAGTTTATGATAAACTAGTACAAAAATTGGGCCCACAGCGGGTTCAAATTAGAGACATTTACTGGAGAGACAAAACAAGTTTCTGCACTGTAGGAGTGGCAGATGCAGTAAAACAACTCATGGGAGATTTGCAGAATCCACATATCTCTATATCCAAAGACCCAGAGGCAGAGTGGAGTGATAACAATGCCTTTGTTGGTCAAGTGGAATCAATTAGAGATTGGGAGCAAGATAAAAAAGTAGGAGTATACTGGAGTAAAACAACTGGTTGGAGAAAACAAAAAGTAAACTGGACAGTAGTATGTACGCCAGCTGTACATCTGACTGACCAGGATCTTGCATGACTAATGACTCTAACACAGGAAGAGGAGGAGGAGCTTGAGCAAGTTCCAGATGAGGTGTGGTCAAAAGGACCCACAGATGTTGGGTTAATGAAGGGAATGTTACCAGTGGAGATCAGAGCAAAAACTGAGTACAGGCCCAGGATAAAACAATATCCTTTAAAACTTGATGCAGTAGAAGGAATAAAACCTGTAATACAGGATTTAATTAAAAAAGGAATAATTCAAAAATGCCCAGATTCCCCTTGTAACACACCAATATTCCCAGTTAAAAAGGCATCTCCATCCACAGCCTGGAGAATGGTTCAAGATCTGCGAGCTGTGAATGAAGCAGTTATTCAAAGAGCACCTAATGTACCAGATCCACATACACTGCTTAATCAATTATGACCAGAGGCTAAAATCTTCTCTGTGATTGATCTCAGCAATGCATTTTGGTCCATTCCAGTGCATAAAGACAGTCAATTTTGGTTTGCATTTACCTTTGAAGGGGAAAGATATGTTTTCACAAGATTAAGCCAGGGGTTCGCTGAATCCCCAACTATTTTCTCTGATGCAATAAAAAATTGTCTTGCCGATTTTAATCCACCGGAGGGAAGCCAGATTTTGAGCTATGTGGATGACATTTTGGTGGCGTCTAAGACAGTTGAGAGCTGTAAAAAAGATACTATAGCTTTACTGAAACATTTGGCTAAAACTGGCAATAAGGTCAGCAAAAATAAAATACAGTTATGGAAGACAGAAGTTAAATACCTAGGTCATACATTAACCAAAGATGGAAGGTTAATTCATGGGGAAAGAAAAGCTTCTATTTTAGCTGCACCCAGACCCCAAACAAAAAAAACAGATGATGTCATTTTTGGGGTTATGTAATTATTGCCGGCAATGGGTAGCTAATTATGCAGAATTAGTAAGACCATTACAAAATTTAATTTTTGAAAAGCCAATGACACCTAAAGAAAACATTCATTGGACTGATGAAGCAGTCACAACCTTTAGCAAAATTAAAGGAATTATAGCTAGCTCAACAGTTTTGGCGTTGCCGGACTATTCTAAGCCATTTGAACAGACAGTAGACTGTAAAAATGGATTCATGACATCAGTGTTGACTCATAAATGGGGGTCAAAACAAAGACCAATTGCTTATTACTCTTCGAAGCTTGACCCGGTGGCCAGAGCGACTCCAGTGTGTGTCCAAGCGGTTTTGGCTGCAGCATTAGCTGTCCAGGCATCTGCTGAAGTTGTTCTGTTTCACCCATTGACCTTGAAAGTACCACATGCTGTGTCAATGCTACTTTTGCAAACAAGCATGACATTCCTATCACCAGCCCGTCACCTTTCCTGCATGACACTTCTACTGTCACAACCACATGTGACCGTAGAAAGATGTCATACAGTAAATCCATCTACTCTAATTCCAACAGAAGGATGATGGCACTGCACATGATTGTGTTCAGGAAGCATATAAAGACTTCCGTCCAAGACCTGATATAAAGGACATGCCACTCTCTGGGGGAATTACAGTGTTTGTTGATGGCTCAGCAGGGAAAGATGAGTTTGGGAAAAATCATGTAGGATACTCGGTTACCACTGTGGATAAAACAATTGAAGCAAAAGTACTTCCAAGTAACTTATCTGCACAAGCAGCAGAATTAGTAGCTTTAACAAAGCTTGTGAATTTAGTAGCTTTAACAAGAGCTTGTGAATTGCATAAAGGTAAGAATTTACTCAAAGCGAAAAGAGGTGTGCCCCTACCCTGCCTCTGACTCCACTGAAGAGACTCGATTCCTCGATTCCCCTGTCGTCCTGCTAACTGATCTCATCTCCGGCTCCACATACCAGTTTCAGGTACTATTATTATCATAAAGCAGCTCTCTCACTCAAATCCTGCTGTGCTATTGTCTTTATTTGGCCCAACGCGGGTAATTGATCCAAATTGCATTATTAAGCAGGTAAAGGGATCTATGGATAAAGCTGTCTGTTGTCACTGAGCTCCAACGTGATCACGCTTATTAGTTTTCAGAATGCATTAACCTGCTCTGACCCTTGTACACTGGCCAGCTCCCAAACAGGCACTTTATTTATTATGAGACTTCATATTACTGCTGTGAAATTTGTCTGAATCATTGTCCGATTATGTGTCTAATCTTAGAGTTACACTTTTGTTTAGTTTATAATATGCAAAGTTATCATACACGCATATACAACAACTTGCACAGAAACAAGTTCAGCTTTTTTTGTCGGATGAAGTTCAATAATTTTTTACATAGAGGAACGCTGGATTTCCGCTTTCCCAGCTTTTCCGCACTTACAGATAGCAGGGGTGGGAAACCTGCGACTCTGGGGCCACCTGCGACTCTTTAGCTTCCTAGCTTATATTTTTTGATTATTTTGATATATTAGGACTTTAAACAAGGTGGTCCATTTTTTAAAATCCACAAATATTACTGTATGACTTGTTGCACCTGTGTGATAATTTTTACTATTTATTATGTATAATATATACAACAATGTGTTGTATTAATTTGCTATAATAGGTACACTTCATTCATTCATTAATTTTCATCCCTTTATTATCCCTTTCTGGGTCAGGGGGGTGGCAATCAGAGCTGCCACCCAATTCACAAAGCACCACTACATAGGTACACTTAAAAAACTAAAAATATGTGTTAAACAGTGGTGCGGCTCTTGACCATTTCTCAATGACAAAAAATAGCTCTTTTTTAAATGGTTGCATTAGATACAGACTGTAGACACAACAGAACCTTATGAATACACATGTAAGACACATAAATCAGGTCATTGGTTACCCTTCACCTGTCTTTAGTCAGAACGTTGCAGCAGGAATAGTTTTCAGCCTTTTAGTCGGAAAGCAAATGCTGTTTTGCTTTGCCCATGTCATAGCATGCAGTAGTATGATTATAGAGCATATGATTATAAAATATGATGTGTCATGTCTGTATATTTGGATTAAGAAAGTTGTGTTTTTACCCCAGGTGGCAGCTGTATCGTCTGGGATTCCTGGATCTTTCAGTAAATCACTGTATATAAAAACAGCAGAGTCCCGTAAGAACACATGATTGTGATAAATGTTATACTCTGCAGGTCACTTATGTGTTTGCGTTCTGTTCAGCTCCTGGTCTTGTGACAAACCTAACAGCGTTTGCTCATAACCACTCATATGTGGTGGTCACCTGGTATCTGCCCCAGCGCATCAACGGTCTCATCACCAAGTTCAGTGTGAACGTCAAACATGCACGAAACGGAATGGTGGTGCAGACTCGGAGAGTGGACGCAGAGGAGATCATGAGCATTAAACTGCCGCACTGCAATGTAAGACTTTCCTTTTCTCGTTAGGAACGGTAACTCTTGAAAAGACTTTATTATTCAAATCAACTTTTTGGATTTTAAACCTATCCAAAAAAATACCAAATCCATAACAGTTTGTGGGCTGGGGAAGTCATGTGCTGTAATGCCTGTAATGCATGTCATGTAATAATTTTTGTACCCTTTATTTGTTCATTTCTGGGTTGGGTTGGGGGCAATCAGAGCTGCCACCCAGTCCTCAAAGCACAAGCCCCTCACTGATCCTCCTGCAGGTGGGTCCACGGAAAGATGGCTTCTCTGTCACAGCCTTGGTCTTTCAACGGGGGCTTCAGACAAAGTGCAGTTAAGCAAAAGTGGGTGTAAGTGTCTTGCCCAGTGTCTCTGGGCAAGACACTTACACCCTCTGTGAGTATTTGATGATTTAGGATGATGGACGTAGAAGGCACCACCCTCGAGCTTTGCCTGAAAAAGCTGATCCGGAGATGTGGTAGAGGGCGAAATTATGGAATAGAACAAAACTCTTCCGAGAATGATGAACAAGTTATATGTTCTTCTCCATTTTACAAAACAACATATCTTCATTGTCACAAATAGTTCTGGATATGTTTAAATTTTATGCTTTTACGCTTTTAAAATTTAAATGTTTGTTTGGAGAGATAAAAGCTATTAGAGTGCCTTTTTCCCTGAAGTTATTAAGCCCTAGCATGTAACTAAAAAATCTACATTTTGAGATGGGGGGGGGGGGGGGGGGGGGGGGGGGTTTCAGAGAAAGCTTCCTCTCATTTCCACAGCTGGATTCCACTTGTTAAGCACAAAGAACAATTTCAACCGTTTTATGTTTATTAACAAAATACCCAAAATATTAATCTTTTTCCTAGTAAGTCCTTATTGAAGACTCCCTGGTCTTCAGTTCTGGTCTCATTTGGATTCAATGGATGATCATGGCTGTGCCTTTGAAATAGATGACTCTCTCCTGACAGACAATGATCGTCGTGTCCATCATTGTCACGCTCAAGGATCCAATTTCTCTTTTTTGGAATGGTGTTCTGCCTGAAGGCCATGTTCCAATCTCCATGTCCATCTCATCTTGAATAGAAAAAAAAAAGACTAAACCAATATAAACTCCAGAATCTTGTAAAATGTGATTAACCTCTTTACTGCTTATCTATCCTTGCTGTTATATCCTTCCTCTCTTGTTATAGGATGCAGCAGAAATCCTCTCCCGGGCCACTGTGAGTCCACTGGAGATGACCGCGTCGTCTCCCCCCATCACCCACTCAGCGGTACCCCCAGCAGCGCTGTGGCAAGTTCCCATATCCGTTGGAGTAGATAATCTTCGACCGTTCACTCCGTATCTGTTTGAAGTGTCTGCCTATACCTCCGAGGGAGAGGGAAAAACTGGCTCGGTCATGGTCCACATGCCAGAATCAGGTGCGTATTGAACAGGCTACTGTATGTATTGTACAGGCCCTTATGCCGTAAACCCGTCTCCCATCTATACATTATTTACTTTTTTCATACATTTTATAGATTTATAGCAATAACGCTTCTATCTGAATGTACTTGATTAAAAGCTATTGGACATTTAATGGGTTTCTTGCAGCTCCAGTGGGTCCTCCACAGAACCTTTCCATATTGAACATGACGTCCAGATATATTTTACTCTCGTGGATTTCTCCAAGAATTGTGACGGGGAAATTCACTTACGTCCTGAGCCTCCATGGTCCATCGTCAACAGGTGAGGCTGGGTTTAATGATGACACTATTAAGATAAGATGTGCTTTATTTATCTCAAAGAGGAGAAATTTACAAGTCTATTACAATTAAAGTCTATTGCTCAGCCTAAAAGCAGGTGATGAATTCATATGTATTCAATTCTTGAGTACAAATGAATTGGCAATATATTATTATTGAGATCGTCAAGTGAACATTGGGCCTCATTCACAAATAACTTCATAAGAAACTTCTTAAATTTCTTCTCAAGTCGTTCTTAAGTAGATTTCTAAGAAGAGCCTACGTGGGATTCATCAACACGCTCGTAAGGTGCTGAATTGTTCGCAGTTGTTCTCTTAGATTGATGAATGCCAACTCCTCGTAAGTAGAGCGCGCGTGCCCGGTGCTTCATTAGCATAGGAACTTAGCATAGGTAACCGCCCATTAATGTAAGTAAGTAAGTAAGTAAGTAAGTTTGTATTTATATACCGCCTTTTCACTGCAGATCTGAGTCTCGAAGCGGTTTACAATTGTCAATTTTTGGGCATTTGTCTCTCACTCCACACAGAGATGGGAGCGGGGTCGCCAGTACAGGAGGCGCATGCCAGAACTATTGGACATATTTTTAGTGGTAGGGGAAACCGGAGTACCCGGAGGAAACCTACGCAGACACGGGGAGAACATGCAAACTCCACTCAGAAAGGCCCTGGTCCGACCGGGATTCGAACCCAGGACCTTCTTGCTGAGAGGCGAGAGTGCTATCCACTCAGCCACCGTGCCGCCCATATAAGGGACTGCAGGGCCGTGTGCAGACGTCAGAGGAAACAGCAACATGCAGCAAAGAGTTACACGGAGCAAAAGAGTCACCCTTTTTACTATTTTGGCAAACCGATATTAGAGTCATAAAATGTTGACTTTAAAGTCGAAATATTATGTCGAACTAGCAAAATTATGAGATTAATCTTAAAATGTTATGAGCTTAATTTAAAAATATATTATGTATTAATTTAATAATGTATCTCAAAATATTTTGGACCCTGGGAAGAGATCCAGCACGGACCAGCGCTGAGACCAATGCAGACCCGAGGAGAGACTGAGTGACCAGCACACAGAAACCAGCGCGGACAGTAGATACCGCATAGACCTGACTGGAGAGACCGGTGCACAGAGACCAGCGCGGACCGAAGAGAGACTGGAGTGACCAGCACACAGAAACCAGCGCAGACAGGAGAGACCGCATAGACCTGACTGGAGAGGCCGGTGCGCAGAGACCAGCGCGGACCGAAGAGAGACCGCATGGACCAGACTGGAGAGACCAGCGCGGACCTGTATGGAGAGACCGGTGCAGACCCGTCTAGATCCATGGGAGAGACCAGTGCAGACCCGTCTAGATCCATGGGAGAGACCAGTGCAGACCCGTATAGATCCATGGGAGAGACCAGTGCAGACCCGTATAGATCCATGGGAGAGACCAGCGCAGACCCGTATGGATCCATGGGAGAGACCAGTGCAGAGACTCAGCGCGGACCCCGCAGCCTCCTGCAGCAGCAGTATATATGCCATTGTTCTGTGGCCCGTGGATAAAGAAATGCCCCCAATAAATAGGATGGGGTCACTAATACACGGCAAGATTTCCAATGTATTTGATAAAGCGTTGGCACATTTAATTTCAAAATGAATAGAAAAATAGGCTAAATTACCATAAACAATTAAATAAATGAATAAATACGTCATTATGACGGTCATATCACTGTAATGTTGTGTTTTATGGAACTTCATAACACCAGCGTGCGAACATGTCGTGCTCCTGAGCATTCGTAGGATTTGTACTTACTCAAGAGAAATTCTGGTTACGAGAAAATTTCATGAATGCCACAATCTTCGTAAAATCTTCGTAAGTAGGATTTACGCACAAATTTGTTCTTAAGTACGGTTTGTGAATGAGGCCCAATGTTATCTCGACAACTGAAAGCAGGCTAAGAGTGATTAAACAAATCAGAATACTTATCCAAACCATCTTTGTGTTCCCTAAATTTGCCTTTTGGTAAGAATACGTAATTGAACAAGGCTTTCTGAGGGTCAGTCATTCTTATGCCAAAGATTCAAACAACTGTGTCAACAGTGATGTATAAAGCCATATTTCCCTGTACTTCCCATATTTTCCTAAGGGAGGAAATTGGCATCTCTCGCTATAACCTGGCACATGGCATCTCTTCTGTTTCTTGGACTAATGTCAGATGTGCATTGTCCCTAATCAAATAAATAGAGTAAATAAAAACAATGAAATAATTTAGCATGGATGTGAAGAGAACGCACATAACTTCAAAATGTAACTATAAATGTAATATGTTATATGTACAAATATTATCATATGAAGTACTCATTGGTCTGAAATCAATACATACAATCTTACAAGCTTAACCTCAAGATATTGAGGTATCTTGTATTGGTGTAATTGTCTAATTGTTTTTTAATGAACACAAATGTATTATTAATTGTAATGTATTATGGGCATATTTGTAAAAAAAAATGAAGATTAGATGACACAGCATGCTGTAACAGGGAAGAAATTAATTTTTAAGAACTGAGTGCAGGACCTAAACAACATTGGATTGACCTTCTACAATCAGAAAAAATTAAATTATAAAAAATAGCACAAAGCCAATGACTTTCATTTTCCTTTCAGGATATTTCCTCAACGAAAGCATTTTCGACACAAACTTTGAGTTCTCTGACTTGATGCCTTACACTCGGTATACTGTGATTGTTTGGGCAAAATCAGCAGGAGAATTAGGTCCAGCAACAGAGAGGCATCTCATCACAGCCGCTGAAGGTACAGATGTTTAAAAAACACAAACAAGAACAACAGCAATGAATGGAGACGTATGATCAATATTAAGAAAACCACATTTTCTCAGCTTATGTCCAAGTTATAGTTTTCTTGTCATGTTCACAAAATTTGTTTTAATGGTATCTGCACGTCTTCTTTTTAGAGATGAAGAGACTAACTGTTTTGCAGCTGGGTTGTAGTTGGAGTTTAAGAATAATACATAATTTTTGAAAAGAGAAAAACAACTGCTGAATTTAAGAAGTCACTCATTTAAATGAAAGAGGCTCGTGCCGTCTGACACATGCACAGATGCGTTTCTTCACATTTTCCAGCCCCCACGGCCATTTTGAATCACTCCATGAAAGCCCAATTTTAGGCGTGACTACATCCGTTAATATATACAGTCTATGGGAGAGACCTGCGAGAGCGGGACCGCCTTGGACTATCTATGCTCGGACTACATTCGAACGCGGAACTAGCGGAAATCTTTCAGTTATTGCAAATACAACTAGATGGCTCTGTGTAATGAGAGCGTAGGGACAATGAGAAGCCTGTGAGCGAGTTGGGGGGCGGTGCTAAACATTCAAGTTTTATTGCCACATAAGTAACAGGAAGTCACAGACTTGGAAATTGCTTTAGCTCAGTGCAACAGTCAAAGAAGAGAGGTAAAGAATAGAGAATAGAGTAAGGCATAAATAAATAAAATAAAAATTAGCATACACTTCTACGGTATAAAATATAAAATAGAATCATTACAGAATTCTTACAATTACAGTCACTATGTACAATATACAAGTGCACATGGGGCACACAATATACAATAGGCAGTGCAATAGGGTGACAAGCAGTAAAGTGACGTTATGATGGCATTAAAGTGACCTTATGACAGTAAAGTGACAGTATAGGGGGCCGTAAGATTACTTCTAAAGGGCGGGGGGACAGGTTATTAAGTGTTCAAGAGTCCAACAGCAGAGGGGAAGAAACTGTTCTTGTGGCGGGAGGTTCTAGTCCTGATGGACTCTCCCTCAGAATGAGAAAATTACAGTTCTTGAAATAAGACTAATTGGCTTGTCCCGTCAAATCTTAAGACAGAATGTACTCTAATTAAGATAAAAACAATAGATTAAAGTAATTAATTCCTCATAATTCCTATATAGGCCAGACAAAAGCAAAAAGGCCTTTTTTAAGATAAGATAAGATAGACTTTATTGCTCTCACACAGGAGAAATTTACAAGTGTGTTCCTTTGTGTTTATGTCCGTATGCTCAGCCCCCAGTGCTGTCCAGGCGCTCTTAGCAGAAGCAGAAGACTCTCAGACCATCAGAGTGAGCTGGAGGAGTCCCGCTCAACCGAATGGTCCCATCACTCACTACAGACTGCAGGTCCTGGTGGAGGAGAGCCTGCTCCAGGACATCACCCTCACTGCTCCTCTGGTGTGGAGATTTTATGTAATTTTAAAGATTGTATGAAGCAAATTTGTCAGTTTGACATTTTAAGCATGCTAGCATTGTTTCCTCATCAACAACACATACTGATTTATGTCCATACTTTTCTGGCACTCTGGCACAAACATATCCTCCCCTCTACTGTCTCAATACTTCCATCTAAAACTCCATCCATCCTTCTATTTTCGTCTGCTTCATCCGTTGCCTAGTCATGGGGGAAGAAGTCTAAGCAGAGAGGCCCAGACTTCCCTATCCACACACACTTCCTCTAGCTCATGGAGGCCCTGAGAAGTTCCCAGGCCAGCTGGGAGACATAGTCCCTTCAGTGCAGTGTCCTGGGTCTTCTCCAGGGTCTCTTACTGGTGGGACGTGCCCGGAACACCTCCCCAGTGATGCCCAAGCCACCTCAACTGGTTCCTCTCAATGTGGAGAAGCAGCGGCTCTACACCGAGCTTCTCCCATGTGACTGAGCTCCTCACCTAAGGAAGCGTCCAGCCCCTCTGCGGAGGAAGCTCATTTCGACCGCTTGTATCCGCGATTTCGTCCTGTCGGTCATGGCCCAAAGCTTATGACCATAGGTGAGGGAGGGAACAAAGATTGACCGGTAAATAGAGCTTTGTCTTTCGGCTCAGCTCTTTACCACAACGACCGCATTACTGCGCCGATTCACCTATCAATCTCACGCTCCATCCCTTCCCGCACTTGTGAACAAGAACCAGAGATCTTTGCCCTCTCCACCCACCTGGAGAGGGCAAAGCACCTTTATCCGGTCGAGCACCATGGCCTCAGATGTGGAGGTGCTGATTCTCATTCCAGCCACTTTACACTCAGCTGCAAACCGTCCCATTGCATGTTGCAGGTCCTGTATCCGATAGAGAGTATGGAGTTGGTCCAGTGTTCCACGGCCGGGACAAAAACCACACTGCTCCTCCTGAATCCAAGCTTCAACCATCGGCCAAAGTTTCCGCTCCTGTACCTTAGAGTAGAGTGTAATCCCATGATAATTGGAATGCACCCTTCGTCGCCTTTCTTGTAGAGAGGGACCACCACCCCGGTCGGCCACTCCATTGGGTGCCACGCAGTGCTGCAGAGACTTGTCAGTCAACACAGTCCTACAACATCCAGAGGCTTTAGATAGTCAGGACGAATCTCATCAACTCCTGGAGCCTTGCCACCAAGGAGGCCGCCAACCACCTTGGTGACTTCAGCCAAGGAAGATCGGAGTATCCGCCCCAACATCCTTAGCCTCTGGGATGGAGGAAGGGGGATTGAGGAGAATTCCTTCCACCGCCCATCAATATCCCCAGTCGAGGTCAGCAGCTCTCCACCTACACCGTTCATGGTGTTGTCAAAGTACTGCTTTCCCCTCCTGAGGTGTCGGACGGTTTGCCAGAAGATCTTTGACGCTGACCGATATTCATGCTCCACGGACTCTCAGAACTCTGTGGAGAGGCAACAGCTTGGGCAGCGGCATGCTTGACCTGCCGGTACTGGACAGCTGCCTCAGGAGTCCCACAAACGATAATGGCTCAATAGAACTCTTTCCTCAGCCTGAACACATCTCTTACTGTCATGATTCCACACTTGGATATAATAGGAATGAATGATGATGATTAATATGTCTCAAACGCATAACAGCATCTGTAATAATGACCACAAAGGATACTAAAACCTGCTCTGTGTCTACAGAATGATAGTGCCACTGGCTTTTATGAGGAGAGGACATTCACCAACAGTCCTGGAAGGCGTAAGAGAAATGCAGACTTCATTACATCGCCTCCCTCCTTCACGCCTTCAGTCTCTAAACTCTCTTCTGACACTTCCGCCATAACTGAAGGCCTAAACACGAGCCCTGCTTTCACCCCCTCATCCACGGAGGAGTTTTTTTCCAGCATGCCCTCCGACAGATCCACCAATGCTTACTCAGTCACCTCTGGGCCGCCTGTGACCCTACCGCCTTGGCTCATGAGGCAGTCCAGAACTGATGTGACCGATGGCTCTCTGAGCACTGCGTATCATGCTGTAAACACACGCGAGGCTTCTGTCACCGGGCCCTACACTTCTACTACCGGATCTGCCAGCACAGGTAATAGCTGTGTGTGTGCGTTTGAGTGGGTGGACTTCTCATGTGAATGAAGTCCACTCAGTTATTGTATCTTATATTTTGCTACAGCTTGGATTATTCAGATACTAACTTAACTACAAACTAAATTGGCAGTTTTATACATTTTATCTCTCATAGTGTAAGCTTTTTTTCATATCAGGAAAAAAATTAACTATATATTATAGTCCTTTTAACTAGGTGTGTATGTGTGTGTATGTGTACTGTGTGCGCGTGTTTCTGTGTACATGTCTGCGTGTGTGTACGTGTCTTTCCGGCATGGGGCGGCACGGTGGCACAGCGGTTAGAGTTTGCATGTTCTCCCCGGGTGCTCCGGTTTCCCCTACCACTAAAAATATGTACAATGGGTCTGAATGTAATGAGTGAGTGAATGGATGGTGTTGGTTAGGCGCTTTAATGCGCTAGTGTTTTCGATGTCTCGCTTCCGTCATCACTGTGTGTGGCGAGAATAGAAAATTATCAGAACTCTGAAAATCATAAAGCGCTGTGGGTGCTTTTGGTCTGTAAAATGTGCGTTATAAATGAACATTACTTACTTTCTTTACAGCCCGTGTCACAGTGAGAGAAGAGGTGCTGGATTCGCTGTCAGAGGAGATGTCATACTTAGTGTCAGATTTGAACCCTTTCACCGAGTACACGTTTAGGGTCAGTGCTTTTACCACTGTGGGGCAGGGTCCGGCCGTAGACATCACGGAGCAGACCAGAGAACAGGGTACGCTCTTATTACACCGTCTATATATGGAGCCCTAGTGCTAATGATATGACTGCACATTGTGACCTCAGTACCCAGTGCCGTGCTAAACGTGACCTATCACAACATGAGCTCCTCTTCCATCCTGCTCACCTGGGAGCCTCCCATCAGCCCCAATGGCAGGATAACACACTACACCATCTATGGGGTCCAGCTGCACCATGGGCAGGAGCTGCAGTGGGAGAGCAATGGCACTTCTCTACTCATAACAGGCAAGTGCAATATCTTTCAGTATTGTCAATATTATGATAATATTCTGGATCTGGATGACTGTAGTGGTGATTGTAACATTGTGGCCAAGCAGTATTGTAAAGTTCCCAATATCTTTTTTAAGATGCTTTTTTCCCCCCCTTCCTTTTTGATTGGTCTTGAAGCCGCGCCTACTTTTCCGTGCACGTGCCAGGTCAATGGGCCAAGACGTGCGGAAGAGAGATTATTAATTTAAATATTTAAATATGTTTGAATATTTATTCATAATTTGTTATACAGTTCCTCACAGCAGCAGTAGAACGCTCCATTGATCTGAATGTAATTTCAAAAGATTCTACCAATCATTATTTCTTGATAACCGACCTCTCAAACCAATAATGACCGCTGCCCTTTGGCAACGCACTCTGTGTTTGTAATCCAGGTGTGTAAAATACTAAAATTACTCCGGACAGAAGTTTGCACACTTTGTCACAACGGGCTTTCAGCGCCTGTCACTTATAACTTCTGTCTGAGCAAGAGAAGCTATCGAAGCTAGCCACGCTCAATAACACAAATAACAATCAATCACCACATTTAAATGTTAATCGGAGTATAGATTATACATATACAATCTTCATACACGTACACAGAGGTTTTCAGAATTATCTGTTAATGTTTTCATGACAAAAATACTGCGACAAAAAACAATCGCGGTAAACCCGGAACTATTGTTTCTATTAACATTAATAGAACATTTGAGTTTATATTTGGGTAACTCACTGCTGATGTTCAGAATTCATTGTTCAGTTTTCATGTAGTTCCAGAGAGTTCAAGTTTTGAAGTAACTTACTAGCTAGACGAGCTGTTACCCGTCTAGCCACGTCACGGCGAAACCTTTGGGAACTAACTATTATATATAATTTAAAAAAGATAATGTCCATTACAGCTTTGAATATTGAGGGCTGTCTAATATTCGTTTGAATATATATACTGTATATCTTTTTTTTTTAACGGCAGATCAGTATTGGAAATTAAAAAGATGCATCTCTAATCAACAGCTAGTGATTGATGGTGCCATTTGAAACCCATATTTTGTTACCTTAAGCTTTTTCTTTCTAGATTTAGAAAAATATACAAGCTACAAGCTCGGGGTAGCAGCCTCTACAGCAGTTGGAGAGAGTGATCTGACTGATGAAGATTATGTCTATGTGTATACTGAGGAGGATGGTACGCAGCTCTTTGGAACACAATACAAAATGTTGTATACGTCTTATCCAACATAATGAGAGCTCTTTCCTCTGTATGTTGTCCACAGTGCCAGACTCTCCTCCCACTAACCTGACTGTGGTAGACACCAGTCCCTCCACTGCCACTCTGTCTTGGGCCCCCCCAGACAAGGCCAATGGAGTTATTCAGTATTACCAAGTCACATTTGGAAATGAATCGTTCAACACATCTATAAACACCACTTCTAACAGTATCACGCTTTCAGACCTCAGGCCGTTTTCATTCTACAATGTGACAGTGAAAGCATTCACTCGCCTGGGCCATGGAGACCAACAATCAGAGTCATTACAGCTGCTGTCTGGAGAGGACGGTATGTTTATTCATATAGCAGTATTGTCTTCAGCTGTAGCCTTGCAGACTTTTTTTGGCTGTGATGCCAAACCACGCATGATCTGATATCATCAAGTAATCAACAGTCCAGGATCAATGTTGATGTTGTTTTCCCAGGATCAATGTTCCATTGGGATAGGGTAACGTAGGTCAGGGGTTTGGGGTAAGGTGTTAGAGGTTAGGGCTAGGGTTCATTATGTATAAGATCAGCTAAAATAATCGACTAAAAGGATAGATGCTCACAAGTTTTCTAATCTGTGTCCATGTAATTTCCCTTGAGGATCAGTAACGTTTGCTTAAGTCTCACTAAAGTAAGCAGTGCGGAAAAAATGCTAAATATTCAAATAATTTCAATTTTTCTCAGTTGCTTTGGTGCATTTTTCACATAATTCTTCACATTTGCACAACAGTTAGTCCATTTCTCAGAACAATTAGTGCAAACTGCGAAACCTCGTGGATGACCTGCAAAATTGCATCACCTTCTCAAAATGAAAAGTTAATCCCTCAAAAGCAAGTCTTCATGTCAATGAAACTGTCTGTGTCATCAAAATATTAAGTCCTGACAACATTGAGTATGAACAACAGTCAAATGACTTAACCATGTTTTCATTGTGACACTTCACTCTCTCTGTGTTTTCAATGTAAAGAAGTCAGATCTCGGTGACACTTGAGCACGACTATGAGCACACTATACTCGACCTATACAGCCATTTACAGTAAAAACTACAGTAAAGTTACACAACGACTGTATTTAGAGAGTTAACTGACATATGTATGTATGTATGTATGTGTGTAAGTATGTGTGTGTATGTATGTATGTGTACTGCATGTCTGTATGTATGTACAGTATGTATGTATATATGTATGTATATACAGTATTTATGTATATGTATGTATGTATGTGTACTGCATGTCTTTCACATATTTACTGCATTTGCTCTTTGCAATTCTACAGCATTGTTCAACAAAAATACAGTCACATACAACAGTATATACAGTACATATAAACAAACATACAAGAAATATCATTATGGTAGAATTGTGACGAATGTAAACAATAAAATACACACCTCCTCATGAGTGAATGCTGAAATTCACCTGAGATAAATTGTTCAATTTAGGAAAGATTTACAGGAAAAGAAAGATAAAGGAATGTATTAAATTAGCTTGACAAATATGATTTAGAGAACTAGTTCAACAGTTTTGTATGTGATGACCAAAGCGATGAAATTAGGACAGTTAGTTTTATAGGGAATGACTATTCAGAAGTTTTAAGTATGTTTCATTTTGACTGACAGGACAGCGGCAAATGATAATGTTAAAAAACAGCAAAGAATTTTATGAAAGCAACTGATACATGAACAAAAGCATTTGAAATGTGTTCATAGGAAAAACTGCCATGATGATGTGCACATATACCTTAATGATGTGGAGGTTGAACTAATAGTTATGAGAACTTTAAGTCTGATGTGAGAAATGCACCAAAGCGACTGAGAAAAACTGTAACACTGTTACCATCCAGATGTTGTCTTTCTATAACTTTAATTTTATAATCTACATATTTCCATTTCCTTCCAGTCCCGGGCGGACCACCAAACAACCTGTCCTACGAGTCCATCAGCCCCAGCGAAGTGAACGTGACTTGGCTGCCTCCGGAGTTTCCTAACGGAAACATCACACATTACGGCCTGGAACTTTCGAACTCCACTACCTTCCTCAACCTCACTTCCAGCAGCCCGCATCTGCTCATCCAGCACCTCAAGAAGTTTACAGAGTACCGCATCCGGGTGCAGGCCTACACTCGGGTGGGGCCGGGGAACTTCAGCCTCCCTGTCAACATCACCACGCAGGAGGACGGTGAGAGGCCAACTGGGTGTGTGTGTGTGTGTTTTTTTTATCAGGAAACCCGGGATTACATCAAAGACCAAGATTATCTGATGAAACATAGACCTTCTTTTACTTTTCAGCTCTTACAGCTCCGCATACTAATCATTTTTACATCCCAGGTGCTTTTCAGTGTGGCGGCCTCAACGTTTACCTGGAGAGTTTCTTCTATTACTAATGCATTTCTTATTCCAAGCTCTGCCGGTTAAACCTTGCACGTCTGTTCGGTTGTGTTATCTGTACTCCCCTTGTATACATCTCAGCCCCTGATACCCCACCTCAGTTCCTGCTTGCCACAAAGTTATCAGACTATGAGGTGGAGCTGTCCTGGAAGGCACCGCTTAAAGCCAATTCTGACATTCTGTACTACAAAGTCCATGTTTGGTGAGTCACATCATGTGCTGGTAATAAGAGATTCCAATGAGTGAAACCTGTTGTGTATGTTTTTGTGGAAGGAATGAAACAAGCGAGCAGTGGCTAAACGTGACTGGGACCTCAGTGGTGATTAACGTGGACTCTGAAAGCCCCTACAATGCCTCTGTCTCCAGCTGGACGCGCTTGGGAGACGGAGGGGTGCTAGTGTACATCAGCTTCTCCACCAGTGTGTCAGGTGAGGAGATTCACTGCCTCTTATACATTCATTCAATTCAATTTATTTGTATTTTTGTATAGCCAATAAATATAATAGATGTCCATATGTCGACTATGTTGAATATGTGCTTAACAAAACAATAGAGAAAGCACTCAAAGTAAAATCATAAATAATAGACATTATTATTATTATTATTATTATTATAAGATTATTATAAAAACTTGGTTGGTTGGTTTAAGCTGGCTGAAGTCATATTTTTTAGACCACACATTTAGGCACTCCATTGCATGGCCAAATTTGGCTCTAATGGTCATGGTCTTTCTTGTCTCTGGAACCTCCAGTGTGACAACTGTTTTGGACCCATCTTCACTGATGGGATCTTGCTCTGGGGCAAGATCCTCCAAAACTGCTTTTACAGTGCCTTGCGAAAGTATTCGGCCCCCTTGACCCTTTCAACATTTCGCCACATTTCAGGCTTCAAACATAAAAATATAACATTTTAATTTTTTGTCATGAATCAACAACAAGTGGTACACAATCGTGAAGTGGAACGAAATTTATTGGATAATTTAAAACATTTTAACAAATAAAAAACTGAAAAGTGGGGCGTGCAATATTATTCGGCCCCTTTACTTTCAGTGTAGCAAACTCACTCCAGAAGTTCAGTGAGGATCTTTGAATGATCCAATGTTGTCTTAAATGACTGATGATGATAAATAGAATGCACCTGTGTGTAACCAAGTCTCCGTATAAATGCACCTGCTCTTTGATAGTCTCAGGGTTCTGTTTAAAGCGCAGAGAGAACCATGAAGACAAAGGAACACACCAGGCAGGTCCGAGATACTGTTGTGGAGAAGTTTAAAGCCGGATTTGGATACAGAAAGATTTCCCAAGCTTTAAACGTCTCAAGGAGCACTGTGCAAGCAATTATATTGAAATGGAAGGAGTATCAGACCACTGCAAATCTACCAAGACCCGGCCGTCCCTCCAAACTTTCATCTCAAACAAGGAGAAGACTGATCAGAGATGCAGCCAAGAGGCCCATGATCACTCTGGATGAACTGCAGATAACTACAGCTGAGGTGGGAGAGTCTGTCCATATGACAACAATCAGTCGTGCACTGCACAAATCTGGCCTTTATGGAAGAGAGGCAAGAAGAAAGCCATTTCTCAAAGATATCCATAAAAAGTCTCGTTTAAAGTTTGCCACAAGCCACCTGGGAGACACACCAAACATGTGGAAGAAGGTGCTCTGGTCAGATGAAACCAAAGTCGAACTTTTTGGCCACAATGCAAAACGATATGTTTGGCGTAAAAGCAACACAGCTCATCACCCTGAACACACCATCCCCACTGTCAAACATGGTGGTGGCAGCATCATGGTTTGGGCCTGCTTTTCTTCAGCAGGGACAGGGAAGATGGCTAAAATTGATGGGAAGATGGATGGAGCCAAATACAGGACCATTCTGGAAGAAAACCTGTTGGAGTCTGCAAAAGACCTGAGAATGGGACAGAGATTTATCTTCCAACAGGACAATGATCCAAAACATAAAGCCGAATCTACAATGGAATGGTTCACAAATAGACGTATCCAGGTGTTAGAATGGCCAAGTCAAAGTCCAGACCTGAATCCAATCGAGAATCTGTGGAAAGAGCTGAAGACTGCTGTTCACAAACGCTCTCCATCCAACCTCACTGAGCTTGAGCTGTTTTGCAAGGAAGAATGGGCAAGAATTCCAGTCTCTCGATGTGCAAAACTGATAGAGACATACCCCAAGCGACTTGCAGCTGTAATTGCAGCAAAAGGTGGCGCTACAAAGTATTAGCGCAAGGGGGCCGAATAATATTGCACGCCCCACTTTTCAGTTTTATATTTGTTAAAAAAGTTTAAATTATCCAATAAATTTCGTTCCACTTCACGATTGTGTCCCACTTGTTGTTGATTCTTGACAACAAATTAAATTTTTATATCTTTATGTTTGAAGCCTGAAATGTGGCGAAATGTTGTAGGGTTCAAGGGGCCGAATACTTTCGCAAGGCACTGTATCTGCTACAACAACCGTATTTTGTTAATGTGATGTTGTAAAGACTGAATCCTCTTATCCATATTCCTTATTCAGGAATATGGATGTCACTCAAACGTTGTTTCCCATTGATTTGTGCATGTTTAAAAATCTCTGCCCACTTCTCTGCCATTATCTCTCAGATCTATACATAATACATTATATTATTCGAAAATGGTTGTTCTTTTGTAGTCTGTTTCTATTATGTACTAACTTAGATCAAAATAGGGTTTTATTATCCACGTCCACTAGGGCATATGTTTTTTCCAGGGTTTGTTTGTTCGTTTGTTGTCTGTTTGGATTTTTACCAAATTCCTTGTAAATGTTGGACATTGGACAGGAATCAATGTATTAGACTTTGCTTAAGGAATTGTTTAAGAAATGCAGCTGCCCGCCTGGTGCTATAGCTATTCATGTTCTCTTTTGCTTCCTGGAGCACTGACAATCATGCGGAAATGTTTTAAAAATAAATCAGCACAACTAGGATGAACTATGATGAATGTAATGCTTTATACTACATGTAATTTGGCACCAACTTTATCAGTTATGGTGGAAATATATAATATGGTCTGTTACATTTTGACAATTGAAGTCAAGTCTTCCTGTGTGCCAAGAAGAAGACATGTACAGTTGTGCTCGAAAGTTTTAACACTCAGCCGGAGATATACATGTATTCTGGAGAATATGAATAATAACACAACTGGTTTTATACATTTAAGGTGCAAATATTGAATGTTTTATTGACCTGTAATGTTTGGTCAATTAAACATATGTTTAATTGTCTGTGTTTGATTGTAGAGCCATTTGACCCGCCACAGAATGTGACCATTGGTGACATGACCTTCTCCTCAGTCGTTTTAACATGGCTCCCACCAAAACAACCTAATGGAATTATAGTGCACTACTCTATCTACTACCAAGACGTCAATGTGACAGAACAGGTAGAACACATGAACAAGATCTGACTCAGGCCTCAAACTAACACATAGTCATGTTTAATCTTCATTTAGAAAGTGTACACCAAAGACCTGAACTTGTCCTCTCCTGCCACTGGCCTGTCCTACACGCTGAGCGGGCTGACCGGAGGAGTCCACTACAGTGTGTGGATGACCTCCAGCACCGCGCAGGGGGACGGAGGAGTGAGGACGCAGTCTTTCAAAGTACACTTACCAGAGGGAGGTCTGTCACATCCTCACAAGACCACGTGTAGACTCATTCATCTGCACACTTTTTTTACACTCTTATACTCTACTGAAGAAAATTACATAAAAACTCTATCAGTTAGGCAAAGGAAATGACTTTCTTACAAAGTGTCTGCCCACGACAATCTTTAAAGGCCTGCACTTTGTGTTTCCTTTTTCTAAACTTGACAAATTGTGTCAGAAAGTACTGACGATATTGAGATTTGAGCATAAAGGAAAAAGCTAGCTGTTCCATGTTGGCTCTGATGTTTTATAAATGCAGTGTTTCCATAGAAGCTAACATTTGCATACAAGTTTAATCACATCCAAACCCTCTCTACATTCTGTTGATGTATGCATGTGTTTTTATGTGATTTTGTGAAAAATGGTGCAGATATTAAAATGTAATTTGTTATTTTGTAATATTTTCTTGAACTCACACTGACTGTTTTTCTGCCTGTACCCAGCCTGGCAAGGGAACTCAGAGGCTGGAGCCTCTTCCTCTGGGCTCAGACCTCCACACCTCTGGGGCCTCACTAACTCCTGTGGATCATTTCTCTATAAGCTGTCTTTTCTTTCCCCCTGTGTACATTCCTCACAGCTTCTGCAGAGGCTCGGAGCTGTACATGGAGGGCAGGATGAGTATTTCCATTGACCATGTTTCTCCTTGAACTGTGCCAATGTATAATGTCTCCTTATTCACTCATTCACGCTGTGCTGTATTATTTATATCAATATGTACATCTAATATTTTCAGTGTGACAAAGGATGACCATAATCTTGATGATTTTAAACTTTGAGCTACAAGAGCAAATGTGTGCATTGTTCCCTTAGAATGAAAAGGTTCTATTTTTTTTAGTCAAGATTTTAACGATATACTCTTATTCTTTGCTCATTGAGTTGTGAAAAAAATCATACTACAACAGACTGTCGTCATCTTAATAGAAAAGGTGTTATCTTTTGCATACTAAGAACATATGCACATAAGAAAGAGACTTGTGAGTCACTATTTGGAACTTTGGGATGAGGGCCAACTGGCTCAGTGAGATTGGTCTGCTTTTTTTTTTACTGTTAGATAGATTTTAATGGGAAAAAATAGGTACTTATTAGACTGTATACACAGACAGAACTTCCTATTTCTAAGGGGACGTGATCTCTCTAAATACACATTTATTACCAGAGTGCACCTGTAGCTAATTTGTCTTCTCTGTCCATCTTTAGTGCCCAGTGATTCAGTGCACAACCTCATCGCCACCATTGCTGGTGCCCAGGCCATTTCGGTAAGCTGGGACCCACCTCTGGAGCCCAATGGACGTCTGTATTACCAGCTCACCTTAGAAGAAGAAATCCTCCCGCCTAATACCTCAAACCCAGGCCGTCCACTCAAGATTATCAGAAACACAACAGATACGGCCTTTCTGTATACCAGGCTCAGGATATATTTCCCCTATGTGTTCAGTGTTACCCCAGCAACAGCAGCAGGCATCGCCTACAACCACACAAGTACGCTGCGGCAGCGGACACGTGATGAAGGTAATACAAGGAAGCTTATCACAGCATTTTGACCATTATGGCTGTTTTTCTTTGACCTACTCTGATTCCTGCATGTTCCTTACATGGAGGCTATTGCTCCCCCTGGCTGCTCTCACCACTATAACTCGCCTACTTTGATTTGTTTGCGATTTTATTTAAAAGCAGTCTTTGTGTGTTGTTTTGCTTTAGCTCCCACGTCACCTCCTGTGCGAGTCTCCGAAAGGAACCTCTCAATGTCCTCCATCGCTCTCGTATGGCAACCCCCTCTTCAGGCTAATGGGGAGATAACAGAGTACACTCTCAAGTTGTCTGGCCCCAGAGGCACCAACACCACCACTACTGCTAACACTTCATATGTGCTCACCAACTTGCTCCCATACACGGCCTACAACGTCTCCATCTCAGCCGCCACACGCAAAGGCCCGGGTCCCCCTCTCATACTGCACCTGCATTCAGACGAAGGAGGTGAGGAGACAAAACTATGATTATGACTAATGCATGATCCCTCAGCTTTGATATTAATGAAGCTTTAGAGGTGCAGCCTGGAGCCGTGGGCAACAGCCCGATCAGCCGTATTAATCCCTGCTATTTTATTTCCCCCCTTTTTTCTCCTCTAATAATTAGTCTGGGCTCTGGGGATTTGAGATACATTTCCAGGGATCAGGTTCAATCAGTGATCCGTGATGCTACGGGGAAGGCATACAACTGACGGAAACTACAAAGGGGAAATAGTGTTAGAATAAAGGTGTTTAAAGATTTCTGTATTTTAAACTATTATGATGCGCTGATATTCCAATTGTATATCCAACACATATAATATCTAGTGGTTCAGTGAACCACTTTATCAGTGAAGGGCTGGTGCTCTGTGAAAGGGAAGAAAATGGATGGATAGATGGTTGGATATTATACAAATGTGCTTTATAGACCCGGGCAGATTTTTCATTGTTTTGGCCACATTTTGGAGATCACGAATGATGGTTATTTCTCCACTCATTGTTAGTGATTGTGTTGATCTAATGTCAAAAATGTTTTGTGTTTTCTTTTTTCATAAATCAAACCAATCCAAATTAATAAAATGTGAAGTTCATGCAAGGCGGCCCAGAGAGTAGAGGAACTGAAGGAACGTTTTTTCTAAAAAAAATGGGCAGGTTTACCATCAGAGAGGATGAGCAAGCGCATATGGCTTTTAGGTTCTTCTAATAAGACGATTAAAGCAAAACAAAGCTAGTACTGCTTAAATACCTGACTTTTGCTTTAATTGTCTTATTAGAAGAACCTAAAAGCCATAAACATAAGAAGACAGAATGAATTTGCTACATTTAGCAAGCGCATACTCGACTACCATAAAAGACGTTATAATTTGAAAATAGAAGACACATTTAGACACACTGAAAGCACAACAGTTTGTCTGGAACATTTTTTTTTCCATTATCCAGACTACCATGAGATCAAATCCCCATGATGCAAATCTTTACTATAAGATCAATAACATTCCCTTTTTGAGTTTACAGCTAATGGTGCAACATTGTTCATCATTAATAAACCTGGGGTTGTCTTTAGCTTCATCCACATTGATACTTGCACAAAATTGACAAGTCCCCTCCTCCCACTTCTTCAGTGTTCAGTCTCATTACACTGACCAATCAGTGGATCGTTAAGAACATTACCTCATAATTAGTTTGGGGAATTTCTACAGTGAGCTGATGTGAACCTCCTGAATGCAGGTCATGGAGCAAAGCAGGGATTGTTCATGTCTGTGTTTCTGCGTTTTATATCCGTCTTATGTGTATTTTCAAGAGCAATTTCTTCTGGGACATAATAAATTAATTTTGAATCTTGAATGTTCATGACAACAACGTGCTTTCGACCAGAACATGCCGTGATGGTTATGATTAAATAGAATTTTATTTAGCTCAAAATTAGGTTGTTTCACGGATCCTTACTTTTGAACTAATTTTACTTGTTTATGCTAACAGTCTCTACTCAATGAATTAAATTGTTCATACTCAAAAACATGAAATTAATGTAAATCAATGTACATATTCTCAAAATCCCTTTTAAAGGACCCATATTACGCATTATAACTTTTCTATGCTTTAAATATCATTACAGTGCTTTTTGACCTTATACACATGCCCAAAGTAGTTTTTTCATTGATTCCCTCAAGCTAGTTAGAGAGCAATTATTCTCTTTTATTCTTGAGAGGCAGCGAAATGACTCTGTTCAACTTGTTTGTGCCACGTCACAAATTAAACCGAACGTGTGCACACAAGGAAAGGAGCACAAATCCACCAGTTTCAGTAGAGGTGATTTTAGTGTTGTATGGTGTAGAATGGACTACCCCATCCTAAAACATGTTTTTTTCTTAATTTCTTAATACCTTAAAAGTGATAAGAGATAGAGGCTTTATGTAAAATAGATGAATTATGAGGATGGCCCAAAGTTGATTTACGAATTATAGGTAACCCATATCATCTGCATATTTTTAATTTGTATGGTGGTGGCAATCGTGGATTTTCAGGATATATATTTTATTTTTTCTGACAGACACAAATCACCAGGACATGAACATACTGTACACACACACACACACAGAACTCACACTGTACCATGCTCAAGGGTCAGGGAAATGGTTAAAGATTGCAAATCATTGTGTGGCAGGGAGTTTTAATGAATTTTAACACAATTATTGCTCGTTTCAAACAGTACCACATACAGTATTGTCGACCTAAGTCAAGTTTAGAGGGTTAAAACGAGTTAAAATAGTTTTAGGAGATTAACTATGGTTGTACATCCAACAATAAATGTATCTGTTTCAACATTCCCAACTGCTTGTCATTCAGCAATGTGGCTCAAAAGTCCTTTATGACCTCAAAACAATATACTCACTCTGAGCTGTGGTGTCCAGGGCCCATGTCTCCACCTCGTAACCTGAGCATATACAACTACACTGCGGTGTCGGTGTGGCTGAGGTGGGAGCCGCCCCTGGATCCCAATGGAGTGGTGACGCACTACGGCTTCAGGATCCGGGAGCTCATCACACAAAACGTCACACTCCAGGTACTGCTAATTTCACAGCCCAAATGTCAAAGCCCCTCCTCCTCTCGCTCTCCAAAAACACACCCTTTTATCGCTGAGCATACACACACACACACACACACACAGCCATTATTTACCCCAAGTTCATAAGCTGGAAAGCACTGCTATTTACACACTTAAACACAGCGTGTCAAAGCGGTGTTATCCTCTTTACTGGGTGCTATATGATATTTACTGTGTGTGTGCCCGCATGTGTGTGCGTGTGTTTGTGTAGAACTCTTCTGGGCCATCCACCATGGAGTATCTGTCGGAGTTTAAACCACATCGCTCTTATGAGATCAGTGTGTGCAGCTACACGCGCGTAGGACACGGTGACCAGTTCAGCAGCCCGGTCACCTTCACAACCAACGAGTCAGGTAAATGAATTACAACGAATAAGGCAGATATTGCTTCACGACCTTCAGGCTCAAAGGCCAACGAGCCACTGTCGTCCTTTGATATGGTTCACAAAAAAATAAAGCCTTTTGGCCTCTTATCTAATGCCCCGTCAAATTTGTGCACAAAGACAACACTATTGATAGCCTAGCCAACACCAGACTACAGATCACTTGGGATCTGTAGTCTGGAAACTGTTAATGCGACAGAAATCTTACAAGAGGGAAGATAGCTTCACGTCTTCTGCCATCTGCAATATTCGTAAAACAAACAAAAAGCTTCCCTCCCCTCTCCTCGCCCATCGCCATTCCTCCCTGTTCCATGCAAAATCTTCAGCCCGAGTTTCACACTATTGATGTATTCATACTTCATGGATATATGTAATTGAATGTGAATTTAACGTGTATATGACCTTTAAAATGTAAAAAATAAAATTGTATTTTTGTAAGATTATCTTCTTAGCGATAGCTAGAGATGTCTACCCTGTAATTGCACAGAACAAACCCTGGCAGAATGTGAGACTTCAAAGCCATTTTTGACAAAATGTTCTTGTGATTTTGAGGCCAACATGTAAGTTGGTACATGGGAACCATCCTTGACAATAGGGTATGTGTATGTATGAGTATTTAATGTTGTATAAATGCCTGAGAAAATGTGTCTGTGCAGTATCTGACAGCGTGAACAGCCTCTGGTGCGTTGGAGTGAGCTGGGACTCTGTGCAGTTGAAGTGGGAGCGTCCAGACAACCCCAACGGACAGATCCTATTTTATGAGATCACAGTGGAGGTGAATGCAGAGCGGCTGCAGCACCACACACACACAGCAGACTACACGGTGTCCGGCTTGGCCCCAGAACAGCCCTACACCCTGACTGTGGCTGCGGTCAACTCTGCAGGGCCTGGGGAGGGGGTCAACTGTACCGCCAACACGATGTCTGAGTCAGGTATGCCGTGCACTTTCATGCATACATTTAATGATCTGGTCATTTAACTCATAAGGACTAACAGTTGAGCTTGAAAGTTTGCGCAACCATGCAGAACATTTTAATCTTTTTTTAACCCAGAGTAACTATTATCACTACTTTGGCTTTAATTGGGGGCGACAGTAGCTCAGTTGGTAGAGCATTGGCCTTAAGGCCAGAAGGTCGTGGGTTCAATTCCCACCTCTGCACCTTCTCCACCGACTCCCATTGATGACTGCTGTCGTTGTGTCCTTGGGCAAGACACTTAACCCCACTTTGCCCAAAGCCCCCACTGAAAGATCAAGGCTATGCTCACACTCAGAGCTGCCGTCCTCCTGTGGACTCACCACCTGCAGAGGGTCAGTGAGGGGCTGGTGCTATGAGACTTGGGTGGCATCTCTCATTGCCACCCCCCTGACCCAGAAATGGATTAAAGGGAAGAAGATGGATGGATGGATGGATGGATGGCTTTAATTGCTGTCTGGGAAGATATATTTGCTTTCCAAATCAGTCTTGATTGAACGGTTCTGTTCGTTTCAGACATTTAGTTTTTTTTCGGTTTTATGGTTTCTCCAGAGGAAGTGATGCATTTTATTGCTGTACTTTTTATATAAACTGTAAACTTTCTTATTTCCTGACTGTTGAGCATTTCTGCGACTTTGGCCCTCGAGGGGTTCAGACAAGCAGATAAATCAAAGTTCACAGGAATTAAGCAAAAGAATAATGTTAGAGAGAATCCCATCCTGAAACCCTACTTTGTCAGCAAGAAAAAATCCCTTGTTCAATAAACATAGTGTCTCTGTAACCCCTTTAGAAGTCCCCTCTGAGCTTGTTCTACAGACTGCTTTGTGTAATCTACTGTTTCCATAGGCGATGTTGAAGTGTGTTAAATATAATTGTTGTTCCACAGTCCCAGCTGCCCCTCGTGATCTGACTCTCTCGGATATCAGCGCTAACAACATTACTCTGGAGTGGTCCCCGCCGCTCTCCATCCCGGGCCTGCTCAGACAGTACCAAATAATTGCACAGCTGTTGTCCAGTGTTTGTGAATCGTCCCTACCTATTATAAAAGACTCCCCGGACTGTGTGGAGAACAGTTTTGTGTTGTCGCTGAATGTTTCCAATGGGACCACACACGAGCACAATGTCACAGTCCAGGCCTTGTCTAAATACAGATACTACCGCTTCAGAGTTGCTGCAGTCACCAGCGCTGGGGTGGGAGAATACACTGCCTGGGTGTTTGGCCGCACACTGGCAGGAGGTAAGTTTTTACAGTGCAATTAAAAAAATCTCTTTTTTGTAATGAGAAATTAAATTGCCACAGCACTTGAAATAAGACTAAAGGGCTTACCCCAATGGCTAATCTTGTTTGAAGACAGGCAGAATGTACTGATACCAAATTACCTTTTAGTTGATCATTCTTTTGCAATGGGGAAACCAGTTCTGAAATTCTTCTAACAAAATAACGACTCCTTGTTCAGACCCTGATGCCCCCCCTCGAAATCTCCGCGTATCCTCCACGGCCAACAGTCTGCATGTGGCGTGGGATGAGCCAGCCATTCTTTCTGGCCCCACCAAATACCTCATCCAAGTGCGTGTCCTGCATTTCAGCCATAAACTCACACAAACATGGGCACACATAACTTGATGAGATCCATGTGTTTGCAGGTAGAGGGTCCTGGGCTGAACTTGTCCCTTGTGCGGGGTCCATCAGAGGGACACAGTGTGGTGGTGCCTAACCTGACGGCTTTCTCCACTTACCACGTGACCGTTACGGCCTTCACCGGCCCGGTGCAGTCTGCATCCACTGATGGAATGGCCATCGGCCCTTTTGTGTTCCAGACATCAGAGGAGGGTCAGCATACATATATATATAACGTATATATATATGTATATACGTACATACGTACATACGTACATACATACATACATATATATATATGTATGTATGTATGTATGTATGTATGTATGTATGTATGTATGTATGTATGTATGTATGTATGTATGTATGTATGTATGTTGTATGATTATGTATGTATGTATGTATGTATGTATGTATGTATGTATGTATGTATGTATGTGTATGTATGTATGTATGTATGTATGTATGTATGTATGTATTATATATATATATATATATATATATATATATATATATATATATATATATATATATATATATATATTATATATATATATATATATATTATATATATATATATATATATATATATATATATATATATATATATATATATATATATATATATATATATATATTTATATATATATATATATATATATATATATAATATATATATATATATATATATATTATATATATATATATATATATATATATATATATAGTATATATATATATATATATATATATATATTTATATATATATATATATATATATATATAGTATATATACTGTATGTATATGGAGTGAAGCGTCTTTGACTGTCCATAAAAGACTATTTATTAAAAATAGGTCTCCCAGTTTTAATGATAATCCTAGAAAATATGTCGCACAAAATGTTTGCAAAACATGACAATCACGCTTGAATTCTTAAAATTAAAGATTATATTCATTTTTTTTTTGCCATTTCCACTAAAACCACATTGGAATACATTTGCTAAAGTCCTCAGAGTGCACCAAATAAGTGCGTACATAAAACAATGTTATAGGACAGATTTCAATTAGATTAATTCTAGTTCATGAACATTTCCTGAATTAGATGAATTAGATTAGATGTTTCTACTTAATTTCGTGAAATATTCAGTCAAAGCAGCTGGAACATCCTTTGCTTTTCACACTATCTGATGAGAACCACAACTGAAAGCAGGGATTAAAAGAGGATACAGTTCATGATAAAGCGTGTTTTTCTTTTTTGTCCTGCTTTGTCTCAGAAATCAGATGCAACAAATATATCAGATTTAAATTGAAAATTATATAAATGACAAAAATAGATAAAGCAATAGTAACAGTAAAAAACATTGGAACAATTATGTATAATATAGTGCTGTCCAAAATATCGCGTTTTTAGCGCGTTAACGCAAATCAATATTAACGGCGTCATTTTTTTTATCGCGCGATAAAAAAAAAAAAACACACATTGCAGACAAACACATATACAGAAAAAAAAATAGAAACAAAGAAAAGGACTAGTTCAGATACATTGTAGACAGAGATTACAAACAATATGTAGTTGGAGATACAGGGGGCCAAAGAAGAAACCCAGAAGGGCACATAGGAGGGGGGGGGCATGAAGTGGGAGATGGGGGGAGGGGTTAATAAAAAAGACAATACAAGCAAACAGTATACAGTCATAGATATACCGAAAGTAAACAGAGAAACAGCATAGAGTATTTACATGAAAAAATTTACAAAATATTAAAACAAGCAATTGCACACAGCACGCCTATTCACTTTTTAGTAGTATTAAAATGATAATTCAAGGGACATAAAGAATAGATACAAATGTGTGACTAATTTGCGATTAATCGCGAGTTAACTCTGAAATTCACGCGATTAATCGCGATTAAATATTTTAATCGTTGGACAGCACTAGTATAATAACATGCACACAAATTAACAAGGCATGAAAGTGAACTGAAAAAACCCACATTTATTATCATTTAGTCCCATTCAGTCAGCTCTGGTTCTGGAAATGAAATTCCCATTAATGTCATCATTGGAGTTTCAAAAAAGTATCATTATTAGCTACATTTTAAAGGTGTGGATAGCAGTTACCACTTTGCTATTTGATTAATATGTTTCAGGAAGATATTGTATTTATAAATATAGCTGATTACCCAAATCAAACTTTCAAAATGTCATTTTGACTCTGTCAGTCTCGACCCATTATTCCACACCACACTCTGATCTGTCTGCAGAGCCCAAGAGCCCCCCCACCAACGTGACTGTAACAGTCATCCCAGAGGAGGTGAACAGTGTCAAGGTGAGCTTCTCTTCTCCAGAGGAGCCCAATGGGAACATCACAGCCTACTACGTATACATCTACCAAGGGCCCAACATGGTGAAGAATATCAGCCTCATGGTGGAGCACAGCCAGCACAACCAGATGAGCGCAGTGATCGATGGTCTGAAGGGAGGTCACAACTACACTATACAGGTACAAGAGCAAAGACCCGAGGACTATTCATCTGAAAGAACTCTGTTTAATGCAAGGGTACCTCACTGTTATTTCATCCAATACGCATTTTCGACAGTGAGAGTCTTGTCAAAGTAAAATGCTGTGGACACAACCAGCTTCATTGTCTTTTGTAAACTTTTGCTATTTGACGCTTAAGGCTGACAGCTGATTGGCTGAGTAAGTAAGAAGTAGTAGTAGTAGTAAGTAATCTTTATTTATATACCGCCTTTTCACTGCACATCGGAGTCTCAAAGCGGTTTACAATTGTTATTTTTGGGGTGAGGGTGGCTCTTTCTTTGTCACTTTTCTGTCAGAAAAGCTGATCTAAAGATGTGAAAAGATGAAAAAACATGATAGTGAAAACTAGTGATATAACAAGCATTAGTGGTGGACTATCTTAATAGCTCCAGTTTCTGTGGTTTGAAAGTTCGGTGCCCCAGCTTCATGGGCTTGACACACAGGGGCGATACATGACACCGTTAAGAGACACTTTGTTGTAAAGTTGTTGTAATGCTTGAATTCACCTAAATGTAATTATTAGGGCTGTCAAAATTATCGCGTTAACGCACGTTAATTATTTTTTTCATTAATCGTGTTTAAAGAAATTGCATGGGCATGCGATTGACGCATGCCCATGCATCCCATAATAACACTCAGAATGCCACGGACACGTGTGTGTGAGATGGCAATAGAGCAGGTCTCTGGGAATCCACGTTTTAAAAGAATACACATGTGACCGCGGGGCACTTGTTGTTTCCTGTATGAATTCTGCGAGCTGAGCTGCAGCGCTCTGGACAGCAGTTCCCACCTCCAGCGGCTGTGATCACGGCTGCGAAATGCGTTACAATGCGTGAAAAAAACACCTTATTTTTGCGAATCAATTAATCTTAATTAATGCGTTTAAGTCCCAGCCCTAATATTTATGTAGGCTATAGATTGCATAGAATTAAGAAATTGAAGGAATGTTGGTAAAGCATTGGCTTTTTGGCCTGAAGGTCGTGGGTTCGAACTCCCCATGAGACCTACTCCAACTGCTCCCACTGAAGTCTGCAGTCGTTGTGTCCCTGGGCAAGCTACTTATCCCCACTTTACCACTGTTACATCAATGCTGTATCATCGCTGAAGGAGCAGCATCTTCCTGTGGACATTACAATGTTCATTGTTGGGCACATTACAGCAGAATAAAAGGAGGAGATAAGAGCACTCAGATTGGACACATCAAACCGAATCTATTAGATAATAAACAAAATTGGCACTTGTTTATTATGGCACTTGTTTCAAGGATAGTACACTGGGGGAGGTATCAGATGAATGGAATATGTAATAATGTAGGAAGAATAATAACAACAGGTAACGTGACAAGCAAACTCTCAGGACAGGTGAGTGGCACGTGTATGGACTCAGCAGTTCTCATTGTGCAGTCTGACAGCAGCAGGAAGGAAAGACCTAAGGAACCTCTCCTTCACACAGCGAGGGTGGAATAAGCAACCTGAGTGTACTTTTTTTCGTCCTTTTACTCAGCTGTAATGTGTGCAACGTTGACATTGAAATTTCCATATTGTGGGACGAATAAAGGATCATCTTATCTTATGTTCAGTAGGAGACCATTAGGGAACAAAATGGGGGTCATTTTAAAGGCGCTATACCCGTTTCTGCAATGTTTGAATGTTTAGCCCCGCCCCCAACTCGCTCACAGGCTTCTCATTTCCCCTACGCTCTCATAACATGGAGCCACCTAGTTTTATTTGCGATCTGATAGGTATGCTAACATTAGCGCAACTTGTAAGCTGTGCAACAATCACTGATGAAATGGTACTAAAGCAATGCACTGCTAACACAATATATAAGTAAAAGAATACCATTAGTTTCGCGTCCGGATGTATTAATTTAAACATTAGAATATATTCTAATATTTAATTAGAATGTATTATACAGCTCCTCACAGCAGCAGCACTCCATTGAATTGAATGCAATTCTTCCGATCATTTTTTCTTGATAACAGAACTCTCAAACCAATAATGACCGAAGCCCCAATGCAATCTCTGTTTGTAATTCAGGTGTGTAAAATACTGCCATTACTTTGCAAGTACAACAAGCTATCAGCGCCTGTCACTACACTGTGCAGTTTTTCTGCACACTTGTCTGTGTAGAGAAGCTAGCGGAGCTAGCCACGCTCAATAAACAAATACATATCAATCAATCAACACCATTAAACGTCAATCGGACAATACAGTACACATATACATCCTTAACACACATGCACGGACGATTTCAGAATTTGCTGTTAACGTTTTCATGACAAAAATACTGTTTTAAAGTGACAAAAAGCGATCGCGAAAAACCCGGAAGTTACCATGAAACAGCTAGCTAGCTTAGCTGTTACCTGCCTAGCACGTCCCGGTGAAACCTTTGGGAGCTAATTATTTTATTTGCAGTCATTAAATACATTTCTAATTATAAGGGTTGTCTAATATTTGTTCAAATATGTATATATTTTTTATTTTAGAATTATATTCGAATTTTGAAGTCGAAGCCCTGGTGTTAAAGTGGTTCTCACCCCCGCTCCTCGGAGCTTACGTCCCTCACATTTCCTGTTCAAATCATCCTCTAAATGGGCGTAGCCTGGAGGACTGAAGGGGGCGTGAACGAGACTGGGCCGTTTACATAGCTCTGGGCGGGGGGCTGCTGACGTCAGGTCTTGCTTCAGACGTCAGGTCTTGCTGCCGCGCCAGTGTTGGCGCCAGATTCAAAATTCAAATGTAGTAATACAGGTCGCCAGCAGATGGCGCCTCACAGACGGTTTTAGGCAGAAAGTTTAACTTTCAACTAATTTGCACCAAAGTGAAGATTATGACCAGGATATGTAGACAACACTATTGGACACTCATTTATACCGTTTATCAGCAAAAAAAAAGTGGATTTGAGGGTGAGTTGTCCTTTAAGCAGCGCTGTAGAGGCTAGAGGACGCAGGCTGTTCGCTTCTTGTTCTGTGAGTGGAGGAGAACGAGCGTCCCGCTCAGACTCTACTCAGCACTTTTCACTGCCTGAATTTCATACACAGTGGAATCAATGACCTCAAGTGTTCAATTAAATTATGTATTATGATACAACTTGTATGTAGTAAAAAGCATTTTTATGAACTACTTAGAAAAAAAATCAGGTATAGCTTCTTTAAATCCTCACGACATAGAAGCTCAATATTAAAATTTGCAGTAGTAGAAGTAGATATGCAATCCACCTGAATGATTGAAAGGATTGCACACAAAATAATTAACAAAATCAAACAAAAAGTCAATTAATCAAACAGATGAGGAGCTTGTTATTGTTTGACTTGTGCAGTGCGTGTGATTTTACATAAATCATTGTTCTACTGTCATAATGCAGAGATTTCAAACCTTTTTTAGTGCCCCCAGGATTTATTTTCAGTTATCGTTTTCACCAAGTATCTTGAACCCTTGACGACCATATAATTTAATATGTTCTAACATTTGAACTAAAATGTAATTAGAAGTCAAGTTAGGCCATTTTTTCCCCCTTTACATTCAACTGTTAGATTTCAAGAACATTATGATTTTTGGCCCAGTTCTGGTTGAATCAAGAAAATAATATTCAAACTCATTTCTCGTTACAGTTTATTTGTAAAAAGTCAGAAATATGTAAAAACAACTTTTTTACTTCTGGCCCCAACCAGCTCTCATCTTTTGAGAATTCTTCTCTTGACTAAAATGAGTTTGACATCTCTGTCATTATGTCGAATGTCAATATCATAGTTCATTCAGATGAAAATTGTTGCCCAAAATATTCAAATGATTTTTCTCCAACAAAAGTGACATTCCATGATGGCTTGTGCACAAATGACATGTCATGGAGAGCCTCAAGGCATGTGTGATGTTATGTGAGGGAGAATAAGTTTTACACTGTGAAGCTTCAGCAAAATCTGATCACAACATGGTGACATTTACGTGCTTATATAAAGGCGCTTTGGTAAATGTCAAAAACACCTGTGACAGTTGTAGGGGGCACTGACAAATCCCAATCCCCACCCACTGTCTGTCTGTCTGATTGCAGATCTCAGCCAGGAACGGAGCAGGGAGGAGCCCCCCCAGCCCCAGTGTCCAGATCACCACAGCCATCAAAGGTACATTTACATCAAATCATTCTTAATTATACTCTTGTTTTCTTCATATTTAGTTTGTTTAACAGAAAGAGTCTTGTGAAAGTAACTTGTGAACAAATCAGTGACGACATGCTGTTTTCATCTCATTAGAAAAGTAAGAGTAGTAAGAGCCTTATGAGCGACTATTTGATACTTTGGACCAGAGGCCAAATAAAACATGCATGTGAAAGCAGTTTTGAGAGCCAGGAAGTCGTTAGATGATTGATTCCATAGTTTAACCTTTAATAGAATTATACCAACTCTTAATTTCATGAATTTGGCTCCATAAGTGAGGGATCCATATCTTTGGTCTTATTCTTATTTTCTCAAATGTTCGATGATGAATAAGCCCACATTTAAATGTTAAGGGGATTGTTTTTCCTCTTCTGCATTATTAGTCTTTGGACAAAAGTGTGGTGAAAGTACTGCACTTTTGAATTTGCAGAATGCTGAATACCTACATTAAAATGTATGTTGTGACACATTTGTTACATGGTCCAATCAGTCTGGCAGGGCATCATCTGAGGATCCATTTCCATTATGCATTTCCTGTGTTATAATTGTTTGATTCTCTAATCTGTTGTTGGAAAATTTACTATTTTGAAGTCCCTTGAGACAACTGTTGAAGTGAAGGCTTTATGGCCACTTATGTAACACTCAAAACTTTTCTTGTTTAAATCATTGCAAAACTTAAACAAAATAATACACATTAAAAAAGTCAATATAGAACTTGTGCCTCACAGCAAGAAGGTCCTGGGTTCGATTCCACCTCCAGGCCTTTCTGTGTGGAGATTGCATGTTCTCCCCGTTTCCGCTTAGGTTTCCCCTGCCACTAAATCATGTTCAATAGGTTTGTTTGTGTTGAGTGAGCAACAAATGCCCAAAAAAACAACAATTGTAAAGAGCTTGACGTGACACATGCACCACCTCTTGTTTGTATGCGGCTGACGACAATACCTCTCTGCTCTGTTCTGTGTGGTCATCACAGCCCCGGCTAAGCCCGACCAGATACCCCAGGCGATGCTAGGCCACCGAGGGGTTGCCATGGTAACCCAGAGGAGTATCGCCATCCACATGCCTGCCTGTTTCTATAGTGACGACAACGGACCAATCACAAAAATCCAGGTCATCGTGGCCGAGTCAGGGGGTATGACTCCTTTGGAATATGTTTTTACAATGGTACAATATTAATCACCAGATCTATATTGTAGTACAAATTAACTACTAATCTATATTGTTTATATGAGCTATTTATAACATAATACTAAGAGTGACATCATAGTGACATTTACAGATTCACAAAGAATGACATTCAAAAGCAAAAAATGCAAGATCGCTGTGTTTTATTCAATCATGTAACATGCAACTTTTGATAAATGACATAAGCTTTAGAGCTGTTGTGAAATAGGCATTTCAAAATACAGGCATAGTTGAAGGTGTAGTAGTCAAAACTTGTAAAATGAATCACATGTATATGGCCAGCCTAACCATGTCCATTTTTTACAAACAAACAGCTTCAGCTGCATCTTTGATATTACTGCATCACATTTCCACAGTGAAAGATGCTGAGAACGTGACGAACTGGAGATCTGCGTTCTCCCGCTCCCCGGCCCCTTACATCACAGACCAGGGTTTCCCCAACCCTCCCTGTGATACCCCAAGCGGAAACACAGACAGGAGGATACAGCCCCTCCTGTGGGGGGACAAGCCCCCACTGCTGCTGAGCAACCTCACAGGAATTTATGTGATCGGCCTCAGGGACGACTGCTTCAACGAGTCGGACACATACTGCAATGGGCCCCTGAAGCCCAACACACTCTATGTGTGAGTATGTTGGCGACCGCCATGCTCACCACACTAGATGTTACAGTCATATTTAGCAATGCTGGTTAATCAACACACAGGTCTATTTCTTAACAGATGTTGCACTAGTATAGTTACTAGTATAAATATCAACTCTGCTAAAAGTGAAAGTATTGAAACCATTGACAAACAATATATTCGTGATATTTTTAGGCATAGTATTGTCTGAAAACCATTCAAAATAAAACTGCTTTTAAAACAAATGACCAAAATAACTAACTAGACTCTGTATAACATTTTGACATCAACAATTCCACTCCCACTGTCCCGTTTTCATTTCAAACCAGTTGTTTTTGTTGTGGTTTTTTGCTGCATAAATTCTACCCACTTATTGCCAGTGTTACCTCAATATCTGAAGTAACTGTTGTTTTTCCTCGGGTAAACAGGTTCAAATTCCGTGCCACAAACAGCAAAGGAGACCACACCGACTCGGATTACTCTGAGCCAATCAAAACAAACGGTACACCTTCTTTTCCAGCGCCACATTCACTCCTTCAGGCACCAGATCCAATGTGATTTCTCTTACAGCCAATGGGCTTCTCACCAGAGACGAGCAGATCATCCTGGGAGTGCTGTTGTCGTTTTTCCTGGCAGTGTTGCTGATAATCATCATCTGCTGCTCCGTCAAGTAAGATGGAACCAAGACTGAGCTGGTTCATTATCAGGAATCAGAGGCTGCACATATCAATTATGCTGAGCACCTGGGCCGATGTGGCACCTCTCCAATCAGGCTCATGTCATTATAGCGGCTTGTGGAATAGTGGCACCTGTTTTTAATGTATTCTTTAGCATCAGAGCCGCATGCACATATAGTGGAGTACATACTCAGGGCGGTTACATGGGAGGAGACAGAATGGGATTGTGGATCTGGTTCAATTTAAAGCTGGGGTACCTGAATCTCTGTTTTTCCTAACTGAAATTATAAATGAGAAAATGTGAACAAATCAGACCACAACATTCTGTATTTTGAGGGGATCTTTTGAGTGGTAGGGGAAACCAAAGCACTCATATGAAATCTATTCAGACAGGAGGAGAACATGCAAATTCCAGGGTCTCTGCTGGCTCTGTGGTGGGAATGACGCCAGGACCTTCTTGCTGTGAAGTACAAGCACTGATTACAGTGTTTTTAGAAAACATGTTATCTTTTGAATACTTGTATGAAAGAGCTCTGCGTCTATTAGACTTCTGGTTGAGTGTGGTCCTCACTTTTTCACTTTTCAGTCTGTAGAGAAAACTAGTGATTGAACCAAACTGTTTTATTGCCAGGATTTTTTTAATGGATTGTATTGTATCATTTTTGGTGGTTTAAAAGTTAGGTACCCTAGCTTTAAATCCATTATACCAAACATACAGTACGTATACCTCATGTACTGTAATCACATGATTGAGAAAAGATGCATTTACTCAGGCATTCAATATCTATCTATTTGGACTCATTCTGATAATTATGATTGATTGTGTTAAATGAAGAACTGAAGTATGATTGCGAATGAGCAGAGTTGTGCTGCTAACTTTACTGTTTTCACACAGAATCCACCAGCACAAGAAAGAAGGAGGCACGTATTCCCCCCGAGAGGCCGAGATCATCGAGACCAAGTGCAAGCTGGACCAGCTGATTGCCATCGCAGACATGGAGCTCAAGCAGGAGAAAATCAATGGGTCAGTGTGTCCACTGTGTCCCTCTATGTCCTCGCCCACACGTCTATCCCAAACACAACTTACATCTGAACAGAAATTTGTCCACTTAAATCAGGGGTGTCAAACTAATTTTGGTCCGGGGGGCACATACAACCTAATTGGATCTCAAATGGGCCGGACAAGGAGATGCTCTACAAAAATATCCAAAAACGGTACAAAGTTCAACTTTTTGTGCACATAAACACATTTATTTAAAACTTCCTTTAAAACACTGTCCTTTAATACTCAGTTTTCTGTTACAAACTTAAATGTAACAGTGTGTTTTTCATAGTGCAAATAATGTAATGTATTTACAATATCACATTGAAAATGGTATTTCACAATATGTATATTAATATTTGTATGTTAGCTTTGTTTTAAGGCTCATTACAGAGAAAACTTGCTCACAAAGGTAAAGTAGGTAGACAGAAAAAAGCACTTTAACACAGCACCTCAGCTTAACCATCTTCAGTCTGGTAAGGTCCATGGTTATGTTATTATCACATTAACCATCTTCAGTGTGGTAAGGTCCATGGTTATGTTATTATCACATTAACCATCTTCAGTGTGGTCAGGTCCATGGTTATGTTATTATCACATTAACCAACTTCAGTGTGGTCAGGTCCATGATTATGTTATTATCACATTAACCATCTTCAGTGTGGTCAGGTCCATGGTTATGTTATTATCACATTAACCAACTTCAGTGTGGTCAGGTCCATGATTATGTTATTATCACATTAACCATCTTCAGTGTGGTCAGGTCCATGGTTATGTTATTATCACATTAACCATCTTCAGTGTGGTCAGGTCCATGGTTATGTTATTATCAGAGAGAAAGCATCAAACTGACCATGATTCAGTTGAAATGAACAAAACAACTTCCATAACGTGATCTATTCTTAACGACTGCAGCAGTGTCTCTGTGTAAAATACAGTCAAATGTCCAAAAATCATCACCTCCATTTGCAGCTTTGTCACTACAGCTGCTTTTACCTTCGGTACCAGGCTGAGAGCGCAGGACCAGTCCACACTGTCCACCACACCAGCAACAACAGCACCAGCAGCAGCAGCACCAGCAGCAGAGCTCAAAACTCCTCTGTGATAGTTTCAGTAACACCACAAATGAATATGTGACATCAGTCTCTTTTCAATGGCAACATGTTGGTGACAGCGAGTGGTTTCTCACATGATTTGAACTAAAATCCTGAGATGGACCATTGAGAAGTGAGTTTGAAAAAAGACTGAAGAAAAAGTGCTGCTCTTACTCAGCAGATGTGGCTATTTCAAAGGCCAGGCCCTGCCGAGCTCAGTCCCCTCTTCTTTTGAAGTCAGACTAAGGTACATGCAGGAGGAGCCGAGAGCCAAACCATTTGGAGACTTCAAACCAAAACCACGATATCAAACCACAACCACGACTTCAAACATTTTATCTGCGATTCTCTGGACAAGTGGAAGCCAGTTACTCTGAACTCGATTGTGATATAGATGCTTTGTATTTTGTCAGGGGACAAACAAAATGTTAAAAACAGCTTAGATTCAAACGTCAAGAGTCCATATTAGGGATGGGACAGGATCCTGCACACATGAGATTGGTCTTGGACAAAAGAAATTAAAACGCAGGTGAGTTGAACATTACGAGAAGCCGTAGCTCCAAAAAGCAAAGCTAATAATCATAATAGATTATAAAGTGTGAGATCAAATTTGTGATAAACATTGCTTCATTCACAATTATCTGAATAAGAACAAAAACGACGTTAAATTAGGTCGGTGTCACACACAATTAGAGGTTGACCGATTATTGGTATAGATATTTTCCATTTTTGATATAATGGTATTGAACTTGGTATGGGAGTTTTTCTTTGTCTAGTCCAGCCCACTGGAGGAAACAACAACAATACAACTCAACTAAACATAAGCATTGATTACATAGATAGATAGATAGATAGTGAGATAGATAGATCAGAAAACCCTCCATCCATCCATCCATTTTCTTCCGCTTTATCCGTTGCCGGGTCGCGGGGGCAGCAGTCTAAGCAGAGACACCCAGACTTCCCTATCCACACACACTTCCTCCAGCTCGTCCGGGGGGACCCCAAGGCGTTCCCAGGCAGCTTAGAGACATAATCCCTCCAGCTTGTCCTGGGTCTTCTCTGGGGGCTCCTCCCGGTGGGACGTGCCCGGAACACCTCCCCAGGGAGGCGTCCAGGAGGCATCCGAAACAGATGCCTGAGCCACCTCAACTGATTACTCTCGACGTGAAGGAGCAGAGGCTCTACTCCGAGCTCCTCCCGTGTGACTGAGCTCCTCACCCTATCTCTAAGGGAGTGCCCAGCCACTCTGCGGAAGAAGCTCATTTCGACCGCCTTGTATCTGCGATCTTGTCCTTTCGGTCACTACCCAAAGCTCCTGACCATAGGTGAGGGAGGGAACGAAGATTGACCGGTAAATCGAGAGCTTTGCCTTTCGGCTCAGCTCCCCTTATACCACAACGGTCCGATACAGCGATCACTGCGCACGCTGCACCGATCTGCTTGTCAATCACTCACTCCATCCTTCCCTCATTCGTGAACAAGACCCAGAGATACTTGAACTCCTCCACCTGAGGAAGGACCACTCCACGCACCTGGAGAGGGCAACACACCATGGCCTCGGATTTGGAGGTGCTAATTCTCATCCCAGCTGCTTCACACTCTGCTGCAAACCGTCCCAGTGCATGTTACACGTCCTGGTTCGTTGGAGCCAAAAGGACAACATCGTCCGCAAACAGCAAAGATGGAATCCTGGACTACAAAACGGACCCCCTCCGGCCCCTGGCTGCACCTAGAAAATCTGTCCATAAAGACAGTGAACAGAACCGGTGACAAAGGGCAGCCTTGGCGGAGGCCAACATGCCCCGGGAACTGGTCTGACTTACTGCCGGCGATGCAAACGCAGGACAGCCCTCAGCAGAGGACCCCGGACCCCGTTCTCCCGGAGAACCCCCAAAAGGAAACACCTTCTCCAAATCCACAAAGCACATGTGGACAGGACACATGAACCCTCGAGTAGCAGCAGAAAACACATCCATATAAACGTATGAGTAAATCAATTATAAACATTTCTAACTAACTACCAAACAATAGTGCATATTTTTTAAACTCTGACAGCCGGAGGAACAAAGGATCTCTTAAAATGTTCGGTTTGTTGCTTCGATTACTCCTCTGAGCGGCCATAGTGTCATGCTGAGGGTGTCTGGAGTTACCCAGGATGCCCTGCTGTACAGCTCCCACAGGGTCCACACTTCTCCCCATCACAGAGACTCATTTCCTGATCAGCCTGTTGAGTCGGTTACTGTCTCTCGAGGTCAGACTTCCCCCAACACGCGACCCTAAAGAACACTGCACTAGCTACCTCAGATTGGTAAAACTACTCACATCCAAGTACCTCAGTGTTCTCAGGAAGAAGAGTCTGCTCTGACCTTTCTTAAAGACAGCATTGGCCTGTCCAGTCTGGGATCCTGTCCATTTAGTGTGACCAGTCGATGGGAAAAGTCTGAGGAGGCAGTCACCACCTCTCTGTACAACACTTAAGTTGGAACTTGCTGTATCTGTGCCAGAACGGTCTTATTAGGTTATTTTAGCCTGGTTTGTTTTGGTCATAATTCACTTGCATGACAGGACACTTGGATAAAGTCACATTAGATATGAGTCAGCCTCTTTTACCTGGAGATCTCTCCAATTCTGTTGTCTGCACAAGGGGAGCTATATTTTATTGCTATACCCGTTTTTTTCAGTTTGAATGTTTAGCACCGCCCCCAAACTCGCTCACAGGCTTCTCATTTCCCCTACGCTCTCATTCCACGGAGCCAACTTGTTTTATTTGCGATTTGATACATATGCTAACATTAGCATCAGCGCAACTTCTTGTAAGATGTACAGCAATCACTGTGGAAATGGTAAAAAAGCAACGCACTGCTAACAAAATATATAACTGAAAGATTACTGCTAGTTTCACGTCCACATGTAGTCCGAGCATAGATAGTCCAAGGCGGTCCCGCTCCCGCAGGTGTCTCCAGAGGATACGACGTAAGCTAGCTATGTTCACTCAGGGTACATTTCTTCTTTGATCATTTTTTTGCTTTAGTTCCCTCTTCTCTTCCTCAGTGTCGTTTGGGCTGTTTTGCTATGTCTGCAGTTACAGCAAGAGGAGTTATAGCCAATTCTGCTAACATGCTACTGTGTTTACCTAGACGCTAGAGGAGGCAGCCAGTTTGTAACAGCACCGCTCCTTGTTCTGTGAGTGGAGGAGCACTTTTTACGGCCGGAATTCCTTAAGTAATAGGCATTTTTATGAACTCATTAAACTAAACTAAATCGGGTATAGCTTCTTTAAACATTTGCTTCAGACATTCAAACATTTAAAAGTTAGGTGTTGGAGTGTGTTTTATTCAAAACAAAAAATAAAAATCACTTTTACTGCAAATATATCATTATCGGCCTCTTTGACTACTAATTATCGGTATTGGCCCAGGAAAAAACATGATCTTGTTTTTTTCTCTATTCGCCTTTTCTTCATCTCGGTCCACGCATCACATCTACTGTAGATGCAGTTTCCTCGATAGCTTTATCTGAATTCTGTATTGGACCACTTCATTCACCTGATGTTAAAATGATCCAATGAATGGATAAAAAAAATAACCGTATGTCTGCTCCAGAGTTTTTATTTTACCGTCTCCGGATTTTCTTCTTCTGGGTGGATCATCTATTGGTCCTTAATTGTCAATAATTCTGGTGAAATGAGAGACATGTTTTAATAGGCGTTCCCTCTGAGTAATGCGGCACTTTCCTAAAATTCAGGAAAATCCTTCTTTATACCTTTGGGTAATAGATCCTGTTTGACGTGTACAATCTGAGAGCTCTTATTTCCTCCTATTCTATTCTGCTATAATGTGCACAATGATGACATAATATTTCCCCACTGTGGGACGAGTCTTATCTTATCTTATGTACTGTAGTTGATGTTTATCCACAGAACTGGGCAATCACCACTTGACTCTCATGCTTTATTTACCAGTCGTGCTTTTGGAGGAGACTTGAAATGTAAGGAGACAAAAAGGTCTCTGCTGCAGCATCTCGGCACGTGCTCCTGTCAGAAGCAGACTGTAGAGCGCAGTGTGCCGCACTGAAGCTAAAACAGAAGGAAAATTGTCTGCTTCGCGCTAACCAGATCTGGCAACCTCTCAGCATCTGCCTTTTTATCCTCTGCGTGCCCCCAAGTGCAAAATAAGAGCAGTCGTGAGGTGTCTGCAAAGAGCAACTATTACATCAAACTTCTGCAGTGCTTACAGGAATACAAATGTGATAGGACCTCCCCACTTGTACGTTTCAAAAAGAGAAATACAGGGAGTCAAGCATGCATTATACAAACTGAGAGGGTGTAAATGACAAAATTGTTCAGGTAGTTGCAGTAGTAGTAGTTTATTTGAGCAGTTTACAATGTATTTTTAGGTACATATAATTTCAAGAACAAAGCTCAAAAGGAGAAGGCCGACACAAGGAGCTTTTTTGTGCCTTCCCCATTTTCAAAACTGCAAACAGATTAAGATTTTTACATGACATTTCACCGTCATCATGATCTTGTTGATGTGAGCAAAACTAACAGCTATAGTTATCAATTTATGTTCCGTATTTCAATATTAAATGTATAGGGTTATTACTCCCTTCTTATCATCCCACTGCATGTTTGTTTTTTATTCTTTTTTGGTCTTTTTTCTTTCTATGATATGTGATGCATCGAGAGTTGGAGTCAGCCCCCTCTCACTTGAATGTTGTGTGTGTTTGTGTGTGTTTTTTGACTGATAGCTGTTTGCATACCAAATCTAATCTTCTCTCAATCATTCAATACAACCCACATAACAAAACAACACAATACAATACAATAGTAATATCCTATATTCAGGTCACATACACAGGTCCAAATATCATCTCTCATCTTCACTACTTCTATTTTATACAGTTTTTTCCTTTTTTTTATGCGAGCAGTTTTGAACATGTTTTGAAATTATTTGTTAATTACTTCCAAAGAGAAACTCCCAATACATTTTAGGCAAATCCATTTTTGTCTTCTTTTCTGTAATTCTATCATTAAATAAGTTTTGTACATTAGGTGGCACAGTGGGTAATTATGCTAGTATTTATTTTGGAGGTGGTTTTTTGGAGTAACTTGATTCCATAGACATACTTATAATACTCAAAGTCCAGCACAAGTTTTAAAGTAAAAATGCACAAATATCAATGGATTTATTACTCACAATACTAGTAATGCAAGTACCAAAGTATATAAATTTCATACTAGAATTAATAAGGAGGTTTTACATTAAAAGATTTAACAAAAAAAATCTGGGATACCTAACATTATTGTTTAATAAATATTGCATGTTTGCTCCCTTAGAAAGAGAACAACTCAGCCCATGGAATGCTGTTTTCATCTTATTAGAAATCTCGTATGAAAGAGCCTTGAAATAAAAATGTGAAGTCAAAATACGGGACACAGAATTTAAAACACTTGTGAAAGGCTTTATTTTACATGATTTCATAATTATTCAAAACAAATATAATGAGGGATAAAAAGTATATGTATGTTAAATGAATCATGTTAATTAAACTGGGTGAGACCGCAACTCTTTCCTCTGTTAATGTATTCACAGAGCAAAGGGCGCAACAGAGACAGAGGCTAAAAATACATGATGTAAAAACCAGTGAACAAACCCCAGCTAGAACAGCTACTTAGACCCTCAAAAAATAAAGTGATGACTGCCATTTGCATTGAAAGTGCTCATTTTATTCATTGCATAAGTCTCTGCTCAGATGCCTTACTACTTTAGTCCAAGCTTCAGTAAATGTAGCTGTCTGGAGGCTTTCATTGTCTTTATTAAACATCAAATATTCAGCGTACAACGACAACAACACTCAGGGCCAGCGGCTAAGTTTAGCGAGCGCCTGTTTAAAGAGCTATAACTGTATGCGGCACCAGGCTCCTTGTCACATCTCAGCTCTAAAATGACAAATATGCAACACACGTGCTGCTCTGCTCCAGCTTAGGCCCACATAAGCAGTCTTTGGTCTACTGCAGTGTTTTTCAACCAGTGGGCTGTGGCACGTTTGTTCGTCTTGAGATACTGTTTGGTGTGTCTTAGGAAATATCACCTAATTGGTCAAAATAATGTGAAAAAATTATAATATGAGAAGATAAGAACTCCAAGCCTCAGTGACCCAAGATGTCTGCCGATCCAAATCAATGGCCTGTGCTCATTGCTGCATGGTCAGGCAAATACGTGAGTTCTGACCAATCAGGGCGAACTGTAGAGGGCAGCACTGCGGTGCGCTGGTACAGGACCCAAGTTTTTAAAAGAGACGACGGCCAACTTGCATGCGTTCAATTTGGAACGAGCCAAGTTTGAGGCACAAACAAGTGCATTTATAGATAATCAATGGATTTCACCCCCACTAAACCTGACCTTTGAGAAAGCTGTAGGTTCTCTGTCAGCTGAGGACAAACCGTATTTGTTAACATTGAGATCTATGGAGAAAGTTCCTAGGTAGCCAATGCAGTCCACCTTTCCGGGGCGGGCATAAGATAGCAATACCCTATCCAGAAAGTATAGTACATCCATGGTCACACCTAACATGTCCTTCTGCTGCTTTTGCTTTATCACAATCATAATCTTCTCCCCTCAGGTATTCCTCATTCTTTTCTAGACGGAAAGAGATATATGTCATTCAGTAAGTGCAGTAGTGCTTGGGTTTGTGTGTGTTGTTGTGTTTGCTTTGTAACTTTAACCATTTCAGTTCCAATGTCTCGCTGTTGGGACTGTTGAATGTGAATGTATTTTTTATTTTCACTTCACATTCATTCACAGTTTACAAATGTTTTTATTTATGTTTAAAAAAAAAAGTAAAAACTGAATAAATTAATGTATTTATTATTTTTTATCACTATTTCAAAGCCTAGAAATGAATCCATCCACCTATTTTCAATTTTGAATATCTTAAACAAAATTCACACATTTACATATTTATTGATAATCTAAGTACATTGATAAAAGTTTGTGTAAAATTATTGGAATTATTCATGCAAGATCCAACACTTGCCCCTGTAATACCTGCCCCTTCCCTTTCAGAAGCAGTTGTTTACTTTTGATTAAGACTGATGTAAAATTTTGATATGTACGATTTTTAAATGTAATATTTTGATACATACAATTTTGATAAAACATTCCACGATATAATCAGTTACAATAAAATATAATATGTATTCTTTGGCATATTCCCGCCCACAGCACAACACAGCTTTTGACCAAGAACTTTATATATAACAGCTCAAAAGGCCACACTCTGCTTCCCATCCGATATTATTATAGATCCATGTTCCCATCCTCCCTGCTCTGAAGTTGAGTTGCGCTGGAGTTATATTTGTTTGCTCCCCTCCTGTCCCCTGTTCACTTTGACTTTGTTTACCTTCTCTCCCGTTTCCAAATTGCTTTGCCGGCCCTGTGGTGTTAGAGGCCACAAGGAGCGCCTTTATCGGGCACTGCGGATCTTTGCCACCTGCAAGCAAATGCCAAAGCCTCTTTCAGATCCTCTCTCATTCCCTCAGAATTCCACATCAGTCGCTTTAATCAAAAGAAGCCGGTTCAAAAGGCTCTGATCTCTCCTCTGTCTGGCTCTTATCGGATTATCTTATAGAATCGTCATGCTGTGATCTTTTCTCGCTGATTTTTCTTGTTACCTGTTTCTGTCCAGGCTACTCAGCTACAGGAAATCACTCAAGTAAGATCGGCCACTTAAAAAACGCACTCAGAGCATGTTGTTGAAATGACCCAGAGAGTAAACGTACGTGTCGTGTTTGCCTTCGCTCCAGGCCCGTCAATAAGAAGTCCTTCCTGCAGCATGTGGAAGATCTGTGTAGCAACGACAATGCCAAGTTCCAGGAGGAGTTTGCGGTAAGCACAAGCATTCATTTGCTGTTGAACTGTTTTTGTAGATGAAGGTGTTTTTGTGTGGGCTTCTCTCAGGCACTGCCAAAGCTGCTGCAGGACCTGGCCACCACAGATGCAGACATGCCCTGCAACAGGACCAAGAATCGCTTCCCCAACATCAAACCCTGTGAGTAGAAATACACAGGTGAAATCTGTCTAAATGCTCATATCTCAAACTGATGATGATGATGCACTGTTTAAAGTGATGAAAATAGTGATAACATTTATTTGAGCACATTTCGACTGCTTTTGAACAAGATTTGCCAATGGGACGTGCACTATTATCTTGTTTTGAAAAGATGATTAAAAAGAAATGTCTCCCTTTGAATAAGAAAACAAAGTAGCAGTTCTTAAATCAAGGCTAAAATTGCTTGTTCCAATGGCAAATCTTGGTTTTAGACAGTCAGAAAGAACTCAAATTGAGATTTTTAAAAAAAAACACTCGATTCCACCAATTATACCTGATATTCTAACATTTTTGCATAGTAGGATGTCTATTTATATATATTTTTTCCCCGACTAGTTTAATTAAAGTCAGAAAAAAAGATAAATAAAAAATACATCAAACTTATATAGCGCTTTTTTGGACACATTAAGATTGAAGAACAAAATTAGGGAAAGGCAAGATGGGTTTTGAGAATTGATTTAAAGTTTTGTTGAGTTGGGAGTATATTTAGTCCTGAGGGGAGTGAGGAGGTTGGAGTCTGCGGATCTGCGGCAGGTGGGACAGCGATGATGGAGGAGGTGAGGACCGTATTGGATGCAGTGTGGAATGTTTGAGGACGGGGGTGATGTGGTTTCTGGAGCAGTTCTGGATGTATTGTGGTTTTGGAGATGTGTGGAAGGGAGACAGTGGAGGAGAATGTCACAATATTCGAGTCGGGAAAGTGATGAAGGTTTGAATGAGTATTTCAGCAGTGGATTGTGAGAGGGAGGGTAGAGGGCGGGTGATATTGCATAAATGGAGAAACTTTATTGTGGAGATAAAGCTAATGTGGGGCTTAAATGAAAGGGTGGAGTCCATGATAACGCTGAGGTTGCGCACACGGTGAGAGGGAGGGACTGGGTCAATGTTGACTTGGGTCCATTGATGAGAAGTTCTGTTTTATTGCTATTAAGTTTTAGATAATCCAGAATTTAATGTTGGTGATGCAGTGTGTGATGGTGGAGAGGAAGACTGCGGATCAGACATGAGTTACTGTGTTCCTTCTAGTACATATCCTTGTTAGAGAACTGAGTACCACTAATACATACACAAATTGGCCCTACATATACATAAATACAGCCTATATGTATATATATACACATATACATACACATACACACATACAGTATATATACATGTATATATACATACACACATATATATATATATATATATATATATATATATATATATATATATATATATATATATATATATATATAAACAAAATACAGCACTGCTTATGAGCCATCGGATCCTGAGTCTAGTCAAACTTGTTTTGGTGGGGGAAACATTTAAAAAAAAATAAGAAATGGCTGAGAAGTGGTTTTCTTAGTGGACAGTGTGTTTATACTACAAAGGTATTTAACAAAAGGATTACTTTTTGATTGATTTTAAGTTTGAACATTATTTTCTGCCAGATCAACTGAATAATGAGTGTCCACGTTGAACTGAACCGAAGGTAACAAAGGTTTGTAATTGACAAGCCTTTGTTACCTTATTTATTATTTTTTTGTTGGGCAAACTGTTTGAACATTTTGTTCTTTTTGCACCTATTACATCTTAAACAACACTTTTTGTTCCATTAGACTTGTAATTGACACGTGATAAAGCATCAAAATGAAAACCATAGCTGTAGAAATGCGTCTCTTTCAGTGGCTCCATCCTCAGCATTCTAAAGTGTTTCCTTATTTGATTCGAGCGCCTACGCAGTGTCAGTAAAGCACACGCTAAGCATCACATAAAGCTCTGGTGATATAGCGCCACATTTTCTACCGTTCTGTGCCTAGATAATAACAACCGAGTGAAACTGCTCTCCCAGCCGGGCTCTGACGGTTCCGACTACATCAACGCCAGCTTCATCTCTGTGAGCGCCGCCGCATCCGAACGATTTAATCAATACTTCAATACTTTGGCCATGTCTTACCCAACTCTTCTGCTTTTCAGGGATATCTGTGTCCCAACGAGTTTATTGCCACCCAAGGACCCCTCCCCGGTACGGTGGCGGCCTTCTGGAGGATGATCTGGGAGACGGGCACCCGCACCATCGTCATGCTCACTCAGTGCTTCGAAAAAGGCCGTGTGCGTACAAACCGTGACGCACTCATAAATCATGTGCTAATATGTAACGCTGAGTAGACAGGCGCCAGTGTGCTGCGGGCTCATTAGGACGTCCTGGCAGCTTCTTCTCATCAGCTGTCTGACGCCTCTGTGTGTGTGTGTGTGTGTGTGTGTTTGTGTGTGCATTTTAGATCCGTTGTCACAAGTACTGGCCAGAGGACGATAAGCCCATGTCGGTGTTCAGTGACATTCTGGTGTCGAAAGTGTCTGAGGAGGTCTTCCCCGACTGGACGGTCAGGACGCTGAGAGTGGAGCGGGTGAGTAAAGCGCTGCAGGCACTCACAGACAGAAAAGAAAAGGAAAATGTGTACACTTTCATGACTGGCTCAGTACTCATGCTAACAAAGGACAACATTTCACTTATGCGGGCTTGCGCAAGACCATTAGGCTTCTACTGAAGAATATTAACATAATATTCTGAATGAGAGGAGAGGGAACATTTTCTATAATGTTATAATAAAGATGCAACTCAGCGCCCTTTATAAAGTCACTTTACTTCACTGTACTGCTGTCACCTTACATTGTGTGCACCATGTGCACTTGTATATTGTAAATAGTAACTGTAACTCTATTTTAAATTTACATTTATTCCGTGTTTTTTATTCTTTATTTTTATTATCTCTTTCTGGCTGTTGCACTGAGCCAAAGCAATTTCCGAGTCTGTGACTTACTGTTACTTACGTGGCAATAAATATTATTCTGATTCTGATTCTGATTACTGAATCTATAAAGGCTATTTTGTCCTAAATCCTTTTTTTATTTTTTATTTAGACTATAGATTTCAGTAGTCCTCCATCGCTTTTAAAGCTTCAGGGCTCCAGCTTTTGTCTGTTTCACATCAAATATCTGTTGTTGTTTTTTGCAGTTACTGTCATTTGTAATTGTAAGTAAGTTATGTGTTGTTTTTAACCATGTCTGTACAGTGTCCTTGGGTGTTTTAAAAGGCGCTTTTAAATGAAATGTATTATTATTATTATTATAGAGCATACAGTCGTGTGACTATGTGACTCCTGTCTCCTGCAGCATGGACACTACATCCTTGTGCGTCACTTTAACTACACATCATGGCCAGAGCATGGTGTACCCGAGTCCTGCTCCACACTCCTCAAGTTTGTGCGGGCTGTGCGCACCCACAGGCTGGAGACCAGTACCATAGTGGTGCACTGCAGGTGAGCCCCCAGCAGCTGCTCTGGACGCACAACACTTCACACATATGTTGATCACTCTTGGCTTGAGTGCAGTGCGGGCGTGGGCCGGACAGGCGTCTTCCTCTCTCTGGACCACCTCATTCAGCATGTCCGGGACCATGACTTTGTGGACATCTATGGCCTGGTGGCTGAGCTGCGCAGTGAGAGGATGTGCATGGTTCAGAACCTGGTGAGTGAAGCCACCTATGAACAGTGATCGTGAGCTAAACTATGGCACATTTCAAAAGGTTGTGTTCACATTTTCACAACGTTCCAAAGTGCCTATGGTACCTATGGTACTTTGGAACCCACTGGTTATATTGAATGTGTACGTGGGTTAGGATTTTGGGGCTTTTTCTATGGGTTTGGGATCTGGAGACTGGCCAGCCAGCTCCAGGATCTTGAAATGCATTATACAAGGCCACTCTTTCGTTGCCCGGGCGATGTGTGTTTGGGATCCTTGTCATACTGAAAGACCCAGTCACATTTCATCTTCAATGCCCTTCTGATGAATGGAGGTTTTCATTCAAAATCTCACAATACATTTCCTTTACACGGAATCGTCCTGGTCCCTTTCCAGATCAACAGTCCCAAAGCATGATGTTTCCACCCCCATGCTTCACAGGTTTTGTGTTCTTTGGAAGCAAGTCAGCATTCTGAATTCGTCCAAAAATGGAAGAATTTTGTCTCTCATAGTAGGTATACATATGAGGAAAATAAATAGATAAAGAGAAGCAGTATAAAAAAATCTATCTTTAGCATAATAAGGAAAGACGTCTAAAATCTCCAACTTTAGCATGATGAAGAAGAAAGACTTAAGTACAAAATCTCTGACTGTAGCATAATAAAAAAGCATTATGAAAAGTATAAATACTGTATATTCTAGTGCAACTATTATATCGTTGTATGTTTACATCTGTACATGTTAGCAGCATGAAGGTCTGGGACAAAGTGACTCAGTGAAGCAACAGTGACACATGGGCTTCTGTATTGTACATTCTGACATTATTGAAGGTATTTTTGCACAGCTGAGTAAAGTAAAGCAACAGCAACACAAGTGGTTCCATATTGCACATTCTGACATTTTAATATCCGCCTCATGTGTGAGTGTGTTTCTTCTCAACCCAAGCCTCCCACCAACTCTTTGTCAAATAAACACAGCTTTAACATTTCAAGATGGCACCTGGAAAAGAAAGCCATCATTTCTGCTCTTTCTATTGGTTAGCTTGTACATGGTATTGTGTGATGTGATCTGATCCAAACACAGGAGTGGTTTTATCCGCTGCAGAGGCACGTCTCACCAGTGGCTGTGTAGTGTCCTACTTCTTGCTCGTGTCCTGCTGTGATCCTGCTCCCATGTGAAATTGTTTGGAAAATTCTCTTTTTGACAAAGGGAATGATTTGGCAGTGGGTTAGCGGTGCGTGCTGAACAGGGTTTCCATCTCGGTCTCTCTAATATCCTCGTTTGGTTAGTCTGTCCTGCAGTGTCATGTCCTAGTTCTGTAAAAAGTAGATCGAATGACTGGTGTCTTTATTCACTTCTTAATATTATATAGAAGTGAAGTTTATTCACTTCTTAACACAAAATATTATGTTGGATATGTGAAATTAATGGCACGTTTTGTTGAGTCAATAGTCCACGTCTGTATGTGTCTGTATATCAGGAGATTTTTATTATTTTAGGCTTTATAGGATTGCAGCATGTTTACGCTGTACAATAATCGAGTTATGATCACTGTTCTTGATGTATATATGCATATAATACCAGACACATGATGGGTAGACAAAGTATTTCTTCTGAAAACAAGATGTTCTTTTTCTCAAACTGCAATTAAGGAAACAATTGTTCACTTAAAATAAAGGGGGGAAGAGGTAATTAAATAAAGAGAATGTGTTATGAAAGAATAACATTGCATTTCGAGAGTAGATTAGAACGTGCAAAAGTAAGCAGAATGTAAACATTGTGGGGGGTGCTTTCACAGTCGCATGTTTAACATTAGCAGAAACAAAGGTGTAGATGTGTGTTTGCTGCATCAATACTAGTCCTGTTGAGTTATAGCAGGCATGTGAGATGAGGGTTTGATGTAATCATTTGCTGCATAGGTCTTGCCACTCAGTCTACATCCATACCCTCACCTGTGGTCAGCGTTAGGGAATGACTCAAAGGGAGGCGCTTGGAGTAGAGCCGCTGCTCCTCTACCTTGAGAGAAGCTAGTTGTGGTGGTGAGAAGAGGCTTCTGTTAAGGGTATTGCCTTGATATAAATAACCAGATTATTAAAGAAAACAAGAACTCTATCTCCCTTCTGTTTCCATCTGTTAAGCTGTGTAAACTGGCAGTTCTCAGGAAGAAGGTCCTTGGTTCAAATCCCAGAGAGATCAAGGTCTTTCTGTGTGGAATTTTCATGTTCCATGTATCTGTGTAGTTTTCCTCTGAGTGCTCCGGTTTCCCTGTTTATTCTGAGGTTTGTGAAACATTAAGAAGAGTCAAATATCGACCTTTAACTATAAAGCGGTGTAAAGCTGGATACACAATTGTGTTCTAGGCCCAGTACATCTTCTTGCACCAGAGCACGTTAGAACTGCTGAACAGCAAATCCAACAGCCAGTCCATCTGGTTTGTGAGCTACTCAGCTTTGGAGAAGACTGACTCTCTGGAGGGCATGGAAGGTATAACACACACACACACACACACACAAATTCTCTGATTTTAGGAATACTGCAAAGCCCGCCAACCACTACAGGGCAGAAATTCAACTTTAAATATCTATTGGAAAAATTTGGCCAACAGAATAAGCTTGAACGTGATCTTATTGTCATTTTCATTCCAAACAATGTACTTTGTACCAGTGGTGGGTGTCTCAGAGTTACAAATATTTAGTTAATGTAATCACATTAATTGTTAACACACTAGAGTAGTGTACACAGACATTGTGGATTTGAAAATAAAAAAAACTGTGATACTGCAGATCTAACTACAGAGCAGTATTAGGAGCAGAGTGTTAGTAAGTAATGTAACCATGGTACTAATTATTGAATCATACTATATATTCAAAAAGTAACTTACCCAACCCTGCCCACCTGAATCCAGCCTGAACGTCTTTGTGCTGTTGTCAGGTGATGTTGAGCTGGAGTGGGAGGAGACCACCATGTGAGGAGGCTGCAGGCTGTCACCCCCGGGGCGCCCTGAGCATCTCCTGCCCTTCACTTCAGTCGCAGCTGCTCTCCAACTTTACCATGCACATTTAAACTCTTTTTAAGACTTTCAGCAAATGATTGAAGACCTCGCTGCATAAAGGAAATATCAGGAAAGGAAAAATGTAAAACTGCATGTGTCACAAAAACCTGAAGAAACAACATATAAAAGATTTTTTTCATTGGCAATTTCATGTTTTTCGACATACATTGTATTTGTTGTGCACTTACTAAAAGCAGGTCTGTCCAGAACACAATAGATGATTCCTTTGATTAATCTCTATTCTATTCTAACCAAGCATTTTGTGTAATGTATGTACACCCTCAGAATTCAGTTTGGGATTTTGGACAATCCTCTTTGGACCCTTCTGCTGTTGTAGCCTGGCCAGCTGCACTTTTGTAACCGTGGGGAAAATGGCAAAGGCAAAGTTTCATCTACACATTTTTTTTCTGCTGCTCACTTGACTCATATGACTCCAAGATTGAGGAGAATATTTCAAAGATGGACTGGCCGGGCTGTTATTCTTCTTTCTTTTTTTTCTTTTTACATCTGTGTAGGATTTATTCAGCCAAATTGCGCTGATTTGAACTTGTTTTGCCGATTTTTGATTTCACAATATGTAAAGCTGATAAGGAAAATAAATCAGTATTTTTCTAGCTTCGATATGTTGGGGTGGAATTGTTCAGCTGTTTTATTTTTGTAATATATAACATGCATATCATATATGTTTGAGTCATTTAAATTCTCCTACACACAATGTACACCAAACTGATTTTGAAGCGGTATTTAATTTATGGTATTTAGTGTCAGCCATTAGTGCTTTGTCGCTATCATGTGTTTGCTCTTTTTGCTTTTGACTGTGGCCTCATTTTCTTTCCCAAATTGAAAATGTGGATGATTCACCAAAGAAGAAAAAAAATCACTGATTGCTGACTTGATTACCAGCATAAGCACAATGCACTATATACAGTACATAATAATTAGATAAACCGGGGCGATTTTTAAAGTTTTTGAAACATCTGCCCTAACTTCTACCATTCTTCGCCGCCATTGCATGTTCTAGCTCATTATAAGGCAATCTTCCCTGGAAACAGCTACATTTTTGCATATAAAAAAACCCCCTACAAAACAGATGACAGTACTCAGCCTCTACCTTTGATTCAGGTCTGATTCAAAAACACTTCTCATTTTCTTTTTTTCCCAGAAAAACATAATCATTAAAAAAAACCATTAATAAAATAGAAAGAATCATTTACATCATTTGTTCCAAAAATTGTTTTGTAAAAAAGTTAAAAAATAAAAAAATAACCATAAATTCCCAATATAAGAACAGATTTTTTCCAAATAAAATACTTGATATTTTATTATTTGTTACTCCGAAAAAATCCTATTCCCATCAATATAAAAAGGCATCATGAAATAACCTTAAAGTGCTGATTTCTAACTAGGGTATTAGTACTGTATTATCCCCTCCTCCACGTTTATCTACAGCCTTTAACGTATTTACTGTCATTATCAGGTGTCTTAGATTTTCCCTATAAAGCAGAGAAAAGCATTATTGCTAAACAATACACTGTTTTTCAATGAGAAACCCCACAAAGACCAGCATTGAGAGTAAAAACTACTTTATTCTTTCATTCTCTTCAAACAAAAAAGAAAAGTTAGAAATATCCATTAATAAACCTGTCATTAATCATTATAAATCTCTTTTTATAAATCTGGTGAGGGTGCAAAGTTTACTGACGGTGCTCCACAGTGAGGATGCAGACCACGCAGAAAGGAAAGAGGGCGGGGTCAGGGACAGGGGTTGGGCCAAGAAATGAAACAGCCCAACATGCTGATGATACAAACAAATTAAAAAAAAGTAAATCTCATGCTATAGGTTACTCTACAAGTCATTCAATAAAAGTGACTCAAAAGATCAAGCAGATTCTAACGTGGAGTAAAATTGTCGCTTTGGCTGCTATGTTTATGTCGTGTCCACCTCTTTATTGTAAATGCGTGTATGTGTTCGCCAATACAGCATAGCCCTTTGCAAACAAGTGGCACACCCCTCCTCCCCCGTTGTCCCGCAATTATATGACATGGTCCTTTAATGAATAATGCACATCTGAAATCATATCTGTGTATGTTGCCATGGTAACTGCGGCGTAGTCTAGAAAAGCTGCTGTCTGTTGCGCGCGCATGTAGCAGCAGGGTTGAGGAGAGCCCCTTGGTTTGCAGTGTGGACAGTAATCACATTATAGAACTATAATCATAATAAGGACTATATATTTTCTTTTTAAACTAGATTTTCTCTGTACAAATACACAAGATACACACGGATGGGCGAACCAATCACTTGTCCAGAATAAATCTAAATTATCTATGTACAATATATTCCATCGTGATGCAAAAAGAGTGTCAGGTGATTGGTGGTCCGCTGTACAAAGAGGCAAAGCAAACCGCACAGTGACAAAGTTGATCGTTATTCCACGGACATCTTCGGTTTCCCCCTGATTTCACATTCAGTAAAGGAATGCGTCGAGTCAGAGGCGTGTGCAAAAAGGGGAGCAGAGGGGGAAGCGTGACCCTGTCTAAGCAATTTCTCTTCCTTTTGTGATTCGCTAGATTCCAAAAGGAGATTTTCTGATGTATAGGGAGCATGGGTACAAAAGGGGAAAGAATACGTGGCCGTTTTCTGCCTTGGTTAAGATGATGCTACGTCTTGGAGAGCGCAGGATACACAGGACAGTCAGACCGAGCCTTCCTGAGATGTGAGAGTAAAACACAAAATATACAGCAAAGAATCAAAGCTCCCACACAATTAGCAGAACACAGCAGCAAGTGATGTGCACAGGTATGATTGTCTTGGAGATATAAGGGGAAGCAGTGACATTCGTACGCACTATCCTGTACAACTGAAGTGTGCTACATACACGTATTTTGCGCTCCCACATTTACACGTCGCGCTGTTTGCATCACTCATGAAAGCTACAGTTGTGTTTGGCCTCATTATGCACAGATAAGAAAGAATGATAATGCCGTGGAGAAATATAGATTCCAAATGTTGGCGAGCAAGTGTGCTGTCTCCACATAGAGAAAACTGCAGCTACGGGAGCCGACGACAAAATAAAAATAGATCATTTGCGAGATGCGTTCTTGCTGTTGTTTTGAGTGTTCCTTTGAAGCTTCTGCAGTCTCCAGTCTGACTCCTCCGTTGTGATGACAAAGCTCTCATTTGAGAAGTGACATTTGAAAATGTAGGGTCAAAGGGTGTTTAAGAAGGACAGCAGATCTACTCCTGGGCCATGTTCCGAGTTAGAGTCCGTGATGGAAACAGCTGGTGTGAGGAGGTCCCATGTGGCTCGTACAGGATGTGCTCATGTCACTGACGCACACAGGAGAAAGTGGCCTCAGACAATGCTCCGGGAGCCGCTAGAGTTGCGGCGGCGAATCAGAGGCATGGTGTGGTGCAGAGGCATGGGGGAGTCAGGGGGGCAGAACTGGTGTGGATGGTTGTAGGGGGGAGGAGGGGGAGGCAGAGGGGGCTGGGGGCCGTCGCTGGGCACACGCACAGGGGTGGACAGAGCAGACTGGATGAGCTGGTGAGTGGCTGGGCCCTGGCTCAGGAAAGCCTCCATACGTCCTCTGCCGCTCTGATCCACCACTATCACCTTGACGATCTGTTGACACTGGATCAGGGTCTCTGGGCGCAGCTCTCCGGCGGGGACAGGGCTGAGCAGGGCGGGGGGCGCCGTCAGAGCCAAGGGGGCCGACTCAATGGCGGGCTGGCTCAGCTGATAGGTCTGCAGCCTGTTGTGAATTGACACCTAGTTTAGGGACAGTCAGAGAACGCATGAGGAGTTACCAGCCTGAACGCAGCCTGTCTGCAGCCCTCAGGTGACGGACACATGGGCATGCAGCATGCAGTGGGACTGGCTCACAACCGTGCTCATGCAGCAGCAACACAGGGCTCCCACATCTGACAACACAAACAACACAACACTGTGCTGCCTGTGTATTTTGTCTACACTGAAGTAGTGCAGCTTTATTACTGTTACTACACCCTCAGAAGTAGTGGACCCTAACTACAGCAATATCTGCAGTTGTACAGGATACATTACAGTAATAGGTTACATGAAACAGCGTGTGCGACTTTCCTGGTAAGAAGGATATGCTTCAGTTTGCTCCAATGTGAATGTACATGCATTTTTATGTGCAAACTCATATTTTTAGTTTCCCAATATACTTGAGCAAAACTCTACAAAATCCTCTACACCAGATTTAAATGTATTGTTTATTTATTGTCCTGCTTGAATCAATTTAACTCATGTTATACTTCTCGAAATCCTTTTGCTTTGCCCATACAGTATCCCTCTGATAAGTGTGAGCTGCAGAGTGGGAACCCTGGACATGTGGGATTGCTTAACCTAGAAAGAAAAGTGTGTGTGTGTCCATGCAGAGGAGGAAGAGGAGGAGGAGGAGTTAGAAGGATGAGTGTGGAGTGAGGATGGGATAGAGGTGACACCGAGGGCCTGGTGCCTCTAACACAGAGTTCACATTTAAAGGAGCAGCTGAGGCGGGAGACAGACGAGCAGGGGAACAGTCTGGAGAAGCAGCTTGTGGCAAACTGATCACCGATTTTGTTTTTTGTTTTTTTTTGGAATATTTATACTTCAACAAGCTTTATTTAAAGCTTGGGTACCTAACTTATAAATCACAACAAAAAATAAAATGATAAAACAAACTGAGTGAGTTCATTACGCGGTTTGGTTCTATCACTAGTTTTTTACGAGCATGTACTTTTGGCCTTTGTCACATCTTTAGATCAGCTTTTTCAGACAGAAAAGTTAAAAAGATAGAATCAGAAACTCTCTCCCCCCAAATCATCAAAAGTGATCACAGGGTTCTTTCTTACAAATATGTTCTGTAATAAACACAAGAGAATTATTTGCCAAGAACTTCAAGACTTGTCTTTTAATAGCAACTCTGTGACAATTCTATCAATGTCATGCTCAAAGATTTTTGATGTGATGTTTTAAGTTTTAATAGGACAGAACAGTTCCAAGCAGGACGTTATCTTTTCTATACACCCTGCAGCTGGTATAACTTATGACCAAAGCTTTGTCTCATACATTTCTTTGATAGTCCTGGAGAGGCTTTCTGTCCTCTCAGCCTGTGAGTGGTGGCCAGCTTGCGTGTGTATGTCCTGGCTGTGGAGAGCTCCAGCCGGGCCGCACTGGCTGAAGGCTGATGAAAGAGACCGTGTTGTGTGGAGAGTGCATCGTTTGTAGAACCGCTCTTGCCACACATGCTCACACACACACACACACACGCACGCACGCACACACACACACACACAAACACACAGGCCTTTGTTCCCCTGTGCCCCGAGCAGACATTTTTCTTTCACAGTGTGGCATATTGAGAGCTGAGTTTTCCCAGCATGCACATGAAGAGACTTACTGCGGCGAGCAGAGGACAGAGCACTCACCTCCACCGTGTTGTTGTTGCCCGTTTTGTCATAAATGTCCCGTGTGCCTGTGGGACAGGCGCAGAAAGAAAAGGATGTCAAGACGAGGAGAAGAAAAAGTGAGTTACTTGAATGAATCCAGATTATAAAACCATCTATATTGCCATTATTTTGTAGCAACTATATGTAATATGCATTTTTAGTCTAATTAAATAATTACAATTACAATATTACTTTTGTCAGTGACAAGGGAGACTTGACTTTTTTTATAATTAGGAATGTGAAATAGATGGGAAAAATACAGTTGTTTCTCATTTTTTGAGGGGGGATGTGTCAACTATCACAATATTGAGCATATTGTGATAAAATGTGTCTATTTGTCGCTGTAGGGTGTTTACTTTACAAAATTTATGCCACATTCTACATTTAATATCTGGGTTCCGTTTAGGTTTGGGACATTATTTCTGCTTGGTACCTGGCCGACTCTGAAAATAGTCACTAGATTATAAAAAATCAGGTTGCAAAAAAAAAAAAAAAAGCCGGGGGTGTGCGTGGCTTTCTCTTTCCACCTAGACTTCGAGCTTGGTGACGGTTCTGTACCTGAGGGTGAGCCGTGGCCTGTGTGCTCCATCTGACCCCCGTTACTGTTGATGCTGTGCTGGATGCCTTGCTGCCTCTCCAACTCCCCTGTATATACACACACACACACACACACACAATAAACACAATAAACACAAGTTATATAGTGCTATATCTGATGTCACTGATGTCAAAGTCACTTTCAACTTAGCGTACTATTCCTCCGCCCACACCATACACATATAATGTAATGAAATGCAACAATAATAACAAACTAGAAACCGTTGCAATGGCTGAAGCCATTGCGATTGACTGCGGAACAGATCTAATGTGGAATTTAGCTGAAAAATCCTTGAAATCCTTGAAACTGTTAAAATACTTTAAACATCTTTGAAACTCCTGAAGTATTTGAAGCTCCTGATATCCTTTAAACTGTTATCCTTTATACTGGTTTTCATGTAAAAACCCCTATTAAGTTCCATTATACTGGTTTACATGTAAAAACCCCTATTAAGTTGCATTATACTGGTTTACATGTAAAAAACCCTATTAAGTTGCATTATACTGGTTTACATGGAAAAATCCCTATTAAGTTGCATTATACTGGTTTACATGTAAAAAACCCTATTAAGTTGCATTATACTGGTTTACATGGAAAAATCCCTATTAAGTTGCATTATACTGGTTTACATGTAAAAATCCCTATTAAGTTGCATTATACTGGTTTACATGTAAAAACCCCTATTAAGTTCCATTATACTGGTTTACATGTAAAAACCCCTATTAAGTTGCATAATACTGGTTTACATGGAAAAATCCCCATTAAGTTGCATTATACTGGTTTACATGGAAAAATCCCTATTAAGTTGCATTATACTGGTTTACATGGAAAAATCCCTATTAAGTTGCATAATACTGGTTTACATGGAAAAATCCCCATTAAGTTGCATTATACTGGTTTACATGGAAAAATCCCCATTAAGTTGCATTATACTGGTTTACATGGAAAAATCCCTATTAAGTTGCATTGTACTGGTTTACATGGAAAAAACCCTATTAAGTTGCATTATACTGGTTTACATGGAAAAAACCCTATTAAGTTGCATTATACTGGTTTACATGTAAAAACCCCTATTAAGTTGCATTATACTGGTTTACATGGAAAAAACCCCTATTAAGTTGCATTATACTGGTTTACATGAAAAAACCCTATTAAGTTGCATTATACTGGTTTACATGGAAAAATCCCTATTAAGTTGCATTATACTGGTTTACATGGAAAAATCCCTATTAGGTTGCATGATTACACTGAAGTCCTTGAAACTGCTGAAGTCCTTGAAACTGCTGAAGTCCTTGAAACTGCTGAAGTCCTTGAAACTGTTGAAGTCCTTGAAACTCTTGAAATCTTGAAACTGCTGAAATCCTTGAAACTGTTGAATCCTTGAAACTGTTGAATCATTGAAACTGTAGAAATGTCTGAAAGAGCTGAAGTCCTATTAAAATGCATGGGCCTATTAAAATGCATTGCAGAATTCTCAATGCAGATTTTTGTCCGATTGCGGAAAAACCGGAAATCGCTGAAGTCCCAAAAGTAATAGCAATAATCTCCCAAACATGTGGAACGTTTTGATGTATAACTTGTGGAAATTGTTGAAAATGTGAAAGCTGTGAAACGTGTCAAAAAAAATGACGGAATAAAGAAATACAAAACCAATGGTTGACTGCGGAAGGTTCCGCAGTCAATCAAAAAGGGGTGTCTGTTCTTTGGTAGACCAACAACTGGCCAACAACACGGATTGTAAAACTATTTGAACTGGATTCAAGCTGTTCTGGGGACACGTCCATATTGATTTCAATCAAAGTTAGTGCCCTGTGTGGAATTTTTTAACACAATAAAGACAAAGTCGGTACCTACACATATGGCTGGATTACAAGGGACTGAGGTTTACAACAAGGGTGACTAAATTTGGAGCTGAAGTTGGCTGCCTCAAAGCCTACATTAGAACATATAGGTATGGACCATAACCCACCAAGCAACCCACATAGTGAAGTATAGTGCAGTACTCCTTCAGCCTTTGGCTCCATTCACTTACATTGAAAAGTAAACTCTGTAACTGTTTGTGCGTCACCCACCATTAAATGTCTGTCTTTTGTAAATCCAGATATGAGCCCTATAAACCTAGTAGGTGCATTCTGGACCTGACTATGGCGATTGGCTCTTTGGTGGCAAGGTTGTTGCTACCCATGGATTTAGCTCCAGATTCCCGTCCATGGAGTCTGCTTGAGCCAGCTCTAAGCAGCTTCTTCCACACTATACCAAAGAATATGGGCAACGTTAACACCCTCAGTCTTACACTGGATGTGGATCTGCTCCATCTCGTTGACCTCGGCGATGGCCTCCCGGAGCTCTTCTGCAAACTTGCGGAGCTCCTCTCCGCTGGGGGAGCAGAAACTCACCAGCTGCTTCTTCTCCGAGGTGAACGGGCTCATCATGGTGATGCCGTGGGCGTAGTCTGCAATGGGACAGGACCACAATTACACCAGATGACAGTATATCACAAAGAGCTCCAGGACGCTGAATCTTGAGACGAGCTCTAGAAGCGCTGCTGCAGTGGTATGGCATGCTTCACATCCACATGAACTATTCAATAAGGATTATAATCTATGGGCTTTGGCTGCACTGGAGGACCCTGTGTACGTCCTTGGTACTAATGTAATTCAGATTACACTCAAACGTTATTGATCCTCATGAAAATTACATAAAATGATATAATTCTTTATTAAAAGCAAGTGTTAATTTGACAGTTGAATGCATCAGTTTTATGCATTTGTGTAATTTACCAGAACATACTGTATCTATCGCCAACCCTTCATCACATCAGCCTCATCATCCTCTCCTCTGCATCACTAGTATGTGTTCTGCTACAGAGAGGGTTTATCCTGGTTGAGATTCAGTGTGTCTCTTATTTTTTTTTAAAAGTTTCTTAAACACTTTGTAAGATGACAAATGCCCAAAACAGAGAAACACGTCACAACACCACGTTTTGACAAATACATCTAATGGTGTTTTTTTCTCGTGTGAGCAGGACAGAATGATGACACCTCCGCTCCTCAGTAACAGCTGTTTGGATCTTTAGTCGATATAAACAACAGTCTAAACGTGATAACACTGCTTTTACAACTTCAAGAGGTCTTCCATATGCTCCTCCCTCCTACTTTTACTCAGATCTCAACACTAATCTAAAACAGCGCAATTGGTGACAAGGTGGCGCAACGGTTTGAACTGTCGCCACTCAAGGAGCTCTTGGCTTCAAAACTCTCCTTTGCCTCCAAGAAAGTGATCCAAATGGTATGTCTTCAAATGAACAAGATAAACAAACATATTGAAAGCCACAGAAACTAATGGTGACCCTTTCTGGCTTAAAGTTACATTATTGAAGCTGATGGATGGACACTTCCTACTCAGAAAAAAATGTGCTTCTGTCTTTTTTTATCTTGTCTGCCTGTCTGTTTTGTTTCTTGAGTTCTGTATGTATAAAAAGAGAACATCTAAATAATCAGAATTTGATTTATGAAAAGTAACTTTAAGCTGTAGATTAAAACTTCCAAATAAACTAATTCAAATGTTCTTTGTTTGTTATATTATTTATTGGCTCACAGGTTGTGAAAACCCAAATAAAACATCTAAGAATGTATATGATGAATACAGTTTTGAATGATTTTAGATTCTCCAGCTTTCAACAAACTTCTTCAAAAAGTCAAAAACGTTTGAATGATTAGGATCACGCAGGCTACCTACTATTGTGTAGTGGTTTGGTGGTTTGTGTATTCTATGGTTAAATGTAAAGGCCCTGGTCTTTAGAAAAAGTCACTGACTTGCATACTGTACATACTTTGGAAGAAAAATTCCTTCCTTTTTAATACGTGACATGTTTATCCTTAAACTATTCCATCCTCTATTGATTCCATTCACCATCCTTTCATTGAATACAATTAAGTATTTGTTTAATAATTCACACAAACACAGATTTGCCCCCACTCCCCAGGCTGTCATTTACGACAGGAGTGTGGGTGATTAAGAGCCGATGGGCCGTGTCAAAGTGAATATATCTGCAAATGAATCACTCCTTTTCTCTGCCAAATAGTGAATTAGCAGCTTCTCAAAGACAGGATACCCTTCATTTCAATCCCACTTGACTCAAAGTGATGCATTTTGAAGGTAATTGGTTCAAATGAGGCCAATGTCTACAGCATGTTATGGTATAATTTAATATTCAGTTAAAGTGGGCAACACACTTCATTAATGTTAGCAGTTTTAAATATGAATAATATATTATTAATATTTATTTGGCCATTAAACATGATAATGAGTCTTATTTACTTTGTCGTTTCATCTTGCCAAAAGTATGACTAGTAAATAATGCTTTACGGCTAGTTTAATTTAATTTTTTTTTACAAATTTGGAAATTACCTGCTGCAACCCAAGACATGGGATTGTAAAGAATGACATTTCACCTGAGAAATGGTAAAAACACATTTTGGACACTGCTTTTGTCAGCAGGCAGAAAGTCAGAAAGTGCTCTAAGCGTGATGTCAGAAGAAATCCATCAGATAAGAAAATCCCTCCATAATGTATCAATAATTAATATTTGTTGCAAAATACGAACTTTTTACATGCTGGATATACACAATCTGAGGCAACCTTGAGTATCAAGAAAGGCACCTAAGAAAATGTGTTATTATTATTATAACATGGTTGAGAGATTAAAAAGTCCATCATGTCTCATTTAGAAAGCAAATATGATGGATGAAGTGTGTCATTATGTGCACAAGACAGTTTTGTGAACTCATCCCCTGGTCCTCCCACACTCTCTTACACTCGTTGCTGAAGAGGTGGAACTGCATCCCCAGCAGACCCATGGCCTTACAGAAGGTATAGCAGGCCGCACTCTTCTTCTTTGGACACAGCTTCAGGATCTGAAGGAGCACGCAAAGCAACAACTTATTTTGGAAAATATTTACAACAATTACAGCTCTGAATGTTTGAGTGCTGCTGAGGGAAAAAAAAAGTGTCAAAAGGTACAATGTTGTCTGTGCTGAGAAAACAATGGTCTTAGTCTGCGTGTATACTGAGACAAGATAGGTCTGAGTCTGCATGTATACTGAGACTTGAGTGGTCTGAGTCTGCATGTATACTGAGACAAGAGTGGTCTGAGTCTGCATGTATACTGAGACAAGATAGGTCTGAGTCTGCATGTATACTGAGACAAGAGTGGTCTGAGTCTGCATGTATACTGAGACAAGAGTGGTCTGAGTCTGCATGTATACTGAGACTTGAGTGGTCTGAGTCTGCATGTATACTGAGACAAGAGTGGTCTGAGTCTGCGTGTAGACTGAGACTTGAGTGGTCTGAGTCTGCATGTATACTGAGACAGGAGAGGTCTGAGTCTGCATGTATACTGAGACAGGAGAGGTCTGAGTCTGCATGTATACTGAGACAAGAGTGGTCTGAGTCTGCATGTATACTGAGACAAGAGTGGTGTGAGCCTTCCTATATACTGTACTTAGGCAAGAGTGGTCTGAGCCCACATGTATGGCATGCAAGTAAGCACAGTGAGTGACCAGTGTGTTTCTGACCAGCAGCAGGTCGTTGAACAGGAACACCTCCCTCTGCATCTGGGACAGCTTCTGCTTGTGAGCCTTGTTGGCATCTGGGACCTCGAAGAGGCGGCAGCAGCAGACCAGGCGCCGGTGCGGGACGGCCAGGATCTGACACGTTTCAGATAATATACAGATGGAAAAAAGATTTGGAAAAAAAGAGAGATGAACACCCATTAAGTGTGAGGAGTGATATTAATTCTGCTAGATACAAATTAAAATCTACCATGGCATGATCTAATCGAAGACAGGTCATTGTAAAAAATATCATCTGTGCTGGGGAAGTTTACACACACGGATATCATTGTATTGGCGATTATAAATGAAAACATTAATGCTGTTTTGTGTCCAGCCATTTATTCTATTTTTCTAACATCATGCAGGATTTTACAGGAACTAGAGGCTTTTTGCCAAGAATGCACAGCTTTACCATCAGAGAAGATAAAGAAGCTCACCCACAGCTACCACAAAAGACTTCAATACATGAGAACTGGAGGATGGAGACTTCTAATTAGGGTCAGAACAGCGGAATTTTTTTGTTTTACGAGGCAGAAAACAATTCACAGTCATGGTCTAAGGCAGGAGTATTCAATTCTGTCCTCAAAGGGCCGTGTGGTTTCAGGTTTTCAATCCAACCAAGCAGGAGCACACCAGACCGCACCCTTTTCCTCACGGTCTTCAGGGTAAGACTGGACTCCCTAGATTTACTTGAATACCACACAGTATTCAGGACAGAGTGTAAAGGCTAGCGTACATCGACAGAGAAACTGGAGACAACAAGTTGCAAGGCGGCTTTTGGCAACTGAGAGTAGATGATGGAGATGATCAGTTGCCGAAACCGTTTGATGTGAGCGCTCTTACAACTGGAGATAAACAGTCGATCTCCAGATTGAGTCAGTTGCCCGTGTTCTACTTTTCAACAACTAGTTGTTTTCAGATCCGGAGATATCACCTGATGTGCGCGCTCCTATCAGATCCATGGCGCGCTCCAACAACATGTGTGTATTGCGTGTATTTGCGTGTATTGCGCGCCCTCTACAGTTTATGCCAGAAAACACACTGTAGTTGCTGTCGATGTACGCGCTGTTATTTCCGAGACTGGTCTGCTACTAGGAGTTGCCCATTTTTGCCAGATTGTCAATGTGTGCGGGGCAGCAACTAATATGCAATGGATATAATCAGTTGCCAGTCCGATGTACACTAGGCATTAATATATGTCATAGTATGAAAAATGAGCCTTTGGAAATGGGGTGGACCAATACTCATAGCAGATGTTTCAATAAGGAAGAATTTTGTAACAGGGATTAAAACTCTAAAGAAAGTACTAAATACATTAAAGATAAGATAATATACTGCAGGTCTACGTACAGTTTTGAGCCCCATAATGGACTGCTCCACACGGCTCACGTAGGTCACATGGTCTTCGTTGGAACGCAGCTCCCTCTGCTGGATCCTCTCGTAGATCCCAGACACCATGTCCCTGGGGATATCCGCTCCGTCATCCACCCCTGAGGAGAACATGTCCAATTGTCACATCACTGTGGGAAACTCACATCTTACCAGATTTTTGAAGGCAACAAACATGGCTGATCTAAAGTTTTTATGAAGTAGGGTGGACTAGATGTGACGGCATCTCTCCCTTTTGGTGTCAAATTTTCGAATGTCAACCTCACAGACCCCAAAAAAACTATCTGTTTCCACCAGGGCCTATTCTTTCTAACGCTGATTGGTCATTTAATATTGGCCATATCTAGATTCATAATTATAAACTCAAAATATCATCAAAAATATGTAGAGCAGGGACATGCAAGTAAATGTTTTATCACAAATAACAATTAGGTTAAGACTATATCATGTTACGAGAAACTAAGTGAAAAGGAATTGAGCCAAAGAGAGCAGAAACAATGTGAGCACTTCTCTACAGGCTTCATCAGCTGAATCTATGGCCCTGTCCATCCTCATTTTACAGTCCATGACCACATCCAATCACAGAGCACAGCATGCACAGGGCTACATTGCTAATCGACCAAAATTAAACACAACAGCCAGCTTTTTCACTGGGCTTTACATGGATAAAAGATCTGGAAATGGCTGTTTACCAGAAGACCATAGCTCGCTGCTGTAAGGGACCACACAAGGCAAAGTGACAGCCCTGTTTATTATTAGAATATCTGTGAATGAGGCCGTTTGTGTTCTCTCAGTATGTGCAGGATTATCCACACACTGGAGGACACAGGTGGGCTGCTTTCCACTCGCTGTGCTCGTAGACTGTATACATACGGACAATGCTAATCCGCTAACTCACTGAAGCCCAATGAAGGGAAGCTCTCATGGTTTTGCTCGAACTCACTCTGGCTCCTTTTGACTTACATTGTAAAGTAAACTCCTCTGGCTCACGAACCGTTTGTGTCACACTCAACATGGGCTAAACAATTTCATGGTTTATGTGGTCATTAAAACCCTGGTTTTGATAATAATAATAGATTTTAACACATCTCAAGGTGCTAGATGTCTTTGGCAAATCCTTATAAGGCTCATATCTTGATTGACAATCTAACTACAGCTTGTCTTAGCAACCATATCAGCAACACGTCAGTCCTGTCATCAACTTGATTGCTGGTATCTGATCAAATTCCCCTACAAGAAATTTGTCTTAATCTGTCTTATGTTCCAATCGGCTTCTTCCGCATTTGGCAGACACTATGAGTAAAACAATATATTTATTACAGTCCCTCTACTTGATATAACCATCACCAATAACATTTTCTAGAAGATATGAGTTAGCTCTCTTCTGTGTCATGGATTTAAATGAATTCCATCCAATCAGGAACTAGGGAGAGTGAGAATGGGGAAGGCCTAACCCGTGCTTGCCTTGGAAAAAAATCTCTCCCTCTCCACAACTCAAAAAGTAACTGAAGTCCACTTTAACGTCTTACTACTGTAGCTACAAACAAGCATTGTGGTTGGTGGTTAATTTATAGAGGATCAATAATAATAATTCACACCTTATTCTAGATAGCATCGTTTTACTTAGATTAACATTTCCTTGGAATAAACTGCATATTACTGTTTATTAGTATGAGATTAGGATTTTATTCTACATTAGTTATGATCTTAATAATGGAACAGTGATGAAGATGTATTAAGAGCCAGTTAGATCCATAGAGAAACTTCAACATTTTAACTGCAATAACATCTATCTCAGAAAAATTCAAACAATTTGATTCTGTCTCAAGCTTTCACATTAAAATGTATTGTCGGCCTCTGTCACATTCTTAAATCCGTTTTTTCAGACTGAAAAATGGAAAAGAGAGGACATTATCTAACAGCTAATCAGCTCTCAGCCCAAAGCGTCAAATTGGATGCAATAGATCTAAAAGATAACTTATGTAATAAGATAAAGACAGAATGTCGTGGTTTGATTTATTCACAATATGTTTCTCCCCTTTCTCTTTGGACAAAAACATTGTATTAATGAACCAAAAAAGAGAAAAACTTGGGGCGACAGTGGCTCAGTTGGTAGAGCACTGGTCTTTGGACCTAATGGTCATGGGTTCGAGCCCACCATGACCCATGTCACCTGCTCCCACTGATGTCTGCTGTCGTTGTGTCCCTGGGCAAGACACTTAACCAACCACCTGCAGGAGGATCAGTGAAGGACTGGTGCTTTGAGACTTGGCAGCTCTAAAAAAAATATATAGTTGTTAAAACCTGAAGAGCGCTAACTAAATGTGGTGTCAAATCTTGGCTCCTATTTTTAGAGCCAAGATAAACTTTATACAAATATAAATTTAAGACAAACCTTTCAGAAGATACAATTTTAAGAACCATTTTTGAATAACCTCACACAGAGGGTTTGTCTCTCATTCATCTTCCTAGTCTGAAAACTTCAACCTTTCAAGCGACATGCAAGTCCTAGATCAGTGCTCCCCAACACATGGCACACCACCAGCTGAAACCGATGCAAAAATGAAACTCTGCAGCCTTTGTTAACAAAGCAAAGTCATTCTCAGCAAAGTCTTAAGTGTAATTATATTGAAAATCAAGCAAGCCAAAAAAATACATTAGGTTCTTTTCGCGTTATTTTGACCAATCAGGTGAAAATGGATAATTTCACAAGCCACAACAAACTTTATGTCAGAGCACTCTGACATGACAAGGCACACAGGTTGAAAAACACTGCCTGAGGTGACTCCATAGGGACTATGGGTAGGAGTATTTTGCCTGTTGTACTGTACATGTTTTTAGTGGTAAATGGAAATGCAAACTCTACTAAGAAGGTCCTCTCTGACAAGGATATGAACCTAGCACCTTCTTGCTGAAAAGCGTGCATGCTGTCCACTCAGCCACCGTGCAACCTAGTCTTCTTTCTTTTTTTCTTTCGCCAGCATTTTATTACATAATAAAAACAATTTGGCTACCATATCAAGAATTGCCAGATTTTGCAATATAAGGACATATCAATGTTTTGGCACTATACTTTATAGACTAATAATCTAACCAAAATGATTATTCGTGGGCTGTTAGTAAAGTAAAATAAAGTATTGCAATCTGGCCATTTTAACATCACAGTATTCCATAATTCTGATCATCTTCCTATCCCTGCCCTGGGCCTCTGTCGTGTGAATGTGTGTGTGCAGAATGTACTCCGATGCACTGCTGGGATTGTGCTGAGGTTTGGAAGGCCCTCATTTACTCTGCTCTAAGGTCCTGTCAGTCAGAATCCAATTCTCCCCTATCTCTGGAAGCTCCTCCTGTTTCATCACATCATCAATCCTCTCAGAGACACATCTCTTCACTCTCCCTGTGCTGTGATAGATCTTATAGAAATTTATGATGCCCTATAAAGGCAAGGGTATAAAAAATTGTCCATATATAACGAACTCCGCTGCTGCTTGTTTCCACTTCAACAAGGCAATATATCTGCCGCCTCTGCCTCCAAGGTTCTCCAAAAAAAACACTTTCAGGGTTCAGTCAGTGTGATGCAGTCTTACGCTAAATCATAAACGTCGTATGTCATGGTGTCTCTTTAGCTCATGTTAATGTGCGAGGATTAAAACATACACATGGTAAAATCGCCTAATTAATCTTACAGTGGAACTAACTTATGGAAACTGTAAATCAATACAGGACCACAATAGATGCAGCTATTCAATTAATTATTATAAATGTATTCAGTTAGGGATGGGACAGGGCCAGGTGACAATTCCACGCTAGATGATAATCATGTTATAAACATACACTGACATGAGTATATCGAGGAAAGGATAGGCGCTATATATTGTACTAGGGAAAGATAATATACCATGTGACACAAATAGTTTTGATTTTATTTTTTTCGCAGAATTTGTTTGATAAGATCTTTAGATCCCCAATGTCTCAGATAAAAATGATGGTTAATCTAATTAAGGCAAAGGAAAACAGATCTTATTTCCAATGTTTTTCTCAGGGTTAGATTTTTACACAGAAATTGACTAAATTAAACATTGAAACGCAGCAGCATCTCCAAACTCGCACTGAGCGCCACTTAAATCGTTCAACATCTTTAATCCTAGATAAATGCTGAAGAGAGGGATCATGGTCGTGATAGAAAAGGGAGCCCAGCCAGCCCAGGGGTGGTGCCCACCGTTGATCTAAAATTCCATGATAAAAGAGCTGCATTGCAAATCCCTCCCCCTTGGTCCAAGGAAAATGGGCGGAAACAGTAATAAAACTTATCGAGGTTTTCTTAAAGTTCTTATCACAGCTTTGTGGGTTTTCAGGCACTGACCAATTCTCTTCAAAAGTCACAGGCTCTTCTCTAGATCACCACCAGAAGGTTATAGCCAAACTACAAACCGTGGTCAAAAATTCTTGGTTTGGTCTAGGGTTAGAGTTTTATGGTGCCATAAAGGTTAGAGTTGTGAAGTGAGAATATCTGTGAATCATATCAGTATGATAAATAGAAAGAACATGAGGGGCTATGTGAAACAAGACGTGAAAGAATAGTTAATACAATATACCAGCAAGAAACCAAATCTCAGGAAGTTCCAGTAGAGGCAATCAGGCAAAGCGAGTCTAATTAGTCATCCTTTGTCCATTGTTCCCTGCTCAGTAAATTTGGAGGTGTACTATGTGAAATTATCAATTTTCAAGTAGTTCATTCGGCCTTAAAGCAACAAAGCTGCTGGTATCTCAAACAACGGTACCTATTTTTATATAGAAGAAAATTGAAAGCCGGAATGTTTATTTAAGCTTCATAGACTAGGACAACTGTATATAGACTGGAAAATGCTAAACCCTCAAAAGCTAGGACCCCCCCCACCCCCCCCCCCCCCCCCACCCCCCCCGCCCCCCCCCCCGGAGGGGGGTGGGGAGGCCCCCCCTCCCCCCCCCCCACCCCCCCCCCCCCCATCAGGGGGGGGGGGGGGGGGGTGGGGGGGGGGGGGGGGTGGGGGGGGGGGGGGGCACCAACCACCACCCACACCCCGCCCACACCAACCCCCCACACACAACAAACACCCCCCATGAAATCTAACAGTGAAGTCTCCTAAATGAAGTGCCTCCCTTTTACTCGGCTTCACGTTGAAAGTAAACACTGGCTCTTACTCTGTGGACTGTTTTTTGTCCACTCTCACTTTCTGGGTCTTACAAAAATGTGTGATTACTGTTCGGAATGCTCCCTGGTGCATTTTATTTGCCCACAAACCTGACCAATCAGCTGTCTGTCAGTCCCCTAAATTCTGGCTAAACTCGAGCGTGAACCTATACTGAAGAGGCTCTTTTGTTGCTGGGATGCCCTCCTGGAGTCTGAATCAATTTAATTTTATTTTGTAATAGCCCTAAATCTCAGGGGACTTCACAAAACACCGCTGAACACAGATCCACTGAGTTTGCTGTGATCCATGCTTCTTCCCACGATACGGCAAACATTTGGGTGATGACCAACTTCTGTTAGCACTCCTCTGCTGATTCAGCGTTCTGTGGTCTGCAGTGACATGTCTGGTTTTTTTTTTTTTAAAGTATATATATGTGGCGGTCTACAGCGTGTTGGTCAAGTAGTTATCCCAATAACAGGCGGTCCACTTCTGAGGAGACCTTATCCACAGACTGTTAGGATTTATAGACTTTTTTTGCCTTGTTACCTATCACAACGAAGTTCTACTAAAATAGACTGCGTTTAAATAAGCAGCGTGGGGGCCGGGACAGCAAGCTTTCTGCCCTATACAGTGTTATTGTGCATGTTCAAGTCAGATCCGGGCAAAACAAATGGGACAGAAAGGACAATATATGGCTAAAGATTGTGATTTTATACTGCTTCTTTTTTATGCTAATTAGATTTGTCTTTTATTTGATTTTAGTGATTATTAAATATTCTTGTGCTTTCAGGTCTGTGATGCACGCTAAATAAATGGGACGAAAAAAAGTATCTCTTAATTTAATCTAATCTCCAGTGATTTTACAAGTACTGTAGCACCAAAGACCTGCAAGTAATGAGGTTAGTGGAAACACACGAGAGCAAAGTGCCTGGACATAGTGATATGAACACACAGTTGTACGCACCCCGCTGGTTTGCTTTAAAGTCGTTCCAGGCCCTTCTTGCGCTGAGGGCTTGATGTTGGGGGAGTACATGTCGGTGTTGTGGGCACCACAGCCGGAAGGCCCCAGGGATGGATGATGGTTGTCGGGGGGTTGGTGGAAATGCTGCACCACGTCCCGGGTTACACATTTGCATGAGTACCGCTGCTGAAGGGACAAATACACAAGGCTGGTTAGGAGAACGTTACAAACAAGGAAAACAGTTTCAAAGTATGTTTTGGCGTAGATGGTTGTCATATTTGGAAAGTGGGGTCCGATTGTTGTGTAAGTTGTTTGCAACCTTAAAGAAAAGAAGAGGAAAAAGAGGAGTCCTTAGTCGGTCTCCCACAGTTTGGATGTTTTCTTTGTTGCATCCCCAGTTACAGAACAGAATGAATGAGGAGCACACAGCTCATGATAAATGATCACAGCACAGGAATAAGAAAAATGATCACAGCTCTATAAATATAACTCTATACTCAACTCTGCTACTAAATATAAGTATGCTTAAAAACTGCACTGAGCGAACTTAAATCTTCACACTATATCTAGATAAACTGAGGAGGGATCATGGGTCTGATAGAAAAGGGCCCACCAGCCGGGGTTGGCCCACCGTTGATCTAATTCCATGTAAAAGAGCTGCATTGCAATCCTCCCCCTGAAATGGGCGGAAAAAGTAAAACTTTCAGGTTTTTCTTAAAGTTTATCAGCTTTGTGGTTTCAGGTGACCAATTCTTCAAAAGTCACACTCTTCTCTGATACCACCAGAAGGTTATAGCCAAACAAACCGTGGTCATTTGGTTTGGGCTAGGGTTAGGTTTATGGTAAAGGTTAGAGTTGTGAGTGAATATCTGTGAATATCAGTATGATAAATATAAAGAACTGAGGGCTATTGAAACAGACGGAAGAATAGTAATACAATACAGCAAGAAACCAAAATCTCATAATTTCCAGTAGAGGAATGGCAAACGGCTATTAGTCATTTGTCATTGTTCCTGCTCAGTAAATTGGAGGTATATGTGAAATTATAATTTTCAAGTTTTCATTCGGCCTTAGCACAAAGCTGCTGGTATCTAAAACAATGTCCTATTTTTTATAGAAGAAATGAAAGCCGGTTTTATTTAAGCTTCATAGACTGAACTGTATATAGATGGAAAATGCTAAACCCAAAGCTCCATGAATCTAACAGTGAAGGTCTCCTAATGAAGTGACTCCCTTTTACTCGCTTCACTTTGAAAGTAAAACTGCTCTTACTCTGTGACTGTTTTTGTCACTCTCACTTTCTGGGCTAAAAATGTGTGATTACTGTTCGGAATGATCCTGGTGCTTTTATTTGCCCCAAACCTGACCAATCAGCTGCTGTCAGTCCCTAAATTCTGCTAACTCGAGCGTGAACCTATACCTGAAGAGGCTCTTTTGTTGCTGGGATGCCCTCTTGAGTTGAATTCAATTAAATTTATTTTGTATAGCCCTAAATCTCAGGGGACTTCACAAAACCGCTGAACACAGATCAATGAGTTAGCTGTGATCTGCTTCTTCCACGATACGGCAAACATTTGGGTGATGACAGCTTCTGTTAGTCCACTCCTCAGTCTGATCAGCCTTCAGTGTCTGCAGTGACATGTCTGGTTTTTTTTTTTAAAGCTATATATGTGGCGTCTACAGCGTGTTGGTCAGTAGTTATCCCCATAACAGGCGGTCACTTCTGAGGAGCCTTATCCACAGACTGTTAGGATTTATAGACTTTTGCCCTGTACCTATCACAACGAAAGTCCAACTAAAATAGACTGCGTTTAAAGCAGCGTGGGGGCCGGGACAGCAAGCCTTTCTGCCCTACAGTGTATTGTGCATGTTCAAAGTCAGATCCGGCAAACAAATGGGACAGAAAGACAATATATGGCTAAAGATAGAAATTTTATACTGCTTCTTTTTATGCTAGATTTAGATATTTTATTTTATTTGATTTTAGTTATTATTAATTTATCTTGTGCATTTCTGTCTGTGATGCAACGCTAAATAAATGGGACGAAAAAAAGTATCTCTTAATTTTAATCTAATCTCCAGTGATTTACAAGTACAGTAGCACCAAAGACCTGCAAGTAACTGAGTTAGTGGAACACACGAGCAAAGTGCTGACATAGTGATATGAACACACAGTGTACGCACCCCGCAGGTTGCGTATAAAGTCGTCCAGGCCCATCTTGCGCTGAGGCTTGATGTTGGGGGAGTACATGTCGGTGTTGAGGAGCACCACAGCGAAGGCCAGGATGAAGATGGTGTCGGGGTTGTGGAACTGCTGCACCACGTCCGGGTTACACATGCAGTACCGCTGGCTGGAAGGGACAAAAACACACAGGCTGGTTAGGAGAACGTACAACAAGAAAACAGTTTCAAAGTATGTTTGGAGTAGATGTTGTCATATTTGGAAGTTGCCGATTGTGTAAGTTGTTGCACTTAAAAGAAAAGAAGAGAAAAAGAGAGATCCTTTGTCGGTCCCACAGTTTGGATGTTTCAGTGTTGCATCCCCAGTTACAGAACAGAATGAATGAGGAGCACACAGCTCATGATAAATGAACACAGCACAGGATAAGAAAAATGAACACAGCTCTATAAAAATAACTCTATACTAAACTCTCTACTAAATATAATAACATAAAATAAAATCACTAACTTCAGCATAATAAGGAAGCAGTCAATAATCTATAAAATGAAGCAAGACATAAGGACAAAATCTTTGACTTTAGTATAATAAAGTGCTCTATATGTATATAACTTTGCACTTTCTACAGTATATAGATATTTTGAAAGAATGATACTGAAGCATTTACAGCTAGCCACAGCAGCCACTTATTTTGTACATTTTGTGTGCTCCCTGAGTGCTCTTACTATTTTCTTGTATGGTTACGAATAAAGGATCTCTTATCTTAATAAAGAAGAAAGTGTAAAGTACTGTACATTGCATAAATATAGAGATATATGTATACATCTGTACATGTAAGCAGCTTGAGTGTCTGGGAATTAGCTTGCTTTTATCTAGATTTTAAAACATTTCCACAGTCTTCTACTGTTGTCACATATTTTTCAATACTAGAAATAACACTTTTGAAGGGGCCATAGGTTGTTATACCTGTTATTCTGATATAGTTGAAAATAGATCAGAAATGCCATATTTTGCCTTGTGTATGTCATTATTTTTACTATGAATGCTAAACTCATATCTATTTTATACTTTTTATATTTATAACTTTCAGACTGGTTTTAATGCTCGATGAATACTCAATACTTCTGACAATGACAACTCCGCCGCGTTACTGGAATGAGCAAAAATGCTACTGTGCACTAAAAAGGAAAAACATATTTGTCACTTTGGCAAAGCTTCTTCTTTCTTCTCGAGTTATTTTCCATGTGGTGACAGACCATTTCATCAATATCCTTTTAAACGCCTCAGTCTTCCCATTTTGTTTGCAGTTTGATTCGGATCCTATGAAAGGAGACACATCCCAGTCACACTCCTGCCTGCTCATCAATCTCTCTAGGTACATACGATATATTGTCCCTAATTCAATACTGTATCTATCTTATTTTAGCAGGTTTCTGTCTGCAAAGTCTTTGTGATTTGCTACTTGTGACCTCAAAGATAGTAATTACTCGTGCGGCCCAGACTTCCCGTGGACAACTCTCAAGAAAAACTGCTGGATCAGGGTCGACGGCTGTGAGCAGTTCCCCGGTCAGTGCATGTGCCCCATTATGTTAAAAAGAATACGAAAAAAGTGTGTACAAATAAGTGCCTTTAGTGGCCACACCTTTTTACAGAGGCAGCACTGGCTACAAGAGACAAAGGCACAGACAGAGATGCAAGAGTGAGATAGCGAACACAAATAATATAAAAAGCTATTATGTGTGGACTGGGCTAAGCAGATAAGCCTGGGGAAACAACAGCCTTATCAGCCAATTAGAATGGCTTTATAAAGATAAAATAGGCCACTGCAATCAAGATATTCCACCTGTTTGTTTTTTTTCAACAGAGACTAATTCATGATCAGAATAGGCAAAATGAGATGTACGTTTTTTGAAATGAAGAAGAACAACGAAAGATCATTTGAATTAGCAATAGGGACTAAACATGAACTTATGACCACACTCACACATACCTAGAGGATATCACTGTCAGAGGTAAAATGAAACCAAGACATAATATGCATCTGTTTGCTTTAGAGTGAGGATCTATGACTTTTGGCTCATTATAAAGTCCTCTGATATGTATCCGGTCGCTCAAAGCATATTTGTTGTTAAGTGTTACTGGCTGACGGCCCATTTAAATGCTAATGCTAATTCAACTGTTTTAAAACGCAAATGCCTTCTTAATAGTTAGGCTGCAGTGACGGGAGGATATAATAAAATATCTTGAGGCCTATAGGAATTGTTCCATGATCATTAAAATTGACAATCATGTTATGGGATACGCACTTACTTTCATATCCTTTATTCTAAAATAATCAACCAGTAAGGTGCATGATCTCACTCTCTTTTGCTACTTCTGTTTAAAATACACAGAAATTAAACAGTAGCATGGGAAATACACCAGATTGTGGTTGTTTTGTAGCTAATTTTGTGGCAAGAGCTCTGGTGTGTGTCGTGTCTGGTGCACACTGGGGTAGTCTTGCACAGTTTTTCCAATGTGGTTTAACTGCAAATGGCAAAGAAATGAATCTGAATCTGAATTTCCATCTGTAGTCCCACAGTCACCCTCAAAAACACACGATCACTCGACCTTCACCTATTGAACATGTTTTTAATAGTAGGGGAAACCGGAGCACCTGGAGACAACCTAAGCAGACACGAGCAAATGCCACACAGAAAGACTGCTGTGAAGTGCAAACAACTGTGCCACCCTGGGTTTTGGGTCAGCGCTAGAACTCCTATAGGCTAATAACACACTAGAGCCACCAGAGCTTGCACTACGATCCCATGATACTCCTCTGGCCTCAAGGGGGGAGAATGTTCATAAATAAAGGATTGGGAACAAATAATGGAACAAACCTGAGGGACAATGCAATATTTATGGACTTTAATGACTCATGCATGTTCTCTTGACTTGGGTCTAATGTTGGTTGGTTTGTAACAAAAAATAATTTCCTTACAGGGAGCAAAGGGTGTTATACTGATTATGGAAACGTAACTGAAAAGGTTGCTTTCCGTCTGCAAGGAAAAACTATTGATCTGGTTCAGTTAAAAGTGTAAAAGTGTACTGTGCAAATTTACTGTCTGTTTATTTTTTTTTTATGAACCAGGCCTGAGCCAACCTCCAAAAACATATCCTAATTTTCAAGTTTTTTTTAAAGATAGTTGCTATTTTACTCCAGTTTGTTAAAATTGTTAATCATTGTGGCACCAAACTAACCTTCTCTGTACGTTAGCCTATCGTCTCTTGTAAGTCTCTAATGTTGATTGAGGATAAACATTCCAGGCAAAAGAACACGAGCAAAAAGCCGACTATAGGAAATGTGAACTTACTGCTGAGAACCTGAATTCATCGTGGGGTTAACACAAGATTGCTTTATCAAAAAGTCGACAGTAAAAAAATCTCCTCATCAAAAACGGACCTGGAGTTGCCCATTCCAATATCGGTAACTTCTGGCTCAAACATGAAACTTTGCCCTTTCTGTCCAAAAGCTCCTGTAATGGTATGATGTCATTGCACCACTACGACGTCAAAAGTATTGCCCATAAATTAGTATTGATTCTCAGATGACATAACATTATTTACAAGTTCTACAGCTCCTCTGGTGGTAGCATGGTGATAGGGCAGGCCAATACCCTTCTCCCTATATGTTCTACTGAAGATACTATTTCAGATGCAGCGTGTGCAACAGCTCAAACTCTGACCATACTGTTTTGGCGCAGTAGGAATGAGGCTGATGCTGTAGTGGTGGGAGTTCAAAATTGTATCTGCTCTTGTCCCAGTGAAAAACAGAAGCAAATGCATTTAAATGTATCTGCAAAAAGCCTCCATCACATCATAACAACCAAAGCTTTATCACACAAATGTGATACAGAGACTCTTCTTTACAAGTATGCAATATTTCAAATGCTTCTGCATATCACACTTTCTGCCGGAAGAAAATGCAAAAATGAGCTTTACTTTTCACTTTATCAACTCAGCCACTACTGAGCACTCCATAGAAAGTCAAGTGTCACATCTCGCTGTAGATGCCCTTTGTGAGCAGAGTGCGCCATTCAAATGCAAGAAGTGAAGGGAAGAATTTCAATATCGAATGGAATTCTTACCACCCGCCCTGCGCGCTGAGGTCCGGGGGCCAGCTCCAGCTCGTGGAGACTTAAAACTCGGACAGGGCCTACTCTGTGGAATGCTCTGCACTCCCCCCCCCCCCCCATTCAAACTGCTCCTTCTATGGAGTGTTTTAAGTCCATTTTTGTGCTCTGGCTTTAGTTGTGAGGTTCTTTTATTTTTATTTTTTATTCTTTTTACTGTTAGGTTTATGCATATACAGTACATATGTGTCCGTGTGTGTATTTGATTTTTTTTAATGATTTTATGGTTTTACTATATATTTATTTTTATAGTATTTTATTGGGCAGCACTTGTAAAAGCGTAAACAAAAAATGAAGTTACTAAGTTAAGGACCATTGACCATCAACCCCACTGTTCTTTTTCCCTTTGAATATTTGACCCATCATTCACACTGGGACGTCCTGTCACCACTATACATAAGGGAAACCATCAAATCAACAAGGCCCAGTGTTTGATTCTCGGAAAAGGCAATAACAAGCGAGAGAATTTTGCTTGAGTCAATGAAGTAAAACAGAAGCCGCTTGTACTACGCAGACCCTCTGAACTCCTGTCACTCAAACACAGAGGGATGCAGTAATAAAATGTTGAAGAGTTGTGCGTCTGTCAGACACTCTCCAGCCTTGATAAGCAATGTGGGACATGGACTATTGGCAAAAGCTTTGTTCGTTTCTATTTTTGGATCAGGTTGAGGGATATTTTGGCCTTGTGGAGCTCTTTTTGCCTGATTTATAGGTTTTTAATACAATGATTCAGTTTTGGCAGTGCCTTGGGGAAGAGCGCAGTGATTTACAGAGTGCGTTCGGTGGGTTGGGGGAGGATGGGGTGGCGTTAAGGTGCTGGGGCGTCTGCTCAATTTTGCAAGGAGCTGAAGAAAAGGTACAAACCCATTATGTTCTGTATCTGGAGTGGTGTTGTCACAGTGTTTACATTCACATCTGTCACTGTCCCTTTACTGGTCAAAACGGATACTCAGACAGTTTGCAAGTACAAGTAAATATCAAACCTCAAAATAAATTGATA